GTGGTCTCTATTTAGAAGCAATTTCTAAGATGTTCAAAATGAAACAGGTCCCATGTAAATGCATACTTGGTGAACAAACGATTAAAACCGAGCCATTTCACAATTTTGTCGTGTAAAAGTCTATTCTCCTTTAATCCTTAATAATTTACTTTTTGGTATCTTTGCTTGCCAAACTGAATAGAGATATGATTTATCGTTGCCTTCGATTTATTTTAAAGCCCTGGCCCAACCAATCCAATATTTCGCTTAGCAAATCCCAACGGTGTTGGGATAAATGTTACGCTGGTTTGGCCACCCATGTAGGACGATTTTGAACATTGTTGGAAGAAGGATTGGCAAAACTAATGCATCATTTCAAAATGCTACGTTAGTGGCCACGCATTGAAAGAATCCTTTCAACTGGGTACCCTGCTGTTTCTTAGATTTGCTTATTCATTGGTTTACACAGGTAGAGCTGAACCCCAAGCGGCTATGGCAGAATCCACTCCTAAACAACCTCTAACTGCAAAAGGGCCTCCACCAAGAGCACTGCTTTCTGAAACCAGACAGGAGAAGCTTAGAGGCATTCGCAAGGCAATGGTTAAAACAATGACGGATGCACTCAGCATTCCCCACTTTGGCTATTGTGACGAAATCAGTGCCGATGCCTTGATGAGGTATGTTTCATAAATACTCGATGAATCTCTTTACGGATTCATATTGACGGTTGTGTAAAACGTTGGATGTTGTTCTCTTAATTATTAGTGCCAGGGTTGGCAAGAAGGGTCTTAGATGCTTAAGAAAAAGCGGTAGTATTTTTACCGGGAGCGATCGCTCGCGCAAGAGAAATCGCGAGATGGGTAGGCCACTCGTGTGGGCTATTTCTTACGAAAATGCCTCGCTTTTAAACAGTGGAGGGGGCATTTTGAAGAAAACTTAAACGTTCTCTATGAGATATCTGGTATATTTTTAATAGAGAAAACGTGCAATTGTTCCAAAATCCTTACAGCATCATGCCTCGGCCCAAACTTCTATTAACATTATCATTATTTACTATTGCTGCCATCTTTTTTGTTAGTTTCTTTCTATCATGACTTGACAGTTGACCATGAACTATTGAATTTAATAAAGATACTGGACCACCTGTGATAGGCATAAGTAAATTATTTGCAATGAGAGCTTGTGTGATGTGCCAAGTTGGATAAGGTGCTAATTTTTGGTTACTTTGATAATGAAATATCTACGCGATTGTCGACTTGTTCAGGGAAACATGACAGGCCAGTTTATATAAAGGTTTAAAGGAAAGTTGTAAAAGAAAAATTTCATGTTTCTTAGAAAGTATACAGATATTGCCTAATAGACTGATTTTTGTTCTGAAAGCCTAATTCGATTTTCAGGGTTCGTAAAGATTTGAAAGAGCACTGCGACAAGCTTGGAATTAAATTGTCCTTTATGCCATTCTTCCTAAAAGCAACGTCCATGGCACTGGATGAGTTCCCCGTTCTAAATTCAAGCCTCGACGAAGAGAATATCACTATTACATATAAGGTAATTGGTCAATGATTCTTATTGTTGTTGGTTATTTTGTTTCTTTTGTAGAGTTTTGTAACTAAGATCACCCATCCAAATGTTCTATTGCAATTTGCTAAGACTTCATTGTCAGAGACTCGCAGGTTGCTGTTAGGTCGTACAAGCTTAAATATGGGATCTATTCGGTGTTGCTAAGATTAGCATAACCATATTACGAAAAGTCCAAACTTTTTCTGATATGACATTAACAGGCCAAACTCTTTAATTACCGGATGAATTGTTCTTTAGGCGGAGCACAATATTGGAGTAGCAATGGATACCTCTGACGGTTTAATTGTTCCAAACATCAAAGACGTTCGCAACAAGTCGTTACTGGATATAGCGGGCGAATTGAATGAACTGCATCACTTGGGTCTTTCTGGGAAACTAGGACCTAGTCATTTGACTGGTGGAACAATAAGCCTTTCAAACATCGGATCGGTAAGTATTTGTCATAAATTCGTTCTTCGTTTATGTTTGTTGACAGCGTTTTAGGGGAAAGGTGTCACGAGAAGTTGACGCCATTTACCGTGTAGAATTTAAAGTAATATCTACACTTGGAGAAGTGTTGCGCCACCAACATATCAGGTCAAGTTGGACCACGAATCACAGATAGACCATTAAGAACAATTTTGGTCGGGTAGTCACGCGACTTTCTCACCGACAGACTAGATCATTTTTAATATCATAGCATGAAGCTAACTTATAAATACTTATGAACTCCCATCTTCAAGAACGCATTGGATCTTTGGCTGTTTAATGTTATTTCAAAGATGTGATGAATCTGGTCCTTTTTCGCGAGTTATGTACTTTTTTCCCCGAAGCAATAATGTCTTTAATTTTTCAACTTTAATTTTACCACTTCTTTTAGTAGCAGCCCCTGTTAACGTTTTATTCTGTTAATTATTAAATCAATCCATTTCTTGTTTGTCAACTTACTAGCTTCTTGCTCGGAGAGCTGCATGTCCAATTCTTTTAGATCCTTCCTTCCTTCTGAGCTCCAACTATTATTTAGATTTAATCTTTTTTTCTTTGTATACTTGTCTTGTTAGTCGATTTTCTTTCATGTCGATAATCTTTTTTAAAGTATAAAAGCCCATTCAGTTTTTTCTATATTTTTGGCATTAGTTCACACTTATTTCAGTTATACCTTCGTATCTTGTTGTATTTTGAAGAGAGTTAGTTATTGTTACTGCGCCTTTTTGTATTTTTTCGAGTATTTTTGTCATTTGTATTTGTATTTATGATGCAAGCATAATAGACTAATGCCGGTTTTGCGTGGGTTTCCATTAACTTATTGGAAACATTTTTTCATTTGATGGTCACCGTTATAACAGTTGATGGAAAAAATATTCCTTGAACACGAGGCATCATGTAGCATTTATCTAAATGACTTTCTGCTTTTTTCCTTCAAAATGTCAGTGTTTGTAATCATTGTGCTTTTTCTCCACAGATTGGTGGTACTTACGCTAAGCCCGTACTTTTACCCCCACAAGTAGCTATTGCTGCAATAGGAAAGATCCAGGTGAGTGTCTCCTTGGCTCGCTTAAATCGTTCTTATCGTGCTTTGTGTCCGTTGCAACAATCCTATACTCTCATTTAAAATCTCGAAAAGACATGGCAAAAATATGTGAAAACATGTTGAGAAGAAATCAATGTATATCATGCTGCTGATGATAGAAGATGATTAATTGCAACTCTAGCGAGAGATTAGTTGCCAGAACGTCAAGCAATCATGACAGAATCAAATATTGAAACGTTGTGGTATTAGCTACTAACCAATGCTGGAATTTAGAGGATATTCTTAACAAACGTACACTGAGTTTTCTGTTACAAGGCCTCCGACGTGCAATGGAAATTGAGAAGGTTACACAAGTAAGCGGTGTAGTTAAGGCCTTCTTTTTCAAATAGAGTTGAACAACAATTTTGGAAGGAAATCGTGATAGCTTATCAAACTAGAAATGCCTTTTTATTCGTATCTCGGCAATACAAAACTGTGTAATTTAATTTTCAACCTTTGATTTTCTTGCACTTCGACTGATAATCTACATTTGCAGGTTCTTCCAAGGTTTGACGAGAATGGGAACGTTTATGCAGCAAGCATTTTCAACATTAGCTGGTCAGCTGACCACAGGGTGATCGAAGGAGCTGTAATGGCGAAGTTTTCAAACTTATGGAAATCCTATATTGAAAATCCCTCGGCTATGCTTTTACATCTAAGATAGGAAGTGTTTTGTAACACAATATGAGACCCTATTCAATAGTGTCTCGGTATATTACGCTTGTGGGCTCATTGTATGCTTTGTAGTTGGCTATTGTCTATTTATTGCTTGTCTTACCAGAGAATACAAATCAATGGAAGAGCGGTGTGTTAGTATACGCCGCTTACTTGTATTTAACAATTATCAGATAACTGCTTACCGTTAATTAAATTGCAGAATCACAGTGAGTGGAAATTTTAAAATGACAATAAATTTTGAAGCCTATTTAATTCTTCAATGAAATTCATGTATTTAGTTTTTTGATAAATAGCGTTGCCGCTTTCTGGCACCTTTTTATGGTCTCAACTGCTTCATCAATTTTCGAAGGCTTTGCCCAGTAATCGAGAGATTTTAGTAGTCTTTATAAATGTTGCTAATTTATCGAGTTATGAACTGAAACCGGCTAACCCCTGGATCTGCCCCCCCCCCCCACCGAAGCAACTTCACTGACTGAACGAAGCAGTAGAATTTCAGTTTTAGGGGCGATGTCCCCATAATGGAAATGGCTACAACTAGAACTAATTGAACTAATTGAAACAATGAATTGAATTACAGAAGCTGGTCTTATTCTGTTTTTTCTGCTTGCTCGGCTCCAAAGTCAGTTAAAAACATGCACTCTCTGGGCTCACTGTGTAAAATATAAAAACTGCTTACAATGAACCGTGGGGAAGGAGCGAGCGCGTGGTTGTGAAGACTTTAGAAACATGACTTTTACTATTCTTGAAAGCGAGAGTGTGATGAGAGTATATAGCCAATTTGTCGTTGTTTTGTTATCTTAAAAGAAATATATAACGTTCTATCTCGTTATATAATATATAACATTTTTGTGGGTTTTCTACGTCCTTACAACACTCTAAGTTCTCGATACTCGCTACAAACAGATTTACTACTTAAAAAAAAGAGACCAAGAATGGAGAAATACGACGACCCATTAGCTACTGCTATTAAAGAAACAATATTGAGATGATGTGAGGATACACTTGTCACAGTAGCTTCATGGGGGATTACAAGACACGCAAGTTCTCTAACTTATCACAAACTTTATTGGTACAAAATAATTTTGCTGTAAAACAGTAACCTTAAGAACTGAACATGGATTGGTGAGCAAGGGGAAATGCGAATGTGATCTTTGGGTCGCCGCACCGGCAGTGCTGAGAAGGCTCTGAAGATCAAACAATGTGAGGAGGCATGTTGATGCTACGGCTTTATGCATTGTTTACAAGCATCCCAAAATGTTCTCCCGTGAAACTGACAACAGTTCAGATCAATAGAGTAACATATTATATTGAAGTTTTACTCAAATTCGAAAACCCGGTTCCTAGGCAGGACAAAATGTACTTTTCATCAGCGCCATTGCCGACTTCGTCGCTGGAATCTCCCTCCTTTACGTCGATTTTGTAAACCACGTTGAAGAAATCCTTCAAGTGTCGCAGAAGGTGTATGCTGGAAACAAAAATGAACATCAAAAGACAAGAAGACAAGTGATCTTTGTCTCATTGATTCTGCGAAACACGAAAAATATAGTACTCTTCGCCATTTTCCATTTTAGTTGAAATTTCTAGTGTTGCCTTGATAGAAAGCGCATCCATTGCTCCTATTTTTCTGATGAACTCTGCACATGTAGGCTTGACGTATTCGTCTTTTTGCTACATGCAAACAATTCTCCGGCTCAGGAGACTGCACTTAGTTGTCAGTTACTTGCTATTTTAAAAAGTTGATCGTAAAAGTAGAACGAAAGTTTTCAATACTTAAAGGCAATCTGTCTTGTTGTGGATTGGTTAACGAGAACAATAGCTGGAACAATAGCCTAAACACAATTCCAGCGCTCCGCCATATTTTTTACAATGCGATAAATTAAAGGGGGACTGGAAACAATAAAAATCCTTCTGTTCTTATAATCAATCAACGTCGTGACAGATTGCCTTTAACCAGTAGATTTATGTAAACAAGAAATTTCATAGCAACCTGTTCTGTGTTAATTGACCAATCATAACTCGCGAAACGTCCATCTGAGTCAATGCCATGAAGGTTAATGCCAGTCCTTGATGAGACGAGTCAATGCATCCTCCCTGCAAAAAAGGTTTATGATAAGCATTCCTTTTTATGGGCAGCATGGCATACATACATTTCATCTACTGCTTTTCGGAAGAACCCGAGTAGAACTGTTATTAGAGATCCGCTAAACGCCATTCAGTTGTCATTGTGCACCTTCGGTAGCTTGTTCGTAAGAGAAGAGGGAGTAAGAAAAATCTCTTTGCAAAAATAAAATACGAATGCGCTCAAACCCTTAATAGCAATTGAATCAACCTTGTAAGTCTCCTCCAAAAGTCGAAATGCAGCTTGTCTCCCAGCGTCTTCAGGTGTTACTGGCGAGCCTTTCTCCGGCGGAGGAGATGCAAACTCCGCACTTGTCATTGCCCCAGTTGTCGATTCAGCCATCAATGACAGGCCAAAACCAGGGGAGCTGAAAGTTAATCTGTGTTTAACATACACATATACAGCACGTAAAGTGATTTTCAGAAATGGAAACTCTTTCTGAACATATGTTACTTGTTTGAAGATGGCAAGAAATAACGTTAACATAGCACAGTAAAGCACTGTTCATTCGAAACTATTTAGAGTTTATACGTCAGATAATGACAGAAAGAAAGGAGAAATGCGTTTAGACTCTGAAGAGCGTCAGATGAAAAGTAATTAAGTACGCTATGTTTTTGCTATTTCGTGCCATCTTCAGATTTTGCAGTCCCAAAAACTTGATTTGTTACTTACTTAGGCTTACAAAGGCAATTCCAACACATACCTAGCCCACAATCACTACCTTACTTGGTCACATAACAAAAGCAATACAAGAATGTTTACTAAGGTTGCTCAAGGTTGAGAGGGCTATATAAGCTAAGTATATTTATCATAATTCAGATTAATTGCGAACGTACTGCCCTGATTCGGCTCCTCTGCGGTGGTCCGTGTAAATATAAATATCTGAAACAAACTGGTTTAAAATCGAGCGACACGAGTCCACCATGCGGTTGGTAAATGCTGGTGCAACCTTTAAAGTAAAGCTGGGAGGTGTTAAGAATATAATTCTGATGCAATGCTTACAGCTGGGAAGAATATAATTATGTTTGAAAATAAAGGAAATCGTTGGTTCAATACCTCTTAGTTTTAACTACCACTTAACAATAATTATTTGGCATTTTGTAATCTTACAAACAGTTAATATAATAAAGCCCAGAAACTAGCATCAGCAAATTGCAAGTTTGCTCCTGAAAAAGGACCAAAAATCACACTCTACGTACTCTACGTTAAGTACAAAACTCAAAGTTGGTTTGACATAAATTACGAAGGATACGCTGTGCCACGAATTCGCTTAATTTTTCCTCTGTCAGTAAAATTTATTGGTCGAATACTTCTCCGCACAGGACAATGAAATAGAATCTCACCACCTCCACCGGGCATTGTTCCTCTCTTGATGATCTAAAAATAAATTGCAGACGTATAGATAAATAATGCTAACAAGATATTATATAAAAGGAATGTGTCTACAGTTATAACTTGCTTTGATATTCCATGATTTATAAATGCAGCTGCAAAATACAGCAAAGTGCTTTGTTAAAAAACGCTTTAAATTTACTCTAAACTTGAAATAATCCCCTAGTTGAGAGATTGTTTTGATAAATAATTGGTGCATACCAATCTAAAAAAGTTTCGATAAACGAATGTGAAATCTTCTTTTCAAGGTAACTAGTGGCTAATCGACAAGTTTTATGGAACTTACCTTAAGGTCCACATCGTCATCAACAATGAATTTCTTCAAGATGGGAATAGAGACATATTTTATTATGTCAACCTGCATGACAGAGAGTTTCAAGAATGGTAATGTATATAAAGTTGCAAAAAGATAGATGGTTATTTTAGGTGTTCTGTTGTTGTAAGAAGAGGTGCAAGCACTTTCGCTTTCATGTCTGCTATTTCATTTGAATGAGAATTAGCTGTGTAGCATGGCTGGGTCAACATAACAGAGATTCGTCATGTATATGCTAGCAAACAAAACGTATTATGTTTGCAAGTAGACAATATGTGCACACAACCATCCTAGAGGAATAATTGCCTAAAAAAACATATCAGAAAATATGTCAAAGATGCATTTGCTTAACACATGCTATGTTAAATATGTCAAAGATGCTATGTTAAAATATGGTCTTAGATTAATTACAAATATAGCGACCAATATTATTAAGAAAAGGTTGAAGAATCAAACAATATTTGCTCAAACCTTTAAAAACAAATGCAGTGGCATGGTAACTTTCAAAACATGTGAGTTTTTTGTGCAACACAGATCTGGTACAGAACAAAAGCATTTTGCATATACAAGTAAAAACTGAATTACACAAAATGGTGCAACCTGACAGTCAGCACTTACAGAAGGGTCTTTGTCATCATTGGTCACACCAGTCAGTTTTAAGGATAAGGGCTTTTTACAAAATGGTGCAAGACAAAGAACTGCCTCCATATAATACCCAATGGATCTTTGACAGCTGCACTGATGCTCAACTGACCCTCCAAGCAAAAGACCTGGGCGATAGAATACTGATGTCCCTGAAAATTTAAACAAAAAGGAATGACCACAAATGAAGCCATAGGATGCTTTCAAAGCATGAACACAATAAACTAAAATGAAAGGCAATAAAACAGCTACGCGTTCCTGAAAAGGTATGCCCAGTTTTGTGCACATATTATATTGAAACTTTGCATAGAAAGTTCAAACAAAAATAAAAATAGAAAAAAGACGGAGCTGTCAAGAAAGTAGATAAAACAACAACAAAAAAGAAACCACTAAGAAATGTCCTAGCCAGATTCTCTGAACATAAAACAAATCATTAAAAACAATTCAAAAATCTTGTCAACAGCTATAATAACACTGTTTCCTCTTTGAGTTATGCGAACCTTGCTAAATGAAATGTAAATTTAAGTATTTTTGTGATTTTGCAAGCAACATAGGGGAACAAGCTGCAAGACTAGCTCATTTACCGGCTATATATTATTGTATCTTGCAATCTAAAATTAAAATTTTGTATCATTGCAGATGTGCACAATATATAACCATTAATTTTTATCGTGTCTTGACTAAAAATAGCTTTCTTGCAAGTATATAATTGTTGCTTTGTTGTGTTAATTCCTTATTTTCAATCTATTTATCCCTCTTTTTACAGTCCAAACCATTAAATAAATCAATTAACCTTCTAGAGGCCAGATTGATATCGCAACCTGTACCATAAAACTAGGTCCTTTTTACTTGCAAAATACAGCAGATAGTGCTGCCTTGAGTTTTTTCTATAAAGCTTAGAAAGGCTGTTATTATCAGTCAGCAATCAGGAAAGTTAAATAACATCTTATTTTTGATTTCTTCAACTCAACATGATGAGATGGGATACTACAGGGGCTTCAGCACCCCTACCTCTCCCCCTCCCCGAATAATTTCAAAAATGTAACTTAAAACCATACAAAAATGGTCCTGCTCTTTGTTTTTAGCATGTTTCAACCCCCTCTGAATATGCTCCCCAATCCTTGAGCTACAAAGATTAGGATCTAATATGTCCATTAACTGAATAAACAGCAGAACCTGTTTCATTAATCTCTATTGTTGATCCATTTGTCATTTGATCAAGAAGACGAAGAAAGCTTGCCTCAAATTCTGAAAAAAAAACAAATTTCATTATAGAGTAGTGCTTTTCAACACTTTTCATAATTCTTACCAAGAACAAAGAAAAACCCCCTATCCATGGACCTCTTTTAATAAGAATTTGAAATAAAGTGAAGAAACTAATCAAGATAGCCTAATTTTTAGCTGTTTGCTCATCTTTATTATCAATGTTTAAATATTTTTACAACGTGAGCAAATTAAAATTAGAGTTTATGATCCATAGCAATGTTCAGAAATCTTTCTTAATGCCTTGCTAGTGTCAAATTCACTATTGAAGCAATCTGTGATTGGTTCCTTCATTGAGTTGTGAAAGAAAGAGGCATTTAATTGACAGACATAAATATAGTGTAAATTATATGATAAGAACACAAGGATTTATTATTGGATAGAATTTTTTTGCCATAACACAGATATTGAGTACATATTAGAAGATATCAAATTGGAAGAGGTTTATAAAATGTAACTGACAAGACAGTAATGCAAGGAAAATGGTCAGGATAGTCAGCTGCATTGCATTTAGCAGTGTACTAATGAGTGGTTTGGCCAAATGGGTGGTGAGGCCAAATTGGTGGTGAGGCATCACAAAGACAACACAGGGGCACAGATGGATATCTTTTACCATCTTCCATCATGCTTTCCTTTCCCCTTTAATACTCCCAGGCAGATGACAGATATTGGTTAGAAAAAGCCTTGCAAAGAAATTTACACTAAAACATACAATGAATAGCTGGAATGAATGGGAAAAATGAATATACAAAGGACATGAATATTCTTAACTCAGCACCCTTGTGGGACAGCGTTTCAAGGTTTTTGATCAATCAAACGAACTAGACCAATCTGAAAGACCTCATTGTTTAGGCTTTTTTCCAAAAGCCCCACACTTAAAGCACTTTGAGAAAAATTCTACCTTAGCAAACAATACGCTTATTAAGGAAAACAAGATAACATTTTGGTATTTAACAGTCTTGGCAATATGAAATTTGACGGCGTGCTGGTAATCACATGCCTTGAAAAGTTTACGACGTGCGACGGCATGTGATGACGTGCGATCCATAAAATTGAGACCTTATGATTTTAATGAAGACCTGATGTCATCTTTGTATTAGAAGGTGTGTATCACTGTTTGAAAAAGCGTATAAGATTTTTGTAAAACCATAAAGGTTTTATGGAATTTTAAAAGAAGTTTATTGAAAACAAAATAATTTAACAAAAAGGATATAAGTTTTTAGGCCCTGTTGCCATTACTCCTTTTCCATATGAGAACGGATTCGAGTGAATCTGTTTTAGAATTTGAGGTTCATTAATATGCTCAAAACAGTGTCATTTGATACCAAACCAAAGTTATTCAAAAACTTTGTTCAAAGTGGAGTTATCCGAAACGGAATCGTTTGACTACGCATCATTTTATAAGGAAAAGCAAAGACAGAGGTATTCAAAAATGGAGTCATTCAATCTCAGTTCAAAAAGAGCTCGAGCAAAGGATATGAGAATTGACAAATATGGAGTAATGGAAACATCCACGTTATTGCTTTGACCAAAACAGAGTGGCCCAGGGTGATGTTTTCGAAAAAATACGAAAGGAACGGAGAGAGAGAACGGAGACATACAATAACAGAGTAAAGGAATAACGGAGTAATGGAAACCAGGCCTAATGGAAACAAAGTAAAGAGTTGAAATGTCTCCAGGAATGCCATCAATATAGCCCACACAAAAGAAATTTAAAATTAATTTAGAGAAAATAAACAAGAAATTAAAAGAAACAAAAGATAAAAAGAATAGTAATTCAAAACGTGGAACTGCACATGCGATAAAAAGCATGCCTCAGGAGTTCTAGGCGTGTGTGGAGGGTGTGCATTCTATAATATATATAACCAGAACTTAATTTAACCAAATAAGCCCTTGGTACCATAAATTTTAAAATAACACAGAAGAACAGAAACATATCATACTATACTATTGTTCATCTAGCACTCCTTTTTTACATTACATCTATCATTTTATATATGTAAAAACACTTAAAGACAGCCAATCTTGTTATGTAAATTGTTTTGAAGGTGAACATGCCCCAAAACCTGTGTGGATGTGTCCATTATTATTCGTATTTTTTTACTGGCATTCGCATACATTTTCTATCGCTTGCTTTATAGAATCTAAGTGTTTTGGTCTTAAATCTTCGCCTCTAGCACCACCCCTGATTCAAAACATTTATTTTAACCATTGAAAAATAAAATAGTATTCTTACATGTTGTATTGTATGAACTACTAGCTTTGATGATAAACCCAGAGCAAAAACTCATGGGGTGCATGAAGTCTTTGTTTTATCCTTCTTCATGTTGATTATGTACGTCCACGTACTTAGGCCCAAATATCTTCAGTGTGCACTCAGGTTTTTGCTCGACGTTCAGTGATAAAATTTTACATTCGTACATAAACTCCCGTAAAACTTTATGTTAAACAAGAAGCCACGGAAAAAGAATAAAAGAACCACAGTTTTCTCTAATCAAGTTTCTTTGTCTGGCGTACTATATTTAAATACAGTTTTACTAACTGCTCATATTTTCGGCGTACCTATACAAATGCCCTGATGGACCTTCGGCGTACATTTAACATGAAATGCAACCTGGACAAGAAAGTAACCTAGCTAGCGGTAAGTTAAGGATCATCGCATTGAATGCATTTATTTGTCCCTCTAATTCCTCCTCCAATTGGTAACAATATTATTCTATCATCATATTGCTATAAAATATTTTTATTGATATCTTTTAGAACCTATATTGAATTTAATATTGAATTTTCACCTTTCAAACCAGGCTCATCATCTTCAACCCTGATTGACTTCACTCTAATCGGCTTTCCAGCCAGCGTTGCAATAACAAACCTTTGTCGAAAAAAATTACAGCCTTCAAACTCCAAAGTGCCGATTGATTTTCTTTTATCCGGCATTCTTGCATTCCCAGCAGAAAATAATAAGATAGAACCTTTTTCACGTGTGCGATAAAATGGCCTAAACAAATTGCGGCCCAGAAGGAGGCTGGTACGAATCCAATTCAATGCAGTTCAACAATAAATGAAAAAAATCATCTTTGTTCGGGAGACGAAACCACAGCTAAACAAAAACCGTTAGCAACAGGGCACACGTCACCGTGGGGGTTGACGGAGGGGCCATGGCCCCCACATTTTTGCGAAGTAAATAGTTTTAAAACTGCAGTAAAGGGACAAAAAACCTTGGCCCCCTACTTTTACTAGCCTTGCCCCCCCCCACTTTCAAACTCGTGGCGTAGGCCCTGAGTAATTACAGTTGTCAATCACAAGACTGAAGGTGGCCTTCTCTCATCATTCGGATCCTTTTTTATTGGGCTGTCGGTGCGCCAATGGTAAAGAAGCCATAAATAAAACCCCAACCGTTTTTGAGCGGGACGAGAAGAAGGAACGATGGCCGACTTGCAACAACTTATTCATTTAAAAGTCGCAAGCCTTACAGCCATTAAATCCATCAAATCCTAACTTTCAGTGGCGTGCTGGGGATGAGATCGCAGGGGGGGGGGGCAAAGGGTCAAAATGGCATCCCTCAATTAGATATCTTCAAATTTTCCTTCAAAGTTTTGGAAATGTGCAGAAAAGTACAAGAGCTCGAAAGCACGCAGATCTGTATCTATCTGTGGCGTACTGAAAGACCTTCAAATGAGGGGTGATAGAGAATTTTCAAATAGAGTATGTTATTCTTTTTAATAACTAACAGTATTTTTGAGTATCGTTGTAGCGTCTGTATCATTAATCTGCACAACAATGATAAGGGACGTCCCTATTGAGGGAGGTTAGGAGTAGGGTGGGACGGTAAGATCGTTCAGGAGTTTAATGAAGGCCGTGACCATGATTGGCGGCAAAAAAAATTCAAAGAAGACCTTCTAGAGATGATCGGAAAATGCATCCAAATATTTACAACATTGCTTTAGACTCATGGAAAACAGCTGTGCGCCCAGCAATGGCAAGTGAAACCTGGGCAGTGAAGAAGGCATAGGAGAAGAAGATGAATGTTGCAGAGATGAGGATGTTACGCTGGGTGTATGGAGGCACGAGAAGAGACAAAATCAGAAATGAGATGATGCGAAAAACAGTGAAGGTAGCTGAAATAAGCTCGAAGAGAGAAGAGAGAAGACTGAATTGGTATGGTCATGTGATGACTATGTTGGAAGAAGAGTGATGGCAATGGAAATTCCAGGACACAGAAGAAGAGGAAGACCTAAATTTAGATGGAAAGACAGACTAAAAGAATATATGCGGGAAAATAACCTTAATGAACACCAAGTAGAAGATAGAGAAGAATGGAAGAGACACTTGAGGAACAGTGACCCCATAAAAAGATGGGAAAAGCTGAAGAAGAAAAAGAAGAAGAAGAAGCTCTAGACTCATGGTCCTGGACAATACCCATAAGCTTTCTTCAAAATATGGCCCAAAGGCCGGTGCGTTGCAGGCCTTGTTTGGGTTTACTACAAATTTGCCTGATTGAAAAAATTACCTGAAATACTTTAGTTGCTGACACCATCCCACCGCAATACCTTGTGTCGATTCACAACATATATTTACATATTAACATGAGAACTTCGAGCCCTTTAGATATACATATCGGTACAAGCCTTAACCTGATAATCAGACCCCCTTGTTATCAGGCTAAACAAGCCGAGGATATAATTAGCCTGTCCGAGGCAGCACCACGGTTGCCGCCGAAGGAAAAACAAACTTCAAATTTTGATGCTTCTATAGACCCCGTTTACACTGTCCCGGGACAATTTTGTACCGTTACGGTTCGCAAGTGTTTACACTGTCGCGGTTCCAAATTGTTTCGTTTAGCCGTTCCGTTTACACTGTACCGGTACAACCTTAATTTAATGGCAGAACATTGTTTAGAAGAAGCTGTATTTAGTCAACCAAGGCTTTTATTTTGCCGCCGAAGTCAACAATCGAATTTTTATTGAGAGTTAAAATGGAGTGGAAGGCCGATAAAAACTTTACTTGGACGAACGACAAGGTGGCTTTAATTTTCATTGTTATTTTAGACTACAAAACAAGGCTTGGACTGGGAAACAATACAAGCCTTTTCTGTGGTCGTCTTCTCTTCAGAATTTCCTTTTCTTCAGAAGTTGACAACGTAGTTACGCCACAATCAAAGCCTCGATTACCTCAAGCAGCCATACAAAAGACCTCTTTGTGAATCCGTGACAAAATCGTCTCGGATAGGTGTTTACACTGTCCCGTTCAAAAACGGAACCGTGACGGTACGAAATTCGTTCGCTTTCAAAGCAGGGTCCAAACTGTTCCGGATAGCAGAGCAAAATCGTCACGGTTCCACAGTGCTAGTGGTGCAGTCACTTACCAGTTGAATTGTGTATTTTATGATACAAGCATGAAAGTTGGTACAAGTACACAATTTGACATGCCGAATAAGATGAGATGCAGACCCCGCTTCAAAAATGCCCCCAAAAGCTATTTTTAGACTGGGGTACCTGTACCCAGTCCCCTTTTAGGTCTTCCTCTATATCTTTTAAACTGTTCATATCACAAACCAACAATTAGTTTTCTGGCGTAATTTGACATGCTGAATAAGATAAGATGCAGACCCCACTTCAAAATACCCTCAAAGCTATTTTAAGACTGGGGTACTTGTACCCAGTCTTCCTTCTGGTCTTCTGGCTTAATTTGATATGATGAATAAGATGAAAATCTGCTTTTCTTGAAAATATTTGATACAATTCTGAAACTTTATTGTCTGAGCTCGTACGAAGAATTGATCACGAGTTCATTGGTAACTGCATCGGTAGAAGTGGCGTAACGGAACAGAGCAGTGTAGTGGAAAGTGCTGCTTAATGTTTCTTTATTCTCTTGAAGGCTCTAGCATTGCATTTTCTTTTTGAAGACATCTTATCCAAAAAATATATTAAAAACTGTGAAGATTGAAACCGACGTTTCAAACAGTAAACTTGAATAAATAATGGTCTCAGTTAGAAGGAAACTAATGGCCTTTGCGAACTTCAAGTGTCTTAATGTAACATGTTACCAGAAGAATTGGTGTTTCTCAAATCACTTTTCACTTTAACTAATGCAAACAAACCTTTATCGTTAAAACCTTTACACGGCCGCTCCTAGGGAACCCTTAGGAGTTGCTCGAACCCCAACCCCAACCTAAGTTGGTTACGCCACTGGTTAGTAGCACTTGATAGAGCAACGAAAGCTGCCGTTGCATGAAAAAAATCTTCCAAACAAATTTTGCCTCTTTTACAAAATGAAGAAATTGTGTCACAGACAGTAAACGCGTACCTAAATAAGAAGCCAAAGCAAACCCTTTCTTTAAGTGCATTTGTGTAATCGTGGAGTGGTAACCATCTTTTGTCTTCTCCTGTCCCAAACTCGACCTAAAGCTGTACTCAGCTGAGCTGAAGAAACAATGCAATTGCTTTTATGATAACATCAGTGTTGACCGTTTCGATTGCCACTCTTCCATCTCCTGAACTGGAAATACTCTTCACGTAGACAAACATTCTAGTATCAGCTTCTTCGTGGTTACAAAGCTTTTGGGTGCGTTTTTAGGGAAGTTTCATCTTTCTCATCATGTCAAAAAAGATATAGAAGAAGACCAAGAAGGAACTGGATAAGGGTATCCCAGTCTTAAAATAGCTTTTAGGGGCGCATTTGAAACAGGGTCTCCATCTCATCTTATTTAGCATGTCAAATTATACCAGACAAAAAATTGTTGGTATATATCTTCAATAGTTCAAAAGTTATGAAGAAGGACTCAAAAGGGGACTGGGTACAAGTAGCCCAGTCTAAAAATAGCTTTTGGGGGCATTTTTAAAGTAGGCTCTGCATTTCATCTTCTTTAGCATGTCATGGTACGTCAGAAACGTAAACTTCGAGTTTATCGCTTGCATTGTTTAAATTATATGGAGGAAGACCAAAAAACGATTGGGTACAGGTACCCTAGATTAAAAAAAAAGCTTTTTGGGGCATTTTTGATGTGGGTTCTGCATTTCATCTTAAGCAGCATATCAAATTACGCCATGAAACTGAATATTGGGTTTATAACTAGCATAGTTTAAAAGATACGGAGGAAGGCAAAAAAGGACTGGGTACAGGTACCCCAGTCTAAATATAGATTCTTGGGGCGTTTTGAAGTGGGCTCTGCATTTCATCATAATCAGCATATCAAATTACGCCAGAAAACTAAATTTCAGATTTATATCTTGCACAGTTTAAAAGATATGGAGGAAGGCAAAAAGGACTGGGTACAGGTACCCCAGTTTAAAAATAGCTTTTTGGGGCATTTTTAAAGTGGGTTCTTCATTTCATCTTCTTTAGCATGTCAAAGTAGGTCAGAAAACCAAATTTCGAGTTTATGACTTACATAGTTTAAAAGATATGGAGGAAGACCAGAAAAGTACTGGGTACATGTTCCCCAGTCTAAAAATAGCATTTTGGGGCATTTTTTAAGTGGGGTCTGCATCTCATCTTATTCAGCATTTCAAATTGTGTACTTGTACCAAATTTCATGCTTGTATCATAAAATGCACAGCTCGTCCATTTTTCGAGGTTAAGCGGCTGCACTATAGTGTAAACGGAAGGGCGAACCGCGACAGTTTTGTCACGGTTCCAAATTTGCACCGGACAGTGTAAACGGGGTCATAGTAAAGGAAAATTTCTTAAAACCTGTGGCCAAACTGCCGGGACTTTGTTTTGACACTTGTTTCGACATCAGAACATATAAAGCATCAAAATGAAAATGGGGGTCCCTCTTGAAAATGCCAGGAACACCTCCGCAGAGGTACAAATAGATGGCTGCGGCTCAAAACGCGTCAAATGCTATTTTAACAAATAGAAGGGCAAATCATATCATCTACGCTGTAAGTTTTATCACGGATTCAATTTTGTTGCAGTTGTTGCAAGAATAAAAAATCCGGCGAAAAATGGCATTAAAGCGATTATTTTCTTTCACGCTCCTCCGCAGTGACAAAAGTTCAACTTCTTTAATTTGGCTCGACAAAATGCTCAATCCAGACTGGTTAAGATATCACGCATGCAACCTGGCAGAGAGGTAAGTAAACTAAGGGTCTAGCACAGAAAAACAAGTCCTGGGGGGTTTAAATGTTTGGCCCCCACGGTGTAAGCGAGTGTAAAAGTAAGCAGCTAGATCATGATCACTTTGCACAAAATTTCTTCTTCAAGACGCGAAAAATATGTGCTGATTAAGAAACGTTTATGTTATTAAACAGGAAAAAGAACACAATTGTTCCAAAAATAACGCACTCACATCACATCAAAACTTTTAAATCTATTTTTGGAAGGTTGCGAAATAGGCTTGGTAACTTTAAAATCTAATTTGATGCAGGCTAACGAAGGACTTAGATTTATGCAGATGAATTCATTATTTTTTTTATTTTGCGAATTATTTTTGCAAAATAAATTTAGATTTAGATCTAATGCGAATTCATTACAAGTATTATTTTGCGAATAGCCAATTATAGGTTAATCCGCAAGAATGGACTACAGCTTCTTTTGAGCTTCTCATAACAATAATTTCAATTTATAAAATTTTCCTTAAGAATCTTGAAAAGCTTGCGTGGCAAATTTGTCTAAGTATGCTAAATCTGTAAATCCTTGAAGTTTCTCCAAATGTAAGTACTTCTGTGGCAGTGACAAAGATAGGAAATTAAGCAGGAGGGGCGAAAACTGAGATTTTCCGACAAATATCTATTAATTTTTCATACATTTGAACATAGTTCAGTTCAGTTAAGTTAAGTTTTTTATAATTTATAAAATTCCTCTACATACAATATCTTACTACAACTACATTATGACTAATTACATACAATTTTCACACGTTATATAAAATACTAATAATAGCAGGCAATAAAAACAATTACGTAAGATGTTGTTTGCAGGGGAGTTTCTTTAGGAGGAGCTCTCTCAGTAGATGAACTAATCGAGGAGAGAGCACCCCATTCTAAATTGGCTTTATGTGTAATTGATCATTTACATGAGTGACAGAACAATAAATTTCGCATCAGAATTAAATTTGATAGTTCTTGTTGAATAAAAAGGTTTTAAGCTTTTTGACAAAAACTGGCAAAAGACAATGATGTTTTTATATCTACTGGAAAGTTGTTCCAAAAATTTAGCACCAAAAAATATAAACGTAAATGTCTCTTAACAACCAATGTCTCTTGACTTGACCCCCCCCCCCCCTTAATCCAACCTATCTGCTTCTTAAACTTTTCTTCAGATTCCAAACCCCCTTTCCTTTAGTAAATGGATTACATTTCACTAGTTAGCATAATAATCTTCTTCTATATTCTGCACTAGCTTCAGGAGTTACTTTTTTACACCTCTCAGGATCTATCTTGCTGATTCTTGATTCAAGTGCACTAACAAAACCACAACATTCTATATATATACTGTAAACTAATTAATCCAAAATAAACTACCAATGACGATGCTCTATTCAATTTACGTCAATTGGCTCAAACGAAAGTGTAATTATTATAATCGAAGGAATTAAAAAAAGGTAAACAGAAAAGCTGCCTCACAAAATCACAAGATACAGTTAAGGCTTAATTACACTAAATCAAAAACCTTAATCGACTACGCATTGAAAATTAACGTGAAAACCCGAACAGTTACTAACTGATTGTGCGGCTTCAAGCGAAAGTGAACACATTTACAGCCAAGTGAACAAATATTGGTTAAAAAGAAACGCATGACTCTGAACTAGACAAAAAATCAGGCCGAAATTCGCTTTGTAGAGGCGTGCAATGTTCTTTTGTAGAAAATGCGGTAAAAACACGCTGAAACGGCGAAAGTGGGCCTAATTCTAGCTGCGAAGCGAGTTTGTTGTGAGAATCCTTTGAGCTGATTGGTTGGGAGCAAATAGTAGTGATCAGAGCTCTCAGCCAATCAAAGATTTGACCGCTATGCTCATGGAACGCTGCGTTTTGATTTGCTTATTCTCGTCTTTGCTACTACTTTCACTGTCATTTCTTGTGTTCTCCCCTTCTCCCTTCGTCCTTCTCCGTTTTTTGAAACCATCAAATACACAGCACTTCGTTATTTTTTTGCCCATAATTTTTTTGAATCACGAAAATTGTTTTTCTCCCCCGTCTGTACTGCGATCTCGCTGCCTCTTTTTCAGTTGCACGTTCTCCTTCACATTGGCACACCCATATTGGATTGAAATAAAACTGCAAACACAACAAATAGGACAGTATCTTTTCTCTATTCTCTTCTCTTCACTAGATGTCACTTGTTACTCTCGTAGCATTCTCCACAAATAGCTCACGGGCTTCTGTCCGCACCACCTGAGCTACAGTAGCAGTTTCCGCACTACCTAGCAGAGCAAAATCGAAGCAATCTGCTGACGCACTTGCATGGTTTAGCCTGGCAACAAAGCAAAATGAACCGGCAGCCTACCAAGGTATTGACTTTGGAAGAAGGAGAAGACCTCCGAACATCGCATTTCAGTCTCCAGAATGGTAAGATGTCTTTACAAGGCCTCGTCCTATATTTTAGTCTCGTGTATATGTCGCCTTTTCTTTCTTTTTAGATTGCGTGTCATATCCTCCAAAATTCATTGATATTATTTTGGGTTCAGCAACCACAAATCATTTGATTGCTTCATCAATGCCGCATTACAGTTTCCAATTTGCTTACTGTGACTAAGATAAAAAAATTCTAAACGCAGAATATTTTTTTACACAAAAGCAATAAGATTTTTTGGGATTCCCGAAAAGAGATCTGTTCCTTGATGGATGCACAGTCACAGAGCTTTGAGCAACTCAAGTTCCAATGTGCTGGCTATGACTGATCAGAATACATACAATGCCTGCCAAAAGTCTTGGAACAATGACGTCAGTCTCCAAGGTCAAAATCAATCATCCCCCTCTCCTCCACAGAACAATGTTGGTTTACTATGAAAAAGGTTAGGATTTCAGGAAGCACTTTCTTTTGCGCTTCTTTTATAATATTTCTCTAAATTATCAACATTGCTCAAGGGGGGAGGGGGCAGTAGAAGTAAATTTTTTGGGGAAAAGAATGAAAGATATAAAACGCAATGCAAATTGCTGTGTGTTCTAAGTACTTTTGGCAGGCATTGTAGGCTGCAAGCAGAATAGTTTGGCTTTTGTCCATATGCAGAAATTCAAGAGAGAGAGAAAGAGAGAGAGGGGGGGGGGGGTTGGCTGCAACTTGGAAGCTTCCTAATAATAAGACAAAGTGGTCTTTGAATGTCTGATTAACAGGTCGCAACTCTGCTGCAACTGAAGGTGACTTATTGTTGGTCCTTTTGTAGCCTTTGCAGATATCATATACTCTATGTTATATGGGCAAACATCTGTGTTAAAAGAATGACCCTTCATTAGGAAAGTGGCTAGCTCTCTGTAATTCCAATTGTAGGAATCATAGGGTGCTATCACATTGGTATGAAGGACCAGGACACTCTACTTGATAAGCAAATTATAGTGCTTGCAATTCAAGCGTTTTAAAGACAAAAAGAAGCTGCCACTTCACTAGCCTGTTTGCCTATGGATTCAACTTAAAATGTTTCCTTGAGGTCATATTTACCTTTTGACATGACTTATTATGAAATGTAAATAATAGTGTGCTGTTTGTTGTTAGAAAATAAACATAAAATTGCTGTTTGCTAGAAATCAAAGTGTGCTTATATGACATTAAAAGTGGCATGCCTTTCATATATAGACATTAGGAACAATTTGAATCTTAAAAGTATTTCATGAGTTGAATTTGTTATAGCCTATATGTAGGTGGCATTTTAAAGATAGTTATTGCCTATGATTAACAAGACAATTTTATCATTCCTTTTCAACAGGCACCAATCTGAAATTTGTCCTTGGTTCCAGCTTGCAGTCAGAACCTTGTGCCATCTACACCAATTACCCAATAAATGGTGGTGATTTTGAAAGGGAAAAATATCATAAGCTAACATGGATTTTCCCTTTTAAATCAAAAGCAGATTGTGGAGACAGATATGCCCTAGTACAGATCAGTTTCCCTGGGACATTTGCCTTCTATCTAAGTAAAGACGAGGGAGGCAACATTTCACAAGGATACTTTGTAGTAGCACCAACATTGAAAACTGGTTCTGGTCTACTTGCTTTGAATGATATTGCCTTGCAAACATATTTATCAAAGTCACTTGGCCAGTTCAAAGACTGGGGGAAGCGTCTACGTGTAGCTAAGGAGTCTGGGTACAATTTCATCCACTTTACACCAATACAAAAGCTTGGAGACTCAAATTCCTCATACTCCATTGAAAATCAGCTAGAAATTAACCCAAATTTTTCATCAAATGAGAAACACATTGATTTTGGTGATGTTGAAAACCTTGTTAATAAAATGAAACATGAATGGGATGTTTTATCTCTGGTGGATGTTGTGTGGAACCATACGGCAAACAATAGCAAATGGTTGCAAAATCACCCAGAGGCTGTGTATAATCTTCAGAATTCACCACATCTCCGTCCTGCATTTTTGATTGACCGAGCATTTTGGCATTTGAATCAAGACATTGAAGCTGGTAAATGGGAATACATCGGCTTACCAACATATATTTGTGATGAGAATCATCTTGAAAGAGTAGCCCAGATTTACTGGTGTGTTTTTTCAGAAATCAATATTTTTTAATTGTAGTTCAAACCAAAGTCAATTGAAAAATCTCTGGCTTTTTGGTTTAACTCTTTAATTGTAAGTAGTGATCTTGTAAGGGACACATAAAAAATAGGTGGAGGATTATTGTTGAGGTTTTATTGTCTTAAGAAAAAGTTGGCATTATCAGTAACTCTATTCTTTGGAGGGATTTATCTATGGTTGGCGAAAATCGTGCAATCACAGTGGAAGACACAAGGGATATACTATTAAAGGCCCCCATCATCATAAATTTGAGAGGTCAATGTAGCGGCATCAGTTAAGTAAAGTTAATAGATAAGAAAGCAATAGCATGTGCTATTGTATGATAAGATAAGTTTTATCCAGCCCTTGTTACTCAGGTCATGTTTTGAGATTAAGTGTGTTATCATGTTTTCTTTGAGAACAAGAGAATAGAAAAAGGCTTCCAGACCAGTTTTTTTTCTTTTGACTTTGCTCAAACAAACTTTTAATAGTTTTCATTATCTTCTTTTAAAGTGCCTATGAAATGAAATTTCACATATAGTTTTTTTGTAAGAAACTGAAACTTCTACACGTTGTTGCAATATAAAACGAAAATTAACTCGAAAATTTGCATGGAAAAGTTTGTTTTTGGGGTTTTAAAAACAATGAGTGCGAGTGACAAGGCATAAGAATCAGTGACGTCATAAGGTTTGCAGTTGATTCCATCTTCGCAGTAAACACACCATACCACTCAGTCAGGGCTGTTAGTCAAACAATTGTGCAAATTGTGATACCAGCATGAAAAGTTGCAAAAAGGGGTAGTTTGATACCCTGAAAAAGATAGGATATGGAACCCAACTGAAATTGCCCCCTTTAGCTATTTTTAGACATGGGGCTCTGTGCCCCAAGCCCCTAACGCCATTATTGCAACATCTCTCCTGAAAGTAGGTTTAGTAGAACAAAACTTTACAACATGGGACAGTTTGAGGCGGTACAAAAGATAGGATATAGAACATAACTGAAAATTGCCCCCTTTTCTATTTTTAGACTGATTTTTAGATTTTTAGACTTTCTATTTTTGCTCCAGACCTATAAAGACGGTTTCATTGCATCTCAATCGTACTTTAGTACTACAGCGCTAGACTTTGCAAAATATAATAGTTTGATACGATGAAAAAGATAGGATATAGACCCCAGCAGAAAATTGCCCCCTTGGGCTATTTTAAGACTAGGGTATTTTACCGCATGACTCCACAAACGACGTTATTTTGATATCTCTGCCGAAAGTAGGTACAATAGTAGGAAACATTGCAATAGACGGCAATCTGATACGCAGGAAATGATAGGATAAAGATTTCATCTGAAAATTGCCCCCCTGTTCTAAGGACTGGGCCACACCGGCCAAGATCTTAATAGACGGCATTATCGTATCTCAGTCGTACTTTCGTACAGCAGTATGAAGTTTTCCATAAAGGACAATTTGATGCGCTAAAAAAGATTGGATATGTACCCTGACTTTGCCCCCTACGACAATTTTAACGGTAGTTCAATTAACGACCTCCGTGTACTGAACGCTAACTGCTTCCGTGTTTGCAAACTTTGTGACGTCACATATAACGGCGCTTTGTCACAGTCGGAAACGTGAAAATCACTTCAACATATATCATTAAAATCAGCAAATTTTGCTTATAAAATGTGTGCCTTTATCTAAACTTGTCAAATTTCATTTCATAGGCACTTTAAAGGAAGAGAAAATCTGCCCCTGCCTTGACAAAAGGGTAATTTTTCAACGAGTCTAAATTTCCGCGAGCCTTCAGTTGTTTATGTATGCAGAGATCGTTAGCACACTCTTTTTACATTTCTATAGTGGTTTGAAATAACAGCTTTGTAGCCATGCAATTTAGAGGTAGCTTTTTGTCACCTTTTCATAATAGATAGATTGCCACTAAAATTTTTGAAACCCTGAAATAATGGGTTTCTATTAATGTAAAATATCATTTATTTCTTTTTTAGGTCATCTATTGTTCCCTCTTTACAAATACATGAGTTTTTCATTGCTAATGTATCAAAGATGGTTACCAAATTCAAAGCTGCATTCAAGTCAGATATATGCAGACACACGGAAAAAGTCGAGCTTGAAGATCTTAAGATATTGCAAGATCCATCATACCGAAGATTTGAGAGTTACATTGACATTGAGATGGCTGTTGAGATTTTTAAAAAGAAAAGGTATCACTGTTGAGGCAGAATTCTGAAAGATTTGGTTGTTTTTGTTTTGACTTGCTCTAACTCCCTTTGAATATAACAGTTGCATTAGTAGAATTCTTTTATATTTTTGCATTGCATTATGACTTATTTCCAAAACTTCTAAAAATTTTTAAAGTATGCTGATGAATTCTTGTAATCATTTGCTGTATTTCAAAAATGGCTCTTATGATTTCAATTACTGTATCAGACTTGAAAATGAGAGCTTGGCAAGAAAAATGCAGGGAAACAACAATTCCACATGATTAAGATAACCTATTCTACATGTGTGCGACTCTAGAAAACAATTTTTGATATTGGCCTTTGTTTACCAAGCTGTTGTTTCTACATTTTAATGTTCTTGTATGGTTGTTGCTGCTGCTAAAACACCTTCATTAATTTCATTTCATTTACACACTTTATGCCTTAACTCTTTAGGTTTCATGTTAAGTTGCTTTAAAAATATTAGGTACTTAAGATAATCGGCATGTTTTTCAACTATTGACCAATCGATAAGCGTGTGCGGTGTTACTTAACACCTTAGCTATGCAGAAATTTATATTATATGCTTGAGCGTATGCTTGATAGTTTTGTTATAATGATGATAATGACGATGAAGTTATTTTATTATTTCAGTTTAGAAGAAGTAGATGCAGTAAGAGAGTTTGAGGATTATATCAATCAGCTGAATGAAGAAAAAAAGCAACAACTGGATGGTTACTGCCAAGCTATAATTTACAATGTAATTGAAGGGATAAGGTACCACTTTTTGGCTGAAAACGGGCCGAAGTACCGACAAGTGACAGAAAAGACTCCGATAATCACAAGGTAAATTGCTTGTTTTCCATATTGAAACTATGAATGAGATCAGTAAGATAAGGAGTTGTTAAGTGTTCAGATGAAAGGCAATTATTGTTATTGGTAACTATAAGTTCCTTTTGTACAAAAACTGCAGTCACCATCAAGGTAGTTCATTTCTCAATAAGATGTGGCATAGTGCTTGTGAAATGATTATATCTATAATAAATTGAAAGGAAAGTTTTGACTAGATATTTGTTAGAAAATATTCTTCTTTAGGTATTTTCTTTGCCGAGCGTCCACTATGTCGTTGCCAGAAGATGAAGACTTGATGAACTCGAATGAGTGTAAGTATTTATTTGCCCATCAAGGATGGGTGATGAACGGAGACGCGTTGAAAGATTTTGCTGCCCCTGACTCTTTGGTTTACATGCGGAGAGAGCTGATTGCTTGGGGTGACAGTGTCAAGTTGCGATATGGTGAGAAGAAAGAAGACTCTCCTTATTTGTGGGAACGCATGAAAAAGTATACTGAAATGATGGCAAGGTTTGCACAATGTTTCAAACAATGCTTTTCTAGTACTCGCTCTTTCTTTGCTGGCTTTTCTGTTTAATTTTTGCCGTCATTTTTGCCTACATGTATCCAGGTTCGCACACTATAGTCATTCTTTTTAAAATGAGTTTAGAAAAACAAAGTTACTTTTCTTTGCATCTTTGCAGTTGTTTTTATCTCATTTTAAGAATATTCATAAATGAAAAAAAATTACTATCAATGCAAAGCTTTGAGTGAGGAACAATATCTTCTTCGTCTACCAGCAACATATTTCATAGTCCCACTGATTCGAGTAAATAGATTTTGTCTTCAGTAAGTCTTGACATTAAAGAACCTTTCCTCGATTGTACACTGTAGAGATTATGTAAGCATTATCAATTTTAAAATTACATGCAAAATGTTAAAAATGGCTTTTGCCTCCCTCCGTAGAATGTTTCATGGTTTGCGCTTAGACAACTGCCACAGCACTCCTATTCGTGTTGCTGAGGTGCGTAAGAAACCAATTTTCAAACTATATTAAGATTCTCCAGACTGTTTTTTGCTAATCAAGCACCTTCACTATCAGACTCACCATGTCGAAGAATAGAAATGAACCACCATATCTTAGCCTGTTACAGTTAATCGCTGGTTCCTTATCCGGGTTTTTAGAGCGTTTCAAAATAAAGCACCTGTTTTTGTTGCGTCGACTCGCAAGTGTGATGTCAATGAAACACCTTGATTTAAACATAGGCCCACGTCAAACAAAATTTATACCTTCTATCAGGTTATGTTACTGTATAATCGAAAGGATTAGTCTCAATTTTACATTCAAAGGATTTTTTGCAGCGTTGAATTAGACACTTTTATCTCTTGAAAACTTTCTGTAGATGCGCTTGAAATTATATTCAAACACTTTAGTCGTATTTGCTACCTAACTGTACCCCGCATCAGTTCATTTTTATTGAAATTGTCGCTCTTATTGCAATCAAAACTCATTGCTTGGTCATTCATTGCTTTTTGTATTTTAGTATTTGCTAGATGCCGCTAGAAAGGTGAATCCAGATCTGTATGTTGTAGCAGAACTTTTTACGAATTCAGAAGCAGTTGATAATATGTTCGTGAACAGGCTTGGGATCAATTCTCTCATAAGAGGTAAGAATTATCTCTTTTTCTATGTTCTATGTTAAAAGCTGCTTTAAAGTGCCACTTCCGAAGAAAAATAACGTTTTGTAGCTGACGGTGCCTTGCGTTGTTTTTTGCAGAGAGGATGTCCGCGAGTGATGCACATGATCTTGGGAGACATGTTCACAGGTTTGGCGGCGATCCTGTTGGTTCCTTCTTCAGATCATCTACTTCACCTCTTGTATCCTCAATGGCTCATGCACTGTTTATGGATTTAACTCATGACAACCAGACCCCAATGGAAGTAAGTTGATTTCAATCTCTTGCATCACAAAGTTTCTAATAAGCCTTTACTGCACTATCTTCTATTTTATGTGATTTTAGGGACAGAATGTTTTAGAGACCTAATTATTTATGTGAGTACCAGCGCAGAGGTAACATTCATTTGCTCAGATGCTTGCTTTCAGGTTTTTATTGTTCCACTGCATGGCATGGCACTCCACTGATCGCACTCTATGAGAATATTCTTATCTGTGTAGCGTAGAATGTTGCCCCAGGATCTACGTTCATGTGTGATCTGCAAATAACAGCATCATGGACTGGGGGAATCTTTTATGTTTCGACCACATTTTCGTCACTGTATCACCTGAAGGTCAACGTGCTGCCTTGTTTGCAAAGAACCTGTCTTTTATGATACGGCCAAGAGTACAAGGGTACATACGAAGTCATTGGTTATGAAAACAAAATCAAGTGTATTAAAGCATTATTGTATTAAGTTAGTTTGATTGTTTTCATTAGTTGTTCATGTCCTAGGTCCATTGTTTTATTGTTAGGTGCGGTCCGTGTATGATTTCCTGGCCAGTGCTGCATTGGTTGCATCCTCTACCTGTGCTATTGGAAGCAACAGAGGCTACGACGAGCTTGTTCCACACCATGTAAGATGTCTTAAATAGTAACAGTGTACACGGGGGTCGCAAAAGTATGGGGCGATGCCTAAAATGGTGGCTCACAGAAGCTACGGATCTAAGTTTCTAGAACAAAGCTCTAGGTTAAGGGGTTTTGGTGACGAGAGTGCTCAATAGGAAAATTTTGCGCAGGTCCAAGGGGTTCTGAATGAAAATATACTTGAAATTGTTTTTTTTGGGGGAAATATCACGGAAACAGTGAAACAGGCCAATTTTATGCAGCATAAGAAAATTAATTTAAACTCGAATCTGAATACGTGTACATATGCTCTGACTATAGACATAGTACTGGGAAGATCCTTTCAGCTGGGATTTCTGGATGTAGCTTATCAATAAAGATAGCATGTGAGCAATTTCGAAAGCTGCCGTCTTTTGATTAAAATAGTTAGCGTGCTCAGTTACGTAGATAGTTTGCATGTGGGTAATTCTGTTTATTTATTTCAGAGGCACGATGAAGGCAAATTGTTTCCATTTCATTTTTTCATTTGCTAAGGTAGTGAGCAAATCACAAACTTAAAACAGAAAAAGTTTTTTATATAAATAACGATTCACCGAGTGTCAACATTGAAACTTTAAAGTCAAACATTGGAGCCAAAATAATTTTCTCAGTAATAACTTTATGATCAGAAAGTATTTTTCATTCTTCATAAAGAATGCGACATTTTATTATCATCTTTTATGAATAAGCCTTTACAGAATTTCTTTCAAACAAACGAATAATTAAATTTTCCTTCAACAGAAAGTCTGTCAAAAGGCGAATGCATTTTCCCACCATATAAACTATCGTTTCCAAACCCCTTAACCTTGTTATTATGTTTTCAAGATTGTTCGGCTTAGGCCCTTAGCTTCTGTAAGCCGCCATTTGGATCTACCATTTCTATACTTTGGGGAACCCGTTGTACATGTATAATTGAATAGGCGAGGGGATATCTCTAATGATACGCCAAGGGTTTGATATTCCTGTCTTCCGTGTGACGATTGGATTGATCAGGGCACACATTTCCCCAAAGTAAGCCTCAAACAAATTGGTAAATTTCAGGCTTTTCTCCAGCCTTCATACTTTGATTTTTGGTAGTCTTTTCAGCACAACCTGGCCTTCGGATATCAGTCTGAAGTAGGACATACTTTTTGTTTAATTCCTATAGTTTATGATTTCCCAAGTCATTATTTCAGATGTTTAGTGTGATCAATTTATGAAACAGAAGAACAATTATCGTATGAAATGTTTCCTCTATCTGTATCCTAAAAGGAATTATTTGTACCAAATCCTAATCTTCAGATGTACTTCTTTCACCATGTGTGTGCAGATTTTCCTGACATCTTTTTTCACAGTTGATTGTTTCAATCCAACGTCAGGAGATGTCGCTATTATTTTTATCTTGTAGATAAATGTTGTTAACGAGAAACGGCTTTATAAGGCGTGGAATGCAGACACGTCCTATTCGGAGAGCTGTGTTTCTTTATCCAGTGGAATTATTCACGCCAAACGAACACTTAACCATCTACACAGGGAACTCCGCACCAAAGGTTATGATCAGGTATTTTTGCAGTCTCTCTATATGGCTCATAGCTTTCCACTCTGTGATTGCTTGTTCATTAAGCTTCATTTTGAAGCAACAACTACTCTAGCCCTATCCTTTCACAAACTGTATTTGAGAGACGTTTTCCTGGTGCCCGTCGGCGTTTTAACGGAATATTGTAGTTTCGACAGATAAGAGTTTATAAAGATGTACCCATCTAACTAAGATGCATGTTTATAACTTAGATCATTTTTTAGATATTTGTGGACCAGGTAGACGCGAACGTTGTTTCTGTCACCAGACACTGCCCAAGGACGCATGAGTCAGTTATCATTGTCGCACATACTGCGTTCAGCGACCCACCGGCAGAAGACATGCCTTCGCCTCGTAACCTCTTACAACGGATCCACGCCGCCACTTGTCATCCCAGGTATCTATGCTTTGCATCCCCACACGATTGGGTTTATTAAAACGACGACTGCGAATCTCCCTTTTATTACATTCAATTTTACTCAGTTAGTTATTTGTTACACGAAATAGAAGGGAGCGAAAAGTGTGATCCTACTGAGATTCAGTTTTGCGAAGCTTTTATTGCGCACAGTGGACCATGGCTGAACTGATTTTTTATAGATAAAAACTAAAATATTGTTTCAATTGTTCGGGTTGTAAGGAAAGATTGAATGACAACTCAACAAATGAAGGATTTTCAGAAAAAGTAATTCGTCATACTCATTTTATTTTTTGATAGTTGATAGTTTGATAGTTTTTAGCTGTGTTGTGCTGTAAGCGTACGGTGCATGAGTAACAGCTGATATCACAAGACTCGTGTTTTTCCTTCTCATTAAGCCTATATGATACAGATGAACGCAACGTAAAAATTTGAGATCTATCCCAGGTTATTTCTAGAAATTTGCCAGTTTTATTTACCAATTAAAACACAGCACGAAACCTTGTATGAAATTGATATCAACATTTCATCAGAGTGAAGTTTTGAAATTTTTTTAAGAAATTAATTGAACGCTTTTGATTTGGCAGGCGTTTTAGAAGAAATTTCCTTCGAGGCAATGTTATTGCGCAATTTGGACGAGACAGAGTTTGTTAAAAACTCAGTGTGGATTAATGGACTGGAGTCTTTTCATGTTCACTTGAATGAGCACATTTCTGTGGAAAGGTCCAAGGTAAAACTAAACAACTGATCTGGCTGTCGAATCTTATTATCTCACTCATAAAGTTTTCTTACTTTTACTTCGAAGTCTCTTCATTTTTCATGCGTTCAAACAAATGCTCAAATAACTATTATAAATTTCATGTAGTGTCATTATTTTTTTCAAGATTTGCAGCTTTGTCAAGTCTGTTGACCCTGAAGATGACCACTCGATCGAAGTGCATTTCGAGAATTTTCCGCCAGGCAGCGTGATTGCCTTCAAAGTTTCTCTCAATGATAAAGCTAAAAAAGCTATTGGACAGTTAAGGTGAGTGCTTTTGATCAAAGCCATGAATCTGAAACTGGCTGCAGCGAGGCTACCGTTAGCTTGTTGTTGTTGTTTTTGTTTTTGCATAGGTCATAACAATACAGTAGAAGCCCGCATAAAAGAACTTAGGTTTTTCTCTGCCTGAATCGGTTCTTAATTAACAGGCTGCTATTCTAAATTCCAACCTGTACTGTTCTTAACAAAGTTCTTATATACGTACAAGCCTCACACATACTAACAATGCTTTTCACCGTAAAAATTCGCACTGACACAGTTAAACCAGCTATATTTTTCATGTTAAATTTCAACCAATCAAATTCATTTTTCTTGTTGGGTTGTCTATTTAGAATGCATCATACCATAACCTGATTTACTTTAAGCTGGTTTAATTTGCCCGTGTGAATAGGGTATAGGAATACCAGTCTAAAAAACTCTTTTCTAATGTATAAAAATTTAAGACCCTTTCCAAGTTTCAGCTTATTAGGGATTCCTATTAAAGGGTTTTAAAAGATTAAATTTCAGCCTCAAGAAATTAAATTTCTACTGTACAGCAAACTAAATTTCTACTGTACTTTATATCCCAATCTCAGAAATTCCATGTTATTTCAAATCTTAGAAAGGTACATAGAATTTCGCGTTTTCAACACTTACAAGGTACATTACGTTTATTTCTGTCTAGGATGATAGAACGGCGATGATAAAAAAAGAGAATCGTCATTTGTCAGATATACGTGAAACAGTTGCGAACTAGGGATCCACCGACTAGTTTTACAATAATATTTGTGTCCTGAGTAATTAGCTTTCGTTTTTCAGATATATTATTTCCATTCAATTTTAGACATTTTTTTAGTTTAGTGATCTTTTGGAATTCACAATTCACCACTCCAATGTAGTACATGTGAGTTTAGCCAAAGACACTGCAATTAAGGTTCAAAATTGAATTTACCATCCTGCCTTGATAATGACAATGAAGTTCCAAATGACAGAAATAGGAATTTGAAGAATAAATTGAGGATTGTCACAAATTTCTGGCATCATTCAGTTCACCTGTGGTCAGGTCTAACATTTTGGTCGCCTATTCCAGATTTGCTTCATCCGACTTTTTAACAATAACTATTTGTTACCGACTATGCTTGCTTAGAGGAAAAAGTATGTTCGGTCCATGTCTTTGTGCATTATATTACTTGTGCAGTTTGCCATTTTTTACTCACTCGTTCTTCGAAAAATTAGCAATATAAACTTAACGAGAAATTAGAAATACTTAGCAGTCCTGCAAATAAGCGTGGTTATTTTGCAGGTCAGTGCTAAACATGTTTCCAGAACAAAGTTTTGATCTAGAAACGAGCTGCATTTCAGAAGTTCGGCCAATTGAGCCCATCATTAAAGATCTCGATTTGGCCGCTTTAAACAGAATTCTGTACCGATCGCAGCCAGAAGAGGTGGATGATGGTCATGGCGGTGGTGCATATGTTATTCCAAATTATGGGCCCTTGACATATTGTGGCCTACAAGGTACTTTCCCTCAAGTATCTCAAGAATCTAGCCTTAGACCTTTCACTTTCTTATATGCTAGAATTTTGAAATAGAATAAGATAAATTTGTTCATGAAACTAAACATCTTGTTGTTCTTATTTATGATGGTTCGAAGTAGGGAAGTCAGGCAAAGAAAAGATGTAATCGATTTTTATTTGCAGAGTTCTACTATTCAGCAGAATGGTAACCCTAGGTAAAAGCTTTTGAAATGAAATTCAATAAATGTTTCATGCAGCTAAGTGCGTCTATCCAAACCCTTCCATCATCATTATCGCACATTTATATGCTTTTAGGCTTTGAATCAGTTTTGTCCGTTGTCCGCGCTTCAAATGACCTTGGACACCCAATATGTGACAATCTTCGTGCTGGGAATTGGATGTTTGAATACGTTGCCAATCGTATGAAGCATAATCATCTCACCAGACAGGTTTGTTTTTGTTGCTTTTACCTTCTTGCTTGTTTTAGGATACTCTTTCTTGTCTGAACTCAAATCGACATCATTATTATGTTTCAAATGTTTGCGTTTTCAGCTTGGCTTGTGGATGGGGTCTGTCGTTGGCTTCCTTCGCAATTTACCCAGGTTCTTGGTTCCCTGTTACTTTGACGCTGTCATTTGTGCGTTATACACCAAACTAGTTTATCAAGCCTGCTCCAAAATGTCAAGGTTTGTGTGGCATTTTCTTTGTTACATTTACTCTTAAACTTTCACTATCAGTATTTTTAAAAAATACAATTGTCTAGGATATTAGCCTACAAGATAATGCGCGTGTCTCTGTTACCCTAGAGTGTGAAATATAACCTTTGAAAAAAAGAAAGCAGGCTAGGCAGGAAGACAGTGGAAAAAGGAACACAGTGGAAAATCATGCTCTAAGTTTTCTCTAAGCAAAATTAGTTTCCTTGGCAATCTTTTTCCAAAGGCCGCACACGGACTATCATTGGAAGTTTACTTTGAGCGCCTTTTTTAACGGTATGAAATCAAACAGCCATCGCTCCTAATCCGTTATGATTTGTTATGTTTTCAAAAGTTAACATTTCAAGTGATTGTGCTGTTTTCTAACTCGTTCTTAGTTTATAAAGGCACGAAGATACTTAAAATAAGTTCAAGTTTGCCTGGCTGTATCTTGCAAGAGTACCAATAAACCCCCTGACAGCTTGATGTCTAAAGCCTTGTTCCAAGTAGACTTCCTAGCGACAAAACTGATAACTATTCAAATTGGTCAAAATCCCCTCAGTTTAAAACCAGTTTATTTTCTTCTAGTTTTGTGCAAAACGGGTCGACCTTTATTCAGTGTCTTGCTCTTGGATCGGTGCAGCTATGTGGTCTGACAAATAGTGCCTCGTTACCCAGACTGCCATCAAACACAGATAACGAAAAGGAGGTTTTGACAATGGCAGCTGGCCTACCACACTTTGCAATCGGCATGTGGAGGTGCTGGGGAAGGGATACGTTCATCAGCCTACGAGGGATGTTGCTCGTGACTGGCCGTTTTTCCGAAGCCAAGTGAGATTTTTTGCCTATTCTAAAGACGTTAATTCGACAATTGCCATTTTTAACCTCTAAAATGTGCTCAGTGAATGTAAGGTTTCTCAATTCAATCAGCTGATATCCATTCACATGGTGCTTTTTATAGTAAAGGTACTTGATTAGGAAAAAGTCAGCCAAGGAGGTTCTTAATCTCCAGTTTGTTTAATGCGGATATTCACTGTACTTAAATGTGTATTTTCAGTAAAGTAGACTATACATAACCACAGAGAATGCTGACTCTTCTTTTTTCCAGAAATTTTCTTTTTCAAAACTGATCACAGCCAGACAATATATTTTATAATTCGAATAAATTTGAAGCCAGTTATAAAGTAGCAATGACAGAAAACCTGTTTTTCCCTTGATTTTAGCCTTTTCAATTTCATTAAGTGTTTCCAACTTCTTTTTTCCAACTACGATTTTGTTTTCTATTGACAATTGATGAACGTTTTATTATCATTTGACTCGCAAATCTCTTCTAGGAGGCTCATACTGTCATTTGGCGGATGCCTTCGCCATGGACTTATTCCAAATTTGTTGAATAAAGGATCAAATGCTAGGTACAATTGCAGAGATGCGCCTTGGTGGTGGCTACAAGCCATTCAGGATTACTGTAAAATGGCGCCCGAAAGGGACGGCCTTCTGCATGAAAAAGTCTACCGCATGTATCCTGGCGACAGTTCTCCTGTCATCGCGAATGACGCGCCTGTATGTAATGGTTTGGAAGACGTTTTCCCCCTATGTTTAATATAACGTATTGCACCAAACCTGTCACGTTCACTTGTGGAATATCTCAGCGTAACAGTATGCACTCAGGGCCGTCGCTAGCAGGGGGGTGCGGGGGGTGCGGCACCCCCCCCCCCTAGAAAATTCTTGTCGGCAAATTTTCTAAAAGAAGAGTTTTGTCGGGTTTTTCTTTTGAAAGTTCCCAAAGCAATAGCTTTAGTGAACTTAAAAATATTGCCCAAAAGTCCTCAGCAATTCAAAACAAAAAAAGAAAGCGCTATGGGTGTCACGGAGGGGGAAATGTCCCCCAAAAACTTCAAATTACTCCTTTTCGGCAGCCGGAGTCTAGAATCTAATGTCCAATATCCAGGGCGACCTGATTTCCACCTAAAGTTTGGGGTTTAGGAAAGGGTCAAAGTTTATTGAAAAACTCTGAACGTTGATCCTGAAGGTACTGGAAGCCACTGTAAGCAGGGAAAGGGGGCAAAGTGCCTCAGGGCCTTGAGGTCGAGGGGGCCTCAAGTAGTAAGGAACTCCATTTTAAGAATGAAATCAGTGAAACGTAGGTATGCCTAAAAATAGTTAAAAGCTCTAAACGATTGCAAGAAATGACTGCAAGAAATATTCTGAAATGCATTTTAAGACAATATGAAGAGCGTGGTCGCCAAAATTTCCTGATCGCTCCGCTCGCAGGGGGACCTCGTCTTTCGGTTTTGTTTCAAGGCCTTGGAACCCTAAGTACCCACAGTCACCCGAAAATTGGAGCGATGATTGACTAACGAGAACATCCTCTTTGATAAACAAAATCAATTGCATCAAAATGCCCCACCCCCACTTTTTAATATATTAGGCCACGCCCTATTTTGTCGGCAAATTGGTGACTGGCACCCCCCTAAGTGAAAGTGCTTAGCGACGGCCCTGTATGCACTATTGTAAATATTATTCAAAGTAGAAATGGCTCTTTAACATATTTCAGATCATCGCTTATTTGGATTCATAGAGTCGTAACAGATGTCGAAATTTGGACTGTCGCCTTTCATACTAATTGGTTTTGCCATAGATACAGCCGCTGTATGAAATCATCCAGGAAGTGCTACAGAAGCATGTGGACGGGATTAGTTTCCGTGAGCGCAATGCCGGAAAATCGCTTGACTCTAACATGAAAGATGAAGGCTTTCAAGTGTCAGCTGGAATCAACAGCGACACTGGATTTCCCTTTGGTGGCAATGCTTGGAACTGTGGTACCTGGATGGACAAAGTTGGCGGATCACATTTGTCAGGCAACTGGGGTCATCCTGCCACTCCAAGGTCTGTGTTTTGTTTATGAGTATGACTAATATAGATTTATTTTGGTTGCTGACATTTTTTACTAACAAAATTTATTCTGATCAAATGCTGCTGTCACAAGGTATTCCTGTAATGCCTTGCAGGGATGGAAGTGCTGTTGAGATTGTTGGCCTTTGTAAGTCAGCTGTGACGTGGCTAAACACATTGCACGGACAAGGCAAATATCCTTATGACGGTGTTCACACCAGAGGTATGTTACTACAAACCTTCACAACAGTAGTTACTACAAAAGCTGCCACTTCACCCCACGGGGTTTTACGTAAAATCTATGTTATGAAGTGCTTGCTATTTTCCATCGCCTTTCCACTTTAGTGGGCTCTTTCATAAGATGCAACAGAGAAATGCAGGTTCAAGCTTCCTCACGAAAGCGTAGAGTCTCTGGGCTATCAAATTTTGCTTCGTTTACTTTTAAAATCTTTCGATTAAATAATCATGTATAAGATTACAACTGATTACCGTGATTTAAAGTTATCAATGCTTACTTTCCGTAGATTCGAAATTAACATTTGAGGCTTGGTCGATTAAAATCCAAAATTCGTTCGAAGAACTATTCTGGATAGGAGTCGAGCCAAATGAAAAGATCGAGGGTGAAAGTTACAAGCTCATACATCGAAGAGGAATTTATAAGGATTGCTACGGTAGTTCTCAGGCCTATGCAGACTTTCAGATGAGACCAAATTTCCCAATCGCCATGGCCGTTGTAAGTGCTTTGGCAGTTTCATAGTGATTTTACATTTAATCTTTTGTGGCATAATAAGGGTCATGTCAAGTAATATTTTGCAATAAGTATTGTAGTGCTGGGCTATAGACAAAGCCATCTTATTCCCACTTTTGCTTTGATGAAGCCTCGTATGCCGGGGCGAAATATTAGCCATAACTTATTTGTGTGTTTGTTGTTGTTTATTCTCGTCGCGTTGCATTGTTCCTTATTTTCTACTATTTTATCGACTTTTCGCCGGAGCCCGTCGAGCAGCCTGCTATCGTGGCCTCCCATTAATTCGCACATTATTCCATCTTGTTCCACTTTCTGTTTTAAATCAACTAAGATACTGATACAGTTTCGAGGGAAAAAACTTCTTGAAAAGAAAATACATTTCGCCTGTTAATTGCATAATGTGATTGCATTTTTATGATTCTTTCCAAGTATTTTTGATAATTTGAGACATATATAAAGCTTTGCTGGAACATATCGATATTGAAGTTTAGAATGGACCATCTACCGGCCATAATTTTTCATTCATCGAGTTCCATTAGGAGATTGAAGTTAGTTTTTTGTCAAATCCTCGGAACTTATCTAACTATAAACAATTTCTTTAACATTGTCTTGCAGCGAGATTATTTGAGAATTGAAATTCATAATTTGCAAATCATCCACTTTTAGGCACCTGAATTGTTTGACAAAAACCACGCTTTGCAGGCACTGAATATGGTAGAAAAGCACTTATTAGGGCCGCTGGGATTGAAAACTCTCGATCCAAGGTATTTTTTATGTAACTATGGTTCAAAATGCATTAAGAATCTTGCAGCCATCTTTTAGCTAGCTGTCTGCAACTTAAACCTTTATTAATGAGTTTTTACTTGTCTGTATTTTAGCAGAAAAATTGACAGTTTTTTTCCATGACTTATCGTTTTTACTAATATACGTACAATAGAAAAGAATCATTTGGAAATGCAAGAACACATTAGTTGTTTTCCTGTTTAAAGTTATTTCTGCGCCAGGAGGTACCATCGGTCTCAGTCAGCTCAACCAATGCCTGTTTTTTTGTATTAAAGGTTGCCAAAGCACTTGAGCATGGCAATGTAATATAATGAAAAGAAATACTAAGCCTGTCTAAGAGACGTTTCTTTAAATTGCAGAGACTGGGTTTACGATGGTTATTACGAAAATGATCTAGACTCGACAGTCTTCAAAAAAGCACTTGGATTCAATTATCATCAAGGACCCGTAAGTACCGAATGTCTGTAATGTGATTGGCAGCTTAAGCACACACATGGGAATAGAGACATTTCCTTTTCAGAGATACTCGGGGTATGACGATAGATGTTTTTGTGGAGTAAAGCTCAACGCCACTAACACCGCTTTTACATATAAGCCTAATTGAACTTTTTTCAATGACCTTTTTCTGTGACGTTGATCGTTCAACCGGAATTCTCAACTCTTTTATGTTTTTACCTTTAGGAATGGGTATGGATTTGTGGACCATTTCTTAGAGCAAAGCTGCATTTCGGAAAGATGGTTTATGACAAAACGGAGTTTGCCGCATGTGTTGCAGATGTTCGATCGATTCTGGCTAGGCACAAAGAAGAAATAATGACTTCGCCTTGGCGAGGCTTGCCAGAGTTAACAAACAAAGATGGTTCCTTTTGCCAACATGGTTGTCCTACCCAGGCCTGGTCCATGGCCTGCATTTTAGAGGTTTTGTTTGACTTAGAAGCGATTCTAGAGAACTAGATTTTTTTTTAGATGAGTTGGTATCATGATTTCTGCTGTCAATGAGGTCGACAATGCTACGTTTTAACTGATTATTTTTCCCAAATTGCGATTCCGCTGTAGCAAAAAGTGATCACCTTTGTCATTCAATAATTACTTGAGCCATTTTCATGAGATATTTCCAAGGGCTTTTAAACTCAAAGCCAAGTGATCCGCCTCACTTTTTTCACATCTTGCTGCCAGCTAGTTTCGCTCGATGCTTGCATGCAATTTTTGATTTCATTACTTGTCATTTAATGCATTGAAACTGCATCCTCTCCGTGGCAATTATATCTACAATAAAAATAATACTAAGGCAGGAATAATTTAATGAGACAATCGAATTTTCGTGCTTTTATTTGGTTTCTAAGAGGCCACCAGGGGAAAGAATTGGCCTTTGAATTCAAATTTTTTTCGGAAGGAGGAAGATGATGCGGAGCCGCATGCTGCTGTGTGATCTGGCCTTAGTTACTTGGTTCCATAGTTGGTGTGCACTTGAGGTCATCCGTACTGAACTCACGCTGCTTTGAGTGTTTCTAAGTGCTTCAAAAATTCTCTTGTGACGAGATCACTAAGCAGTGTCATGGCAATGATATAATAAGAATACTAACATCCCAGTGGCGTAAGTGGAAGGGGATTTGGGGGCATAGGTTTGAACTCTCTGATCATCCAGTATTTTGTTCCATCGTCCTGAAACTCTTTTGCAAGAAACGAAGGTGTAATATGTTTGCGTAATATGTAATATGTTTTTCTTAAATGTTGAGATTTAAGAAAAAAGAAAGTAAGAGCACCAACGATATATATTCCCTGCGAGGATGACAGAAAAGGCAAGGCAAAAACAATTGTTGTACCTGGACCTCGGTCGCCATAGCGTCCTACATGATATGAAACTAGGAAAAGAAGAGAGTGCACGCTTTTTACACTTGAAATACCTCGTAGTATGGCATTTAAACGCTCACAAAACAGCAGCCTCGAACAGGCTGACGTAGCCAGGAGTTCAACAATGGAAGGTATAGAGAGGGGGGGGGGGGGTTAGAAATTCTTCGCGATGCCCCCTGGTAATTTTCACCATTGTTCTTTAAAAGCATTGGCATCCTCTAAAAATATGCTGGTTACGCCACTGAAAGATGATAGTACGTAGCGCCATTGCGGCTCCCATGCGTTGATCATATTTGCTACTACTACTGTAATTTAGTGGGAAAACATCATCAAAGTGATAGCACTGCCTTCTTCAATTTTTAGGTATCAGGACTAACGTTTCTAAACCACTTTATTTTTCTTGCAACTTAAAATTTTTCTTTGTATAATAGATTCTTATGTGAAGAATATTTTATTATGAAAATTTTAACTATAATAAAGTTTGGTAAGTTTGGCGAATTTTCTTAAATGTTGCTTTACGAAGTAGCATTACCTGTGTGTCGATTTTGTATTTGCAATTTCAATTTTGTTATTTGTAGTGTATATCATATCATGTCATTTTTTCTTTCGCCAATGTGTTTGAAAATTGGAGTTGTTTTACCTATAAAAATATGTGATGATAAATGACTCATTGGATAACTTGAATACGCATTTCTGTTTAACGAGTATCTTTCCTTTTCAAAACAACCATACGCAAGTTCAAAAGGAACTTTTGTTGGTTATCAAGGAACCTGAACTTTAGCTGTGAAAATATTGCTGGAGCGGAAAGCTATTTCCCTAAAAGGTTGAAGTTTAATTGTGACTTAATTACTTGTTTGTGTAAGTGTATACAGTCATTAACAAGACCTGGGATGCCTAATTATACACTGGCGTTTCAAAAGTATTTCTCTACGTTGAAGGAGGAGGCATGGCGCATCAATGATCAGGAGCTATTGTTATACAAATTTTATTGTTTTTTCAAGTCGTGAACAGAAGTTGATCGGAAGTAAAACAATTTGTTTAAAAAGTCACAAAATATAACGTCATTCAACAGTTTCAATATTCAATGACTTGTTGATTTGGGAAAGGTCAATCTTTTGAAACCGTAGTCAGCCATCTTGAATGTTTAAGGCATTCGTATCCGGCCTCGAGAACCCTTTCGATTAATAATTCTCTTATTTTTTATGATCAAAAGGACCATGGCTTATCTGTTCAGTTTATTTATTTGATTTTAAGATTCATTCTTCATACAGATTCAGAGAAAAAACAATAAACAATACCATAGCAATTAAGGCTACTCAACAATATTTATAAAATACATTATAATGTTGATTATGTTTTCCGACAAGCCAAACATTTTCAATGATTTTCGAATCCATACAAATTGCCAGGCACGAAGCCAGCATTTAAAAAGTGGGGGCGAGCAAACGTGGGGTTGTAAACTGAGCGAATCGAAAGACTGTTTAGCCTGTTCTTTAGAGGCAAAAGTTTGAATAACGGAATTGGAAAGCCTTTAAAAATTTACCGTTTTGCGTTGGATAAAGGATGTTTTCAATGAAAACCTGTTGATACTGATTTTTGTAAACCTTCTTCACCAGCGATTAGAAACCAAAGTAACTAAAGAGAAGTTTTTTCATTTGTTCTCAGTTTCAAAAATAAGTCCAAAATCCAACTGTAAAAAGTATTGGTGTTAATGGTATTTATTCGGAAATCAATATTTTAAATGGTGGTGTACCCCAAGAATCATGCCTCGGTCCCCTATTCTTCATTATTTATATCAACAATCTCCCTAGGGCAGCATGATTCGTCTATTTTCATGAATGCTGATGATACTAGATATGCTATCAATCGCTTGATAATCTGGAAAAGCTGGAAATGCGGATAAAGGGTAACAAACTCTCTTTAAATGCAGTGATAACTCAGTAAATGCCTATGTGTACAAGACAGCAGCGTTTTTAGTGTCTGCGGGGCCCGGGGCCAAGAACATCTGCGGGGCCCCTGTTCTTTACGATTTTATTCTTTTTTCTTAGGTCTGGGCCCCCTTTTGGCTACCATAAGGACGGAGCCTGGGGCCATGGCCCCCTGGACCCCCCTTTCAGCCGCCACTGGTACAAGACAAATTGGTTTTAATTAGCTTGTATGCATAGCTAGAAATTGTACCAACTTTAAATTAAAAAAGAAAAAGAAAAAAAAAGACAAGACGTTTTTTCAGAAATCAAATGCAAGAGCTTTTACTAAAAGTCTTTGATAAAATCCGAATGTCGCGGTTTACAAATTAACAATTCTCTAAATTTGCGTTCTTTGTTTGCGCTAAATCCTCCTTGCCTCTAGAAACTCTACTACAACTACAAGCAGAATTATCGAACCTTATTTCCGTTATTATTGTTGCATTTGGGGCGGCTGTGGTGTAAATGAGAAAAATAACTTACAAAAGCTGCAAAACCGAGCAGCAAAAATCCTAACAATGAGCAGTTTTGATGCGCAGGGCATACCTTTTGTGGCAAAACTCGTGGTTCTTGAGTCAGAGTCGATCGTTTTCAAATCTCTACAAGGGTTACTGCCAGTGACCTACGGCTGCCCCGAAAAAGATCATCTAATGGTAAAAAATGCTATCTTATAGAAGTCCAAAATATGAAACAGAATGTTATATTCTTTTGTATCAACTTATTCTAATTTTGTAACTTTGTAAGTGAACGTCCCCTTGAAAGTCAGCAACGCTCAAGGGCAACTCACCTGATATATCTAAATCAATCAAATCAAATCAGATCAATTCAATCGGAGAATATCAGCTGTTGAATGAAAAGAAAGCGTTAGGTTTTTTTGATAATCGGAGAAACGAAGAATCAGCCTATTTGTTCTCTGAAACAATCAACATGCAAAGCTTTGTCAACAGAATCAGGGGCGAAAATACCGGGGGGGGTGTGGGGGGGTGTGACACCCCCCCAATCCAAAAAATAGTCGATTTCGCAGGGCAATCGAAGATTTCGCAGGGCGCCAAGAAGAGCTTTATTGCCACGCAGAAATGCCACCTCTGAAGTTCGTGAAGGGCCGTTTAGGAATTTTTAAATGGAAATATCGTATTTTTTATGAACCTCCCTTCCTGACATTGTATTTTAGAGAACGGAACAGGTATGTAAATAAAAGCTCCGTTATTTGCAAGGCGAAAGCATTTCTTACCGAAAGTCATAGCCAATGGATGCAATGATGGATGCATATGTTTATGAGGGCAAAATTGAGTCCATGCAAATTAATTTAAGTTGTAAATTATTTTCATGACAGGCACGGCGTCACTGGGGGGAATAGGGGGCCGAAGGCCCTCACTTTGATCAAGATAAAAATTTTTTATCATTTTTTCTATTACTTTTTAACAGTGCATGAACTAAAAAACATAATAAATTGTTAAGATTCTTGTTAAGAACCGAATTTGTTTCATCTAATTGCTAACTTTTTCACGTATATTTTTATCATTTTTCTTTCATTTGCATTAATTCAGTAAATCATTTTCTGTATCATTGCAATGTTTTAATTTTTTATGTGTAAACATGTCCTTCTCGATACAAGAAACTGCACATTTCTGTTCAGGAAAAAAAATTCCTCAAATCAAAACAACATCTTCCTCTGTCATTCACAACTACGTGCAATCTGAAACGAAAGGTTGCCGTTTCTTTCCTTCCCCAACGTTTAACACTAGAGTTTTAGCATGATATTCCCCCTCCCTATTTTTTCCAATAAATAATAATATTTTCAATAAACAATCAGTTCTTTTAGCACAATAGTATTTTGCTAAATTTTTGTCTGAAAGATGCTTTTTAGCCCCTTTAGAAGGTATAATTTCAAAAATTTTCTTCACGTCGGACCCAACCATGGTGGGTCCTCCTACCTAACTAAACTTGATTCTTAGTCCCCCTGAGCTAAATTTCGTTGCGATGTCTGCATCAAGTATCCCCCCCCCCATTAGCTGTTTATTAGCTAGTATTTTGCAAACCAACATTAAATGAAGTGAATATAAAAAAAATTACGCTCACGTAGAGAAATAGATATTTCATAGGCAATGAAGTTTCAAGTTTGTTTTTATTGCTTAGAAGTTTGTCCTTGGTAATGACCAGTGTACACTGGTAAAGCTTTCACTAGTAGCCTATAGACAAACCGTTGCTACGAGGTCTGCAGGGCACCAGTCAGTTTTGCAGGGCAGAAACTCTTTTCACCCCCCCAAACCTATTGGCCAAGTTACGCCCCTGAACAGAATATCAACAAGGAAATGTCTGATTTTATCGATGATCCTCTCCAGTCAAGAAAGAGGTTTAAATTCTAAATATAAACTGTATCAAATGTTTGGCGACAGAGGGAGATCTAGAGAAGACAAAGCATGCTATACTTCGAACCAAAACAAAACAGTCAAGCAATCTACTTTGAAATTCAAGACGTAATAATAAATTCTATCAAAAATCATGTAACTCGTGTTGGCGGCATCAATTTTCACTTGTCAGAATGTTAATAAATGTGAACTTTCCCATCAGCGATGAATTTTGAACAATTTTGAAAAAGTGCTATTTAACGAAACAAACGAAACGAGCTCAATACCTCAAAAACCGTTTGCAGGACATGGATCAATTCGGTTTTTTTTATCAAAGCTAGCAGAAACCTTGAAGAAATTTTTTTAGGCTGGTGATAAATATGAGAATAAGGCCGATTGATTGACACAGCATTGCACCATTATGCAGAGCATGGTGATCGCGCACCAAAAATGCAGACGCGGTATCGTTAAAGACGCACCTAACAACTAGCTTTAATCAAACTAACGAGGAAAGTTGGGGGCTGTTGGCACACCCAAGACCCTGTCAAAAACGGCGATATTCTGCAAACCTGGCATTGCAGAGGTCATTTTATAAAACATAACAATAACTTGAAAATATTTTCAACAACAATTGCTTATCGGTTATGGGGTTGGTCAAGTGTTAATTTGCTTTAGGCGTACAAAGCTTTGAAAGACACAGTGACAATAATCTTTTTCATTAACTTTTTAGATATTTTGTCGTATTTCCACAAATCTCTCCCAATTTATTAGAAAATCCTTACAAATTCCTTCTAATTTATTCATCCGTTTTTTCAATCGACCATTATTCCCGAAAAAAGGATAAATCCTTCCAAGAAGTGGAAGTTGCTACTTAAATAAAACACTTCTGTGAGGCCTCCTCAGGAAAACGAGGATCGGAAAACGAAAGCGAGACAATTGATTTGTTTGATCGTCAGGTTTCCCGAGAATTCTAAATGTTGAAGATGCCTGTATACTTAACAAAAGGACCTTCTAACTGAGATTCTTGAGTTGATCATTTCATTTTTGTACTGTAACTATTATATAGTTATTTAGCAATGCCGAAACGCAAATGGGATGATCACTCAAGTAACTGCTCCTGTGATAATGAAAACCAAACTGCAGAGATCTTGAAGTTCCCCGACAACGTCTTGTTGCTTGTGTTCGCTCACTTGGATACTGCTTCTTTGATAAAGGCATCGAAGGTTTGTAAAAAATGGTATACACTTTCAAAGGACTCGTCTTTGTGGAGAAAGCTAGATATTCGTTCGATTCCTAAGGCATTATCGCAGAAAAGTCTATGGCGGCTGTCAAGAGCCCGGTTTACAGCAGCCCTCAGAGAGCTTCATTTACGTGGTTCCGTTGGACCAACAAGGGCAATATTAGATTCAATTACGATTCCGTTTCTTGACGATTTAAAATTGCGCTGCCCAAACTTGACTGATCTCACGTTGGAAAATTACGATCTTCGCCACAACGCGATGAGCATTTCAGTTCTTCCTTCGCAGCTGTCTTATTTGTCTTTGAAAGATTCGATGCTGGCCCATGGTTGGTTTGAGAGCCTCAAAAACAACACTTTCAACATGGATAACCTGAAGTACCTTGATCTGAGCAACTGCACAGCAGTTAGCAATACGGACCTTGAAGCACTGTCGTATTTGACCAAGCTTCATACCTTACTGCTTTACAACTGCTATAGGATCTCTGCAAGGGGCATCCCAACAATAGCTGCCAATTTACACTGTCTGACCCACTTAGATGTGGCTTGCTGTCCTGGAATTAATGACGTGGCACTCCATTACTTTGGAAGAAACCTGAATGAGCTGAAGAAATTGAATTTAAGGTTCTGTCATCATGTAACAGACAGTGGTATTGCTTCTCTTGTGTATGGTGCCAAGGGTCTAGAGCACCTTGACTTGTTCAGTTGTCATGAAGTAACAAATGAAAGCCTGAAGAATATATCGAAATATTCAAAAAAACTCAAGTATCTTGATGTGAGAAGTTGCAAAGTGACAACAGAAGAGGTAATGGCACTCTGTTCAGCACTGCCACAATGCAATGTAATATATGTAGAGGCAATGACCGTGGCAACCCTGGCTTGCAATGCAGGTCACCAGTGTGGATCATCTTCATTCTAAAAGGAATTACATTTAATGTAAACCCCATAAAACTTGACAATATTGGACATATTTGAAGTCAAGCACACTAAAACCTCTAAACTATTTGAATTTTATTTGGATTTGTAATGCAGACTATGAGACACTGTAGCAATGTAAATTTTTTCTAAATATTGACAATCCTGGAAAATTATTTCCCAAATATTGGCTGTAAATATGACACAAAATGTTGGAAACAGTGTGTGAAGCAGCTCAAATTTGCTACTGTGCCTTGTCATGCACACGTTCATTTTCTTGTACAGTTTTTCAAAGTTATTGTATTTGTAGAATAGAAACAATAGGAATGCCATTTATTGGAATTCTGAACTCTTTATACTGGAAAGTAAATGTGTAGTATTTGTAGATGGTAGTTATTTACTAGTCACAGACTGTGTAGCATACATATTAAGTAAAACTGACGTGAGTAGCTGCATTTCACATTCCTTCTTGGAAAAATGTACCTTTGGTAAAAGGATTTGAAAAGACATGATGAAGGGGTAGGTATACCCAAAGATGCCTAGTCATGTTTTCTAAGCTTGATTACTATTAATTTCCTTGAGACAGATTCATGAATTTACTTCATACTGATCTAATGGATCAGGCCTTGTAAGGAGAAAAAATCAGGCACTTGACAAACCGAGCACCTTCATCTTTCAAGGTGCTCAGTTGAGTATCATCAAATATCATTAATAACAAAATTTGGGTTTACACATTTGTTTTTAGACAGCATAAACATGCTAGGTGCTCAATCAATCAAGCTCCTAGAACTTCATAGGCATGTGTAGAGGTGCTTGATCGAGCTCAAATGCCGATACACCTTGACTTAATGCCTTGTAGTTGATGTGTAACCGATCTTGATAATGTATTTAAAGCCTCAAGGATTTTCAATTGTATGAGTGTAGGGTTTTAACTGATTGAAAAATAATTTCTGTAAAACTACTGACAGTGTGCTATCAGTTTCTGTTTTTAGTGCTTTCTCTTTAAACAGTCTGAATATCTTACTGCCCTGAAGACTTTTAGATATTGTGTACTTGAAGTTAAAATCAGAACTGAATTGTGATAATGCATGCTACTCAAAGGTAGAGGGAATGCAGTGATGGCGCATCAAAGGTTCAGTGAGGGTGTTCACCAAACTCTTCCTAAGCAAAGAATTTTCCACCATCTTTGGCAAAGAATTTTCCATGCATTTCCCAATTTTTATACTTTGCAATTTTTCAGTGAATCAGAACATATTTTTGACTTGTTGTGATCACCTTTACACTCTACGTCAAACAATATCACAGCCTTTCATAGTAACTTTGTTTGTCGCTATTCTTCCAATATAATGGTTGTGATAAAATGATTTTTTCTATAAAATGATCTTACAGAGAGCACAAGAAGCTTTGATTAAAGGGCTTTTTTCTGCTAACAGAGAGCAGAAGAAGTTTTTTCCTGGAACTAAAAAGCTCTACCTCTTGTTTGCTGTACCCAACCAAGTGACTTTCATATTAAGTAGCTTTTCATGGCTAAAAAAATTGATGGAAACTATTCAAAGTTATATGTGACAGAAATATCAAAACAGACCTTCCATAATGATGCATAGGGCAATTTAACTTTTTATGTCATTCTAAAATTTTCATAAATCAACAGCGCAAACTAGATAAGTGTTGACAGAATTTTTTTGCGAATTTGATAAATATAAATAAATATTTGGTGGAGCCCAGCATATCAGAACAGCTATTGTTTCTCTGGTGAACAATGAACTTTTGATTTATCTTAGTACTGAAGATGGTAATATTTTTGAAATAATTCTCAAAATCTGCAAACAATTGGAAAAATTGAATTAATTGGGGGTATCAAAGAGCCATCAGAAAAGCAAAATCTGACTTCTCTATTGCAACCCGTTTCTAAAAAGAAACGAAAGGAAAATCATACACAGTGTTCTAAATCCTCCGCCAAAACGTTGTACTTTTTGCCCCTCTGAGCTTAACAAATATTTCGTTGAAATTGTGGGGAAATTTTTAAATAAAGCGCCAACACAGGCATAAAGAATAGCTGAAATCATAGGCAGCTTGCCTAACAGTAACAGGGATAATGGTGCATTGTTTAAGCTGTGTCAAGTTGCTTTTGAAGAAGTACACAATTTTTTTATAAGAAACTAAGGCCCGGTGCTGGTAGGCAGTTTCTTAAATTTTCTGGCCATTTTGCTATCAAAAGTTTCTTACATGTTTCTTAAATTTCTAAGGTAATGAATTTTTTAAACGTTCTTCCAAGGTAATATATATAATTCACTCACATTCAGAGATAAACTAACAAGTGGTAGTGATCAAGGAATTTTGTTTTTCTAGAATGAGTAACTCTGTTGAGAGCTGTAAACAGTTAAGCTCATTGAACTTCATCAATGTCAATTTGAAGTCAAAATAAATTTTTAAAAGGAAACTTCCTGAGTGTGCAATTTACTGAGAATGAATGCAAACTGGATGTCAAGTGCAGTGTTGCAATATACAATGATTTTACTGCAAATTATAAAACTGCAAATTATAAAAGTTTCTTAGCTTATTTCAATTTGGGTAGGGTTGTTTCTTAACTTTTGAAAATTTGAGCCTACCGTTCTTATAACCTGTTTCTTATAAAAAAATTAGTGTATGGAAACAATAGAGTACCGAAGTGTGACATCATCAAAATAATCTTTTTTTAGAATTTCATACGTTTGACCACATAATCTGAAAGAACAGCATAAAATACCTCCCAATATGCAAAATCAGTTAGATATGCTCAAAATTGGGCGAGATAAGGCCAATGAAAGACTTCAAGTTTGCTAACGGATTACTGTTATTCTGGCCTGGTTCATAAAGTTACGAACCAAGACCAAATAACATATTTGATGGGGCAAGAGTCTTTGCTCATGGGGCCATATCTCAGCCAATTTGTAATGCCTTAAGCCTAGCGCACACTAGCGATTTTTGTCGCCAGCGACGGCGATTTTTGTCGCCAGCGACTAAAAACTGAAAATCGCAAGTGTGCGGGGCGCAAAAACAAATTTTTGTTGATCAGCCAATCATAAAATGTTTTCAAGGCACGCGGAAAGTGTGTTGATTTTTAAGAATATTGACAAGATGGAGGTCACAGGAACATGCTCGTTCTCTTGGACAACGCATTAAGAGGATTAGTTAGTCGATTTGTGGCGCGGGAAACCCTACTTGTACGCCATATCCTTGTACGCCATATAGGACGGCAAAAGCTGCAGCCGTGGCTGAGCTTGCTGATGCTCTTAGTGCCACGAGCGGGTACTACTGCTCTCAATTATTTGTAAACGTATTTGGATAAACACGAACAAGATTTCTCTCTCATTGCACTAACAACTGCACTTCTATTAATATATCTTTTTAGCAGTATGGGTTGCCTAAAAAGCGAAAAATCTCGTACGATGTAGGTATTACTATCTACTAGCAACTAACAGTAAAACAGATAACAAACAAATTGTGCATAAAACCTATGTGTTGGGTTCTCTACAGTAGGAAAGTGAAGAAAATAAAATTGGTAGCTTAATTTAGGCCAAGCTAAATCTACAATTTTAGGCGTAATTTTTTGCCATTAAATGTGGCCTGGTTAAATCAAAGCTGAAATATTTTTCATTGTTTTTGTCTAAATTTTCCCATCCCGTAATTTTTGAGGATGTCCAGGCACTAAAAAATTTGATTGTTAATTTCTGGTCATTTTTATCGAGGCTCATTACGAGGTGGAGACTAAAAGTCATTGGCCAAGGCAGAAAAGATCGCAAGTGTGCGGGGGAAAACATTTAGTCGCCAGCGACAAAAATCGCCGTCGCTGGCGACAAAAATCGCCAGTGTGCGCTAGGCTTTATACTGAATTTGCAAATTTAAAGATATTTCATAATGCTTTTTCAGGTTCTGGGATTAGAATTAAAAAATTCTAAAAGAATATTTTTATGACGTCATCACTTCGGTTCATTGCGCAATGACACATCTACGGGTTCAGATGGCATGTATCCCTGTTCGCTATATAAAGTTGGTGCAAGATACATTGTGTTTCCCCACGGGGAATTCCCCTTCTTACTGGAAATGTGCACGGATTGTAACTATTAATAAAGTGCCTACTACTTTTGAAAAATCAGATTTTCGTCCGATCGCTATTCTGCCAGCACTATAAAAAATCTACGAAAGATTCGTTTGCAGCCAAGTTGTTGAGTTCATTTAAGATATCATCATGGCGACCGCAGTCGAGCATTCATGATGACGTAGTTTCTCCATAAGCCACGGTCGTCCATAGCTACTGGTGGTTGCTCCCAGGGGCGGATACAGAATAAAAGTTGCCGGTCGCACATTAACAGTGCCCAGCAGGCGATCTAGGGGGCCTCCCTCATGGTTAAGGGCGGAGCCATGATGGGGGCCCAGCCCCAGCCCCCCACCCAGAACCACAGCAATTAGGACTGGGGCCCCGAAACGTTCAAATTGTTCAGTCAAACATTTTTCCCTTTAAAAGGTTTTCAAAATGCAGTTTAAAACTCAAACTCAAACTCAAAATATTTTTTTCAACATAAAATTGATTAATTACAATATACCGGTTAACATAATTATACTAAATATAAAATATCCAAGTTAATATGGCTAAATAACAATGAATGGTCAATCGCAATATTTTATAGAGAGCAATGAGAATCAAACAATTTTAGGCTGATGGACACATGGAAAGAACTTTGGGCAAGCTATCGAGCCATGTATCCAAATTGACGTGTTTATAATGACGATTTTAAGTTTGAATAATAACAGTAAGATATAACAAGAATAAAATAAAGTAGAACGAAATAAAAATAAGACTATGTGTAATATTGTAATAACAGCTAATTCAATTATAAAAAAAATCATAAAGTAATCAAGCCTACAGATGTCAAATTTTGTTCGTAAGAAAATATTTCATCTGTTTCACAAAGTGGTGTTTATTATCCATCTTTTTTAACTCTATAGGTAGGGAGTTCCAAAATTTAATACCATCGAAAGTGAGAAAGTTTTTTTTAAAGTTTGTAGAGATGGATGGAAGAGAAAAACCTTCAGAAGAAGATTCCCAACTTACAACCTCATCCACTTTCTTCCCTTGCCAGCAGTTGTGCGGCATAGTAATCTAACATAGTGTTTACAGACTTTTCGTGCCGCACAAATATGTGAAAACTTGAGTTTTGATTGGTGAGATTTGGTAAAATAATTGCATAACAAAGAGCCCTGCATATTTGTGCGGCACGGGCGACATGCTTAAAAATCATACTGTTTACGGTCTAGAGTGGTCTTGGAATTCTTTCTATATTGAATTATATCGTAGCATTGTGTGTGAGATCGACCAAGTTCGGTCCTGTGTTTATTGTGTAAAGAGAGCCAAATGTATTATCTGTAAGGAGGAAAATAAAAGATTTTGGTAAACATGATTGCCATATTTCAATGACTGAAGACTAAAACTAAATTCTGATCATCTGACGGTCTTCCGTACGACCTGTGCTGTGCGACACCCTGAAACTGCCCCTGGTTGCTCCTTGGTTATGTCTTTCGTTAGTTGGCCTGGTCGATGAATGTTGGAGCAGGCGAGCAGGTCTTCCCCTGCTGCGCCTTCCTCCATTAGGGGTTCCCAAAGTAGAAGCTTGTGAACAACTTCTTGTTTACTCCTCCAGCAATGACCTGAAAATCGTAATCGTCTTTGGGCGATTGTAGTTGTAATCTTGGGTTTCCGTACAGTGTTTCATTAGAGACGTGATTACGCCAGTTTACATTTTGGATGATATTTCATATTTAATTCTTTTAAGGAGGGTTGCCCTTCAACAAGTTGATTTTCAGGGGGCCCTCAGATAAAAACATTACTTACAAAATATACAAAATAAAATCTATTATCTAAATTAAACTATAAAACCCTATTTTCAATATTCAAAACCTATATACAATAATGCTAAAAATTTACAAAAATATGAAAGAAAACAGTTTCTAAATAGTTTTTTTACTTTTGCTATAGCGCATGACCATTTGTTCACTTTTATCCAAGTTAAAATTCAGGAGGTTTTTCTTTTGAAATTATTTTGCAATAGTAATCATTTCCTGCATTTTCTTATGAGATATGGAAGCAATTAATACATCATCCTGAATAAAGTAATGGAGGTATCAAAATGTTCCTAACGTAAATTCCTAGGTTTTCTCTTCTTACTATTTGCATACCTTTATCAATATGATTGGCACAGATGGGGGCTGCCACTATACACGCCGGTCTTCCACCCCAGCCCTTTAGTGAGAGGTTTGCTTGGGGGCATCAAAGCTGCCATGCGTAATTATCCTAGCCGCACGGTTTTAAAGTTTTTGTAACTGATTAATTTCAGTTAAACCTGCGCAGCCCCAGACAGAACAGCAGCATCGAAAGTTGGGCTCTACAATACATGCGTAAAGAGTTTGCAATATTTCTTTCAGGAGAAAAGACTTGGCATGTCTTAAAAAGCCAACTGCCCTCGAGACCTTGCTAGAAGCTGTTTGATTTGTTCTTTCCAATCCAAGGAGCAGTCAATTTGTACCCCAAGGTACTTCATTTTTTTACTGCTTTAAGCTCATTATCACGAATTTTCAGAACCATATTATTTTGACTTTTGAGAATGTTGTGATTCTGCTTGGAAGAGAACAGCACAGAATAAGTTTTCGCAACAATAAGGGAAGACATGTTGCCAGCTTGTTTTCTTGTAGCCAAGTGTCCAGTTTTCTAAGGTCACTATTGATAGCCTCACTTCTGTCAGTCATCAGCATACATGGAAACGGTGGACTCTTGGACAGCTTGTGGAAGATCATTGATATAGAGGAGGAAAAGAAGGGGGCCAAGATATGAGCCTTGTGGAACACCGTCTTCTATGTTCCCAATTTCTGAATCCACACCATTAACTCTACAAAACTGTTTCCGATTGAAAAGTTAAGATTTAAGCCAGACAGAGAGATTACTTTGCTGTACACCGTAAAGCTCAAGCTTTTTGCAGAGAATGTTATGATCTACAGTGTCAAACGCCTTTTGAGGTCAATAAACACTAGACCCACAAGCCTACCAAGATCCATTCCATTGTACCAGTCGTCGGTATTTTTAAGTACGCATGTTACTGCTGAATGGAGTCGCAAAAGCTGGATTGGCCAGATAAAAAATGCGAGCTTCAGAGAGTAGCTAGAGATGCTATCAGTCCCGACAAACGTTATAACGGACAAACGGACCTTCCAATCCCAAAGATCTGATCTGTAAATCGGGACAAGCTCTGGATATAGTAACTATCCGAGGCGGCATCATGGTTGCTGCCGAAGGAAAGGAAAATTTACAAATTTTGATGATTCTAGTTCGCTGGAAAATGCACCGTTCTCTAAGCAATTTTTACTAAAGCAATTCTCCTAATCGTGCTGAAAATTTCTTTATTTTTGCAAACATATTGTGCAGCAGCAGATAATAACAACGGATACAATGTTGCCGTGGTCTTGAAAAAAGAATGCTTTTGCGTTACATCTAAAGCCAGGTAAACAGAACTTCTAATTGTCAATTGACCCTCTTCTCATCTTGCAATTTCTTTTTCGCATATAAAAAAGGTCTGGAGCTCATTGTAAATTTTAGTTAACGATTCTTTCGGAATTTCAGTTTCAAAGTTTGACACATGGTAAAATTTTACTAAAGGAAGCTCTTGATTTTGGATTTTGCCAGTGGTGGAAATACTACATCACTGAACTTTGCAAGAAGCTTTCTAGGACTACCTGATCATTTTCCGCTTCCTACCCTCACCTGCCTCTATAGGGGGGTAGAGGTAGAGGGTGTGTGATGGCCTTTAGCTCATCATTCTCATCTTGGTGCATGGAGCCTTACCTCAGAAAAATATCTTAATCCATTATTCCGACTACAGAAGAATATTCTGCGAGCCATTAAATTACAAACGTTTTCTGCTCCCTTTTCGCCAATTTTCCATTCTTTAAAAATGGCAGTTGAATCTTCATTCTTTCCCCTGATCGCTGGCGAAATGCAGGAAAAGATGTTCCCCTCTTCACTTCTGGCGCCTTCAGGTGCACCCAATCAACAACATACATGGCGGATAGGCAGCGTTTCGCGTTTCTTCTTTAAGACAGAGAGAGAGTAGTAAATATAGAGTCCAGAAACCGAAAAAGTTATTTTGTGAACGTTAACAGAAAGACGAATTTCATCACTTTATTTTGGAGATGAAACTTTGCGATCATGAGTTATTCTTTGATATTTTCGCCTATCGTTCAAAATATTTTCCATATTTTCACATTTGCTCTATGCTGTCCACAGATCGGCCTTGATCTGCCTGAGACAACAACTGTTCAAAGCTTGCCATCTTGCAATTTGTATAAAATTACGTAACTTTTCGCTGGCAATCGCTGAAAAGTTCAACCAAATTGAACTAATGAGCGAAACGCAGCGACCAGCGAGTAGGTGTAAAATCATATTGTGCGCTGAGTTTCGCCTTAAAGGAGATTAAGCTAATTATAAAGGAATTTATTTCACTTTTTCCATAATGTAACTTTTCTGTTCTTTAACATACGCATTATCAAGGTTTCATTGCGCTTCAGCAACAAATTCTTATTTCTAGTGGTTGGTTTCTCAATGCTGTTTGTATGGGCACGTTTTCGCTCTTTTCTTTAGCTAAAACATCATGGTTCTCCCATGAGACATTTCGTTTTTTTATGTGTGCTTCGATTATATTTTCATACATCGTATTTGCAGAGTTATCTTGAGATTATTCTTCTTGAAGAGCTTGATACCTGTTTCTGATTTCTACTACATAGTTATCTCTGATGTGTTCATTTGCATTTAGTGTTGACCAATCACATGGAACCTTTTTGTTTTGTTGGGATTGTTGCTTCTCAGTGAGTTGACGATAATCTGAATCAAGTGAGTTATAAGTTACGAGTTATAGTAGAATGAGTTATAAGCCATAATTCATAGCACTATTATTCCACTTATTGTTAATCAGAACATCATTGACTTTTGGCACCATTGGGATATTTAAATGTCAAAAGCTTTCCAGCTTTCTTCTTAAATCTAACTTGCAGATCAGCTAGTTGACATTCATTCAAGGAATTTAACATTAAGTCCACATTTCTGTTTGCTTTATCATGATAGCAAAATCCTTCACATCTCTCTCTTCCAATCTTAGCATTAAAATACAAAGTAGAGACTCTTGAGCTTTTGTAATCAATATTGTTGGAATCAATACTGCCAGCCAAGACTTCGTGATCTGACAATTCGTGGTCTCAAGGAGAGCTAACAGGTAGTACACCTTGCTCAAGGGTGACCTGGAGGTAGTTGCGTTGCGGCAAAGGGTAACCTCATTCTCCCACGTCAAAACGCCACAACCGGATACAGTTTTATGTCATACCCAGGACCATTGAAGATATGCAGTTGTATGAAGACACAGTTTCTGGCTTTAGAAAAGCTAACTAAAATGGGTCAGCACTGCTGAAGCTAAGGGACGATATAAAGACAGCTATGAAATTTGGTGAGTTGTCTATCATAATGCTTATCGACTTTTCAAAGGCATTCGATACAATGTAATACGAGTTGCTGGTGCAAACACTACATAAGTACAACTTTTCGAAAGATTTCAAGGTGTTAGTTTTTAAAAGCAATTGCAGACATTTTCTGTGTGTGCTGCACACGCACTTTGGCAAAACCTGTTCATGGAATCACAAACAGACTTACAAACTAACTAGGTGTTGATTGTTTAGCTTTCATAAGATTATTGATGAAACAAATTAAAAAGCTTTAGATATAAGCATGTAGATCGAATTACAGGGCTTAAAAGCAGTTTTAAAGGTTTAAGTATGTAGCAGAACATTTCTCGTTTTGGGTCTATGCAAAAACCTTCTTCTTAGGGCCAATGCATTTGCAGAAACATCTAAATTTACTTGATTCCAACAACAAGAAGCCCTAGCATGAAGCAAGGGCAAAGAGCCATTGTCAAAATGAATTTCTCCAATAAACATCCATGAAGAGTTTACTTCTGCATTAAAGGACTGGACAAATGTTGTATCCACACACAGGTTACTATCTGAATCTCTGATAATAGCTCTGCAGTTGACATAATCACATTCCACAACCCTGTTTGAATACAAAGTAAGAAAATGTTATCAGCGTATTTAGATGTTCAAATATAATGCGAAATTTGCTTTCTTTCCCTAGTAAGCTGGTACCTAGCATTCTAGAAAAACTATCAATCCATAAATTTAAGTATTATTGTGAAATTCTTTCCAGCATGAAACTCTCTGTCCCTCATAAATTCTCAAACAACATATTTTCGTTCTGTAGTACTCCATTCATTAATAGAAAGCCTGCCAAATTTCATTAAAGGCAAATGATGAAGATATAAGTTTGTTTTCGTCAAGTGCCTAGGTGATATATACATAGCTGCAACGGTATCTCCATAAATCTGTTATATAAAACCCACTTATGACCAGTTGACATTCTCTAAATATTAACGACGGAGGGTATAAAATTGATTTCACTATAATCTAGTATGTATGTTAAAAATAAGGCAAAAATCAATTTAGTAGGTACAGAAGATTAACAGGTCGAAAGAAAAAATTCATCAGGTAAAGGTGAAATTTCCAACCTCTCACGACCCCCCCCCCCCCAAAAAAGTTAGCCACTTGTTTACATCCCTCATAGGAAGACGTCTCTATTAGCCAGGTGCCTCTATAAGTTGGACATCTTTGTTTAGTCCCTGCCAAATCCTATAGGAAATACAGTGTGAGTATCCTATCGAAGGTGAATGCCTCTAAAACGACAGCAGACACTTTTCCCACTGCCTCTATTTAGACAAATAATCTCCATGTCAAGGTATAGACCACCACATTTCATATTCTGCCTAAAAGTCTGCCTAAAATATTGTATTTTGTTCTTTGCCAGTTTCATCAAGATGATCAAATGGTTGGACACATCTTTGATAATTGTACTCCTGTGGTAAGGCTCTATTAACACTGGTTTTGAAAGAAATAAAACCAAGTTTAACCCAATTTGATCTTTGGAATTATCTTTGAAAATTGTCCTCTCAGACACCCTTGTTATGATTTGAGCTTAAGAATGCTGTAATAACAACAATATCGCCTTGGTTTACCCTTCACTGCACAGAAGATAGGCAAGTTTCTATAAGTATACATAAATTTTTCAATTTTCCTGTACAATTTTCACTTAAATTCCATATCATAATTTTATCATAACATCATATCATAAATTATTTGTTTACGCAGCTTAAAATATGGCAGCTTTGAGATGGCTGATGTGGACCTGCAATATATTCTAGTTATATTCTATTACATTGTACAGCATGCAAGCTTGCAAGTTTCAGCTGACACCTGGCTTGCCTTGACTGGGCCCTGAAGGTATCCACCTTTTAGTTTCACTGTATCTAACTAGCTAAAATGAACAAAACTTTCCACAACAGTGTCAGCAAATGGAAATTTTTTTTCTTAAAATGTAATTCAATCATTGAAATGCAAGCATTGGAAACTACACAATGTTACGAAATAGCAAACTCATGATAAAATATCAAATTGGATCAGCTCATAACAGGTGATTGCAAATTTTGGCAGAAGGGGCTTGTTAGGTCATTTTGTTTTATATAATGGGTTTCATAAAGCATTTTCAATCATAAAAAGTATGTACAATAGAGTCGCAGAGTGTGACATCATCAAAAATTTATTTTTAGATTTTGAGAATGACCCCATCACCCACAAGAACACCACAAAATACCTCTCAATATACAAAATCAGTTGAATCTGTAAAAAATTGCTTGAGAAATGGTCAGTGAAAGACATCAGATTTGCTAATGGATTACTGATGTTTTAGCCTGGTTTATAGATGTTTAGAACTAAGGCCAAATTACAGTGATCTTATGGAGAAAGTGCCCTTGCTTATGTCACAATGTCTCAGTGGATTTAATCTTTGCTGATTATTACTGTTATTATTCAAACTAAAAAATGTGTGCATGAGCTTTTGAAAGTATTTATATATACAGTCCTGGTAATATGAAATTTAGTAATGTGCTGATAATCACACGCCTTGAAAAGTTTAGGCATGCGATGGCGTGCGATGACGTGCGATCAATAAATTCTTATCTCTGCTCTTGTGAAGAAATTGCATTATATTTTTTTAGAAAGGGTAACATGCATTAGAGACTCTATGAAAAGTCAAAGTACTTTTTCTAGTTTCCTCCAGAAGCATCCACAAGGGAATTAGACAACAGACATGCTTACGTTCCCCAAGTTCTAACAGCTTCTTGATCAAGTGTGTGTCCTTGTTCCAATATCTCTGCGATCGAAAGTATCTGGCCAGACTTCACCATGTTTTCCCGCCGTCTTCCCCACTATCGTCTTTCAGCCTCGGTTCGATGTCAATGCGCCATTGATACTGAGGGAAAGGCAATAGACTCTAAAATCGCAATGAGAGCTTGACCGATTCCATTAAGAAAGGTAAGAACTTGAACTACAAGCTATTGTCTGAGTAAATGCTTTAGGTAATACGAAGAAAGCCAGTAAAAAACTTGGTACGGTCGGTACCCAGTGGGTTCCCCATTTTTGAATAATAACCAATCAACTTTACATCTGTTTACGAGATGGGGGCATGAATCATCTCATCTGTGCCCCTCAGTTTCTGCAATTCTGTTTTTAATATCTTCAAAAAATGTTTCTATTTATTAGCAAATCTTGACAGATATTCAAATATGCTACAATGTAGTGTAAATTTAGGCTAGTAATCTGTAACGCAACTAAGTTGCTAGGCAATTATCGGGGGTTTGGGGGAATTCTATCACCCACAGATTTGGAATAATTTATCAAACTTGTTCTTAAACATATTAAGTGCGTTTCAAACTAATGATATCACCAAGGATACTATTCTAATAGTTTCTTTCTCTTAAGACTGAAGAGTTTCTTCATGAAAGCAGTATTAAAACTCTTCTTTTTCAACCTTTTGCTGTTTTCTCAAGTCTTCTCTCCAAAGTTAGAAAAGTGGTACCATCATTAGAAAAAGACTGATGCTACCCTGGGACCAGTAGCGTAAAATTAAAAAATGAAAGGACATTTTGTTTATAAAACAGAGAAGAAGAAAAAATGTTTCCTATGAGACAAGCTGCTGTTGAAAATGTCAAAATAACAAGAAGCACCTCATTTTGATCCACCTGTTGCTTCGTTGAAACGTATAATTTTATTCAATAGCTTGCTGAGAATTTGGCAGAAAAAGGAGGATTAGCCTGGGGACTAGTAAATGATGAGCCTGCTAGGTGGGCTGCCCAAAGCCCTGGAAATTAGATCACAACCACTGCCCCTATGGAATACCATTATATTTGAATATTAATATATTTTCTATAATATTATTTCACTTGATGGGAATAAAACTATTGTTCCTATGAAATAAAGTAACAGAAATACTCACATGCAAGATATACTACAAATCCAGTAAAAGTACAGTAAAGAAAAAAAAGCTGGTCAGCAATGCATATTTTTGTACCTTGATGTATACCTACATCTTAAAGCTTATGGTAATGCTTGATATTATCTTGTAGGTTAGAAATAAAAATGTGAAGCTACTGGGATTGACTAAATTAAACAAAACCAGTAGAAGGACAATGTCTAACACAGCTATTGTCACCAGTTGTGATACTGGATGGCTTTTTGATCACTGTACAGCTATTACCAATGCCACTCTGGGTGTGGTTTTAGCTGCCCTTCCTACCTGTTTGCTGTTGGTCAGCCATACGTCATGAATGACAAAGGGTCAAGAGAAAGTGATGGTGGACCAAGTTGTGTGGATAAATCTTCACATCCCATTCAGAAAAGGGGAAAGAGGAAAGTGAGTTTTCAATCTTTTCTTCTTCCTATACAGAAAGAGATTTTATAAAGAACAGACAATTCAAGAGATTATTGAAAGCCTTTGGTAAAAGAGAGCAGGCTTGAAAATAAATGTACTATTTACATAAATTTGGCAGATGTAATCGTTTAATTAAGGGGAAAGACTTTCTGGAAATTGGTGAGTGACTAATACCCTATTTTCTTTAAAGAAAGTTAAGAATTAGAACAGTTTCTGTGTTTTTTAACCTTGCTGAAGATGAAAGTAAATACATTTCAGCCCATTTCTTCCTGCGCATATTGCTATAAAGCCTGTGAACACTGGATACATTGCACCAAATTCAAAACAACAGTATGTGGCTTTCGATTTAAAGATGCCTTGAACCTTTAATGAGAAGAAAGGAACATAAGTTGAATTTATGCAAACAGCAGTCAACACAGACACCATGTTATTGCATATCAAACATGTTACAAAATGGCTGATAATCTTAATTTGTGATACCTACAAAAGTAATTATATTATGAAAATGTTTGTCATCTCCTGTCATTTATATATCTTGTGCCAACTAAAGAGGGGAACAAGCTGCAATGCTTAACAACCAGGCCCGTATATTTACTAATGAAAGCAATAACTCTTTCAGAAAATGACAGCAAATTATATTCTTATTTTTAGATAAACAAGGAAACAACCACACCTGAAGATGTGGATAGTGAAAATAAGGTAACTAAGATGACAACAGTTTTTTCAACAAATGTTTAACTTTGTGTCTAGAACTGTTGCCTCATGATCACATCTCAGAGTAAAAACTTAGAACCATCCTGATGTATAAACCAAAATTGTGTACAACTTTGCCTGTACAGCATCAAGCACTTTATGACAAGTAAACTGTATTTTTCATAACTTTTGGGCTAATTATTTTTCAACATGCTTTCCACCTATATTTTTAGTTGAAAGAAGTTTTGTTCTCTACCATGGAGAAGCTTTACAGTCAAAGAAAGAATGGTAGCAAGAATACCTCTTCAATTGCAAAAAGCTTGAACTCTCAAGGTTTGAAAAAGTAATAATCGAGAATTTGAGAAGGCCTCTTACTTAGTACTCTATTTTTCTAATATTTCTCTTTTAGTTCATATGCAATGCCTGTCTATTGGACTTGATCTAAAGGAACAATTATTGTTTACTGAATATTTTTATTGGCTTTTTTCACCGTTTTTCGTTTGATCTAATTTGTTTATGTTGTAGAGAAACAGAGCATTATTTCTGATTCCATCAATTTCGTTGGGTTATGCGATCTAGCGAGGGAATTTTGTCAATTTATTAATGGGTGTGATTTTATTTTATTGAAGAACGGTAAGGGAATATTTTTCCTTCTTCTAACTTTCCTCGTTCCAATTTTTTTCAATTCGTTGTTGAATTCTAACTTATCTCTTGTCCATCATTGGAAGTGGAAGCATCCTCTGCCTGTGCCATTTCTTTTTTGAAAGCGTGCTTTGCTGTTAAAAATTTATATGAATTTGCTAGCTACTCAAACATTTTGTAATTTTCATATTTTTGCTCTGTAGCTGCCTCTGCCGATACGCTTTCTTAGGCCTGCTTAAGGCCAAATAATCAGCCTCTTGGGATTCTTTAGCCTTTGATACTGCAAAATTTATAGAAAGAAACAACATAACATTCTTAAGTACTTTCCGTCCGACGCTCCCTAGAGCTTATGCATTGGATAATGACTGAAGGTAAGCATAATTCTGATCCAGTCAAAGGAACATGAGGGGAAATTGGTTCCTTATCATCAGATTCTAATCAGTGGCGTACCCAGGACCGGGCAGTGGGGGGCAGCCCCCTGAAAATTTTTTGGACCACGCCCTTCAAACACTCGTAAATGCGGGAAGACGCCCTTTTTGCAAAATTTTCCCCCATTTTTTGATTCATGTTAGCTTCGGTGAATAGCGAAGTATTTTACAATTGTTATTGGCACAAGCATTACTGCACCCCTCAATGAGTTTTACATCGTTTTTGGACAAATCTCGAGGATCATATTTTAGAAAAGTGGGGGGGTCCGGACCCCCCTATTCCCCCCTTGGGTACGCCACTGATCCTAATTCATTTAGATCCTTTCTTTTGGACCACCATAGCTTTAGCTCCGTTCAATGGCCCTGTGTATTGTGTTTTCCTGACTGCTTTGCAGCTGTTTTTGCTTGACTAAATTGCTACTATTCTAGTTATCTTCTAGGTTGATTCCCAACCATGAACCTAGTTTCATCGTGTTTCATCCAGTCTGTATTTCCCTAACAGTAACAGCAAAAAATCTGTCGTAGATACCGAATCTGTAGTGGATATATTTAATAGAGTGGTAAGAAACACTCTTGAGATACCAGTACTGATGAAGGCGCTGGATACGGAATTTATCATCCCACCATTGTCAACTTTCATGATGTCGGATCTGGAGTACATTGGGCATATACTTGATGGAGGTTGGTTTCTCATCTTCTGCTATTATTCGCTCATACCAAGTCTTGTTAAGACAATGGGAACTACTTTAGACAGCGCAAGTTGAGCGCAGCAACCAGTTTGATGCGCCCAAAAGCTCTGACAACTTTTTTCCGATTTCTTGGGTTTTCCATATTCACCCAGTGAATGCTAATTTAAGCCACAATGTTAGTTTTAGGAAGGGCTTATACATCAACTTTTCGTCGTGACAAAATTTCGGTCAAATATTTTGACTGAATTTTCTTTGACTAAATTCAAAATGAGACAATATTTGGTCACGACGAAATTTTCTGCATATAAGATTTTTGATAATTCGCATGGAAAAATTATCACTTGAGGTCAGGTGAGGGATCAAATTTTTGTATCATTTTAATCTATTAAATGTCAACTACCGCGTTTTTCTCATTTACATCATCTTCAAAATTGTCTTTATCGTAGGCATCATCATCATCGTCGTCGTCGTCGGTTCTTGAAATAACTTTGTTTTCGCCATCGCTCGATAAAAATAGTTCTAGCTCAGTGGCGTAGCGAGGGAGAAGCAAGAAAGAGGGGGCAGACGTTCCCCCTCTAATGGCAAAAATCTCTTTGAACAGGGTCTTTTTTGGCGTTTAAGCGCCTTTGTCCCGTAACTTTATCACCCTGGCTACGCTCATGTTCTAACTATCTTTTGTCGCCGGTTTCAAAAGGTTCCACCCTGTATTTTCATACTCAACTGTACTATTTCTTTCATTCCTTCAAAGTATTTGCATATTTCAACCAAAATTTTGAACTTAACAGAAAGCAAAATTTCAAGACCAACTTTTCCTGTTAGAGTCGTCTTGTGCTTTCCGAATCTTATACTTATATTCACACTTACACTTTCAAATATACTCTATAAATATGTCTATAAACTTTCATACAATATAGATAAAAAGTAGAGACTTTGAATGCTGAAAACACCTTGGCCTGAATTTACACCGAGTTACTGAGTTAAACTGAGTAAATACACCGCTTTGATTCGGTTTTCTGACATGCTGTTCTGTGTAAAAAAGCTGCTTAGAGGGGGGGGGGGGGGGGGGGGGGGGTTGGGACAGTTTCCAAATTGGCGCTCAAACCCCCAAGTCTCCACGAAGTCGGTACCTATAGTATTGAATATAAAGCAACCTGTATGGTTTTGCTTCTTATGTGTTTGGCAATATGTTGCTATCTTTGTGTTAATAATCAACGACGAAATTTTGTCACGATCAATTTCTAAAAAGTTTTCCGAAATTATTTTCGACGAAGTTTATCCGCCGAAAATTTATCTGAAAAATTGTTTGTTGCTTATATACCCCATTTCCGACCGCATGTTAATCCTGGCAAATTGCTCAAGGCATTGAAGATTTGACTGCAGATGACCAACTAAGTCTAAAAACATTAAATGCCGGATCTAGTGGGATACTCATAGCAACATCATCTAATTTTCGGTGCATTTGATTGTTGAAGCCAGATTCGACATCTCTAGTGGCAATTATCATTAACTCGTTGAAAATTTCCTCTGAGATTGGAGGGCAATTCAGTTCGCTGCAATACAAAGCATCACGTTACTTTCCACCCTATCTGGATATAAATTTTCTGCTTCTCTTTGGACATTTTCATTTTCCGATAATTAATATCGGATTTTTTTAGCGGTTTTTTTCCTGTATTGTTTATCACAGCTGCTTTCAAGGATTTGCACTTTTTTCGTCACAGCAAAAAAATATGATCTAGTTGTTATTGATCCTCCTTGGAACAACAAGTCGGCAAAAAGAGCTAAAAGGTAAATGAATACAAATGTTATTGTTTGTCCAACCAGTTTTTGCTTGTTACAGTGAAAGCCTCCTGAGCTTTCACTCTCCCCCCAAAGGTGAAGCAATCTTCAATACCGTATTAAGACTTTGATGGAGCTTCATGATACCAACAGTATTTCTTTGTATTTGTTTGTATTTGTTTCTACCTAGCATTCGAAGGTAGTTTTTAGGACGCTGAGAAGCTTATGTTTATCGAGCAGTGTTCTAGTCCTTCCTCTCGATGGTCACACCTCGGGATTCCTACGCCTAGAATTAGAGAAAGCTGGTGACGACTCTCTTCACTCAGAGTGAAAGTGGCCGTGCCAGGGACTCGAACCACGGACATCTAATAACTGAGCCATTTTCGCTCCTTTTGTATCTTTTCTTTCAACCATTGTATTAACAATCTCCAACCCTTAAGATAATATATTTAAAAGCAGTCTTTAAAGTTAAAAGTTTCAAAAATTAAAATCTCAGACCCGTTTCTTACAAATTTTATTCGTTTTTTATGGAAGCCCCTAAAGTTTCTTACGATTGCCTTGTTATATCAATAAATAGTCTTTTCTTGTTTGCCAGCATTTGCTGGTCAATAGAAGTTCATGCAACCATTAGTTTCGTTTTTCAGGTATAAAAGTCTATCCTTCAACGGGATCAAGTCTCTTCCCGTGCCACAGGTCATCTCAGACGGTTCAATGGTAGCTATCTGGGTGACCAATAAGAAGCGAATTGTTGACTTTGTCAAAGGTGAGCTCTTCCCGCATTGGTCGTTGAAGATGATCGCAGAGTGGTATTGGTTAAAGGTTCGTAAACATTTAGTTGAGAGCCAATTTTTATATAATGTGTTGTATGTTCTACAAAAGTGCTTGATTTTTGGCAAGCTTCCTATTTTAGAATTATTTATCTTACATTGACTACGTCCAAACTTGCAAAAGTGCTGCTTAACGATGCTGTTATTCTTGTTTATTTGAAAGGAAAGGCGTTCCGTATAATACTTCTCGAATTTTGCTGTCACTTATTAGGATTGCTATTTAACTGTGATACCCTCTTTATACTGTCCTTCTTTGCCAAATATTGACGATTTGTGTCCGCCAATTTGCTTCATCTTCGTACATCTCTCTACTCGAGAGTTTTGTGGGTTTAAACAATCCTTTCATCTAGATTACAACTGCAGGGGATCTTGTTTCTGATTTTGATTCGGTACACAAAAAACCATATGAGCGCTTACTAATCGGCCTGCACTGCAATCCAGATAGCAATCAAATGAATGTGGATGCTTTCCAAGCTACATTTCCACATCAGAAGGTGATTTGTTCCACTCCTTGCCGACTGCATTCTCGCAAACCAACACTTGATGGTAAATGATTTTAGTTTTCTATTGGCAGTATTTTCAACATTTATTTATATTGCTAAGCAACTTGATATTGGAAGTGTTAAACCACCCTGATTACCTGGTTTGAAAACATAAAAGAGTGTGACTGGCGCTGTGCACTGCCTTTCTGGATGAACTTAAAAAGAAGAAATCTCAAAGAAAATGACATTTAGAGCAAGGATTGAAGTTTATTCTTATTTGCGCTCATTTGTTTAAGAAGACAAGGCCTAATTTCATGAATACAGACACTACTCTATTAGCCAGTTCACAGCAACATGTTTTGGTGTTTATGATTTTGAAAGATATTCTCTGTAATGCAGAGCGAAGTGTCTTTTGAAGATCCAGCTTGCTCCTTCTGAAATATTCATGTGTCACCTGGAAATTAAAACAGAACTGCCAGAAAATGCTTGTTCTTGTTATATGCGCAGATACTAGCTGTTGCTCATCAACCCAATTGCTTGATAATATCAGTGGAAATCAATCCACTCTAATCAACGCACTTGGTTTTTTCAGACTTTTTTGCTGGCTACCTGCCGTCAAATCCTCAATGCCTTGAGCTTTTTGCCAGAAATTTGTTGCCAGGCTGGACAAGCTGGGGAAATGAGGTACGAAACCTTTTTGTCGTATTTCCCAGAAAACTCGCCAGCATATTAAGGCATTTCTACTATCAATATTTTCTCTAAAGATTCTTAATATAGCAAATTCGAATTAAGATTTCGATAGCCACTTTGACCCTTAAATGCTGTTCCCCCGGTACAGTTGTGACCTAGGTACAATTGTGACCACAGTACATGGTTTTTGCTTGTACCTAAATTATCCTTACACCGATTCTGAATTGCTGATTTCTCATGCTAGGTTATCAAGCATCAAAACACTGTTTACTTTCAGAAGGAGGAAAAGAATGTTCCCAAGGCTGAGTGATAGCAATATTTGATGTTTTCAGTAATATAGGTAGAAGTCTATAATACATGTAGTACTTAATACGTCAGTAAATATATAATGCATGTCACATCTGTGGTGTGACGGACTCAATATGACGAAGCAGTGTTTTACTAATGGCTAGGTAGTGTTTTGTTTGAAAAGTAGAAGTTAAGTATGATTTGCGTTAAGAGAAAAGTTAACCTGGCGATGAACCCAAGTCGTCAACACAAGCAGCTGCCAGATTCAGCTGTCTTACATCACAGTTTCTTGCTTTCTTTGTCTTGTTGAACTTGCTATGGTTTCACAGACGTCATCAGTTTCAACAGACAGACAAATCGTTTTAACCCATTTACTGAAACTGTAAATAGGTTATGCTATAGTTACATAAGGGGCAAAGCCTGTGAAAAGAAACATTTTTGCACCAAACTGTATTCGCGACCTTCATTGCAGTTGAAAAGTTGACATCAAAGATATCAGATTAGATTTTTTCGAATACAATTAGTATAAAATTAATTAAAATTAGTATATGGTTAAATATGTTCACTGAAAATATTAATTTTGCGTGTGTAACTTATGCAGATATATATATTTATGTTGTGAATCTTCACATTTTCTACATGTTGTAATATCAATCTGTCATTCGTGGATTTTTTATTTGTAGCAAGTTAAGGTGCCAAAATTTTGTAAAAATAATCTGTTATTATTCAAAATAACTTTAATGTTTTTTAACTAGTACCGTGTTTTAACGTGGCCACTGTCTCTTAATGCAGACCCGCGACCTTCAAATTGAAAATTGAACATTCATATTGTGGAGTTAAGCATCCTGAAAGTCTGTAGATATTCATGGTGCCAGAAAAGTAAATGTGTAATTTAATGTTCTGTTCTATTTTAACTGGGCACTTTTAACTGGGCAATGTTCTATTTGTTAATTTATCGATATTTTTGATTAATTGAAAAAAAGTGATCATAAGTTACTTTTTTGTAAGTCATAGTTCTCTCCAGCACTTTCAATTATATTGCGTCGTAAGAGGTCGAAGAGTTCATTAAAATTAATTTTATCGCTAAAACCCTGCCTAATTTCATGTATCAGCTATTAAGACACTAAAAATTTCACTTCATCCTGCACTTTAATGGCCTTTTTGAGCATCATTTATCCAACGTAGCCGACCACATGCATTAAGAGAAAGGTATAGGAAATTCAAATCGGAGAAAGAATCTCTCTTAGAGAGGTAAATTTCTGCAAATTGCGTTAACAGATAAAGGGGTTCATTTCATATGAATGTGGCACCAGATTTTTGATTTTAGTAACCAGCAAATTTTAAATAAATTTCGCCCACTATTAATATCTTTCAAATTTTAAATAAACTTCGCCCACTATCAATTAAAGTTTTGATGCTTTCAACTAATTTTATATAATCTGCCTTTTTTTCAATTATCCAACAATCTAAACTTTGGTTGGAAACCTTTTGGAAACCGTTCGGAATCAATAGAAATTCTTGTAATTCCTTGGTTGGAGCAAAGAATCTCGTTGTCAAATAGCAAAACCGTTAGAAGGTCTAGATGGTTGGAATATAGAAAAGTGAATGTGTACACTACCCTTTCGAAAGTACTGAAAAACCTGAAAGGAGGAGTAATGGCGCAAGATTGATCGGAGCTATTGCTATGCAAATTTTAAATGTACAAAATTTGAAAGTGACTTTGAAAAAAGCAAAAACACTTTACAACATACTAAAAACTTTTTTCGTCTGACACTCCTTAGAGTATATAACGTCAGAAAATGGTTCCGATTGAACAATATGGAAATTTACATCCAGACGTGGATCGAAATAGGCTAATCAGAAAAACGCGAGCACCAATCAGAACCGCTAGCCTATAGGAAAATACCATAAGAGTTCAAAAGAAAGCGAATTTAGCATCAGTTCGTGTTCAGCGAATTTAATGTCCTTTAAGCCCTGTTTACACTACAACTTTTAACCTGGTATGAACCTAGGTTAACGTTAACCTGGGTTAGAAATTTTGTAGTGTAAACGCAGCTAACCTGGGTTGAACCTGGATTGAACCAACCCTACTCTGGAGGTGGGTTGAACCTAGGTTGCCTGGGTTGAACCCAGGTTAACGATCCAATTCGCGCAAGCGCCTTTTGAGCCATGAAAGGCGCCAAACACAAAGTCAAAACAAATTCGTCTCGAAACGCTCCTGCAAAAAGGTCTTCAATTTAAAGCAGAATATCTTGAAAATGAATGAAACAAGGGTTGAAAGAGATAAACTAAAGGGCGACGATGAAGCCATGTCGTTAATCGAAATGTGGGCGGACGAAGACATCCAGCAACAGCTAGATTCATGTACCAGAAAGCGTCCTTCCAACGAAGCGCATGCGTGACGAATCTAACCTGGGTTCAACCCAACTTTGCGTTTACACTATACTTTGCTGCAAATGTAGTGTAAACGAAAGTGGGTTTAACCCAGGTTAGCGTTAACCCAGGTTAAAAGTTGTAGTCTAAACCCAGGTTAGTGTTTGCACTTTTTGAAAACTGGTAGACAGATTAGCCTTTCTTTAAAAAAGTACTCTGAGGGATAGTGCAACTTTCATGACTAGAGAAATAGAAAGCAAACCTCGAAAACGCACTCTCGAAATTTTCCCGCCGTTTTCAAATTTATACCGCGTGAGTGTATTCGCCATTTTCATCACATAAAGTTAGTAATAATGGTCAATTGTCTTTGGAAAATCATGAGTGAGTTCGAGGGTGAAAGCCTTCGTGCCTTTGTGATAATTACATTGGCGATCACCGCCGAATCTAAGGCTGAACAGTGAGTGCATCTATGACGGGATTATGAACCATTCCTAGATTCAAGGTAAGTATATAATTGACTTTGTCTAAATGTGAAATGTCTAAAGCGCTTTGGGTGGGGGAGAGGTAAAAACGTAATTTACCTGAATCTCGACACGAAATTTAGCGATCATTTGCGAGGTGTTTCTTTATATTACTCTTTGTGATCGAACAGTGGCGCCAATATAGGTGAAATAGCAACGCATGGTGATGAACTGGACAAAAATAAGGTGGAAATTCGCTTTGTAGAGGCGTTAATGTTTTTTGTAGACAATGTGGTAAAAACACACTGAAATGGCGAAAATGGGCCTAATTCTAGCTCTGAAGCGATTTTGTTGTGAGAATCTTGTGTGCTGATTAGCTTAGAACATGGTTAGCGATCAGAGCTCTCAGCCAATCAAAGATTTGACCGCTATGCTGGGAATATCAAACAGCTTAATTTTATAAACACTCCCCATTATAATAAATTATATCCCTCGCAAGTACACCTTTGGAAGGTCTTGAAAGCTTAACGGGAAATGATTCAAGTATTTTTTTACCAAAACGGAACATACAGTGACACAACATCATTGTTGAATTGAACATCGACGAGGCAACTTTATAGACAGAGATTCTAAACACGAATAATACTGTTACTTATCATAAACTTATAAATTTGACTTGTTTTTGTTACTTTCTGAATTTAGCCCCCCGATGCTTCAATCAGAGAGACTCATCATAATACACTTTATCATACAAGCAATACACTTTTAGAATGGCCTATTTGAGAAGCTCCTTGTTTACGTTTCTGGCTGTCATTATTCTCTAAGTTTTCTAAATTTATTTAACTTTGACGCTCGTTGACGCGTGGCTGAAAAACGCGCTGCATACGCATAGCTGCCGAAAATGCTAACCATATTTGGTCAGCGTCATGACGCGCCGCGCCGTGACACGTCCAGTGTGAGTTCAGCTAGAAAGCCTCATTTGCATGTTGCGGGCTCACAATTTGCGGACCATTCTGTGAACATGCCGATGGGGACAAAATTCAGTTTGAAAATCTCATCAAGCGATCAGCGAAAATCTCATCAAGAAGTTGCACAAATATTCTGGTAAGGACACTAGGAATGTCATGAAGAAATGAATATATGCTATCTTGTGAATAATTTTTGTTGTAAAGAGAGATATATCCTAATCTTGATGATATATCCAACTCTTGATGATATTTTAACTTCTTCTTAAGATTCTGTCACGTCTTGAAATTTTGGCCCATTTGACACCCCATATGTAACGGAAGCAAATCTTTTGACTGAAAAATGTCACAAGTATTTTAAAACAATAGAAGCATTGAAAGGCCTCACTGTTTATCGGCCCAATAAGTTTCGGATAGTAATTTTTACAACTCTTTTTTGCTTCAATGAAGGTTAATTTTTCTTGTTAGATGTTAGACCCTTCTGATTTCAAACGATGTGAAGAAAGAAGACAGACAATCCCAATTTTTATGTCAGTGAGAGAAGATAGTTTTTGCCATCGCTTCAAAGATTTGATCATGAAAAAAAAGCAGATGGATAAAGCAGCATAGCTCCAGAAACAATTAGCAAAGATATGGACATTGCAATAGGCCCGATCTCGCAAATTTCGATTACCATTCAGCTGCAGATAGGGTCCGGCAGTTTGAGAAGCAAGATTGGTTTCAGGGGGCTTTAAAGATGCAAAGAAAAAAAAGGCAACTTTGACGGACATCTTGAAATACCATTTTAAAGGGCTTCCTTATTGTACCTTTTTCGGCAAAAAATATTGATAACACTAACTGATGTTGATGTTTGACTAACTCATTCAACATCTTATTAAGAATTCACTTTTTTCAATACTTAATATTTAGGACCTTGCCCAATAAGGATATGTTATCAGTATTTGGGCACTGAATCAAACCTTTTCTTTCCAACAAGGAAGGCGTAACTTGTAGTGCCATTTCCTTGGTCTTAAATAACGAAACAATAATAGATTGCAAAAAATTGACTCCCATCTCAAACGATCATTACATCAAAATTATGGAAGAGTTCTTGAACAAAACAACAGCCACCATACAGCCACCAAACTGTTTTATCAAAATCTTTATCAAAGCCATTTTGTCAAAATCTTCAAAACAATTTGGACTCGTTTTTATTTTAGCAAAGTTCAATCATTGGGAGGCAGAACATCGAAAGGTGAAGATCTAATACCACCAAAACTTGTGCTTTTAGCAGCAAACTAGCTTGTAGTCCATTCAACTGCTGCTAATCACTGCAGCATACACAGCTAAAGGTTTCCGAATGATGGAAACTGCACAGCGGCATGCCCTTTAGATGAAAGGGGAGTTAAGTGTGCAGTTGAACAAAGTTTCGACCAGTTAGTATGCTGAGTATCTTCTCCAAAATCTATCAAAAGACTTTGAAATATCAACTTCTACTAGGCTTTGCGAAAGCTTTTGGTTGTTTTCTGCATGATTTACCTATAGCCAAACTACTAAGCTTGGATGAAAATGGTATATGCATATGCTCTTATCTGAAACGGCGTAATAAGTCTGGCCGAATTAATAATACGTTTATCTTCTTTCAATTTTTTCATCGGGAGTGCCTCAAGGCTCTGTTTTGGGCCCTATTTTATTCAATGTTTGCATAAATTATATCTTTGTGTTTATCAAACAAACAAAATTTTATAATTAACAGCGAGGTGCTCATCCCGGAAATAAAGTCTTTGCCAAATATTTTCAAAATCCTTCGATAGTCAAACTTCTTCAACACTTTGCAGAAAAGCTGCATAACAACTTAATAATGTTTTGAAAAAAAACCCAGAAAATTTATTGCTTATTCTTTCCATAGCTTTTGAGAACTTCATTTTTAGGTATTGTCCATCTAATCCAATTATATGTTTTCCATTCAATCACAAGCAAGTACACTTTCGTAGCAAGGTTCCAAATCTTTGATTGGCTGAGCGATCAAAATTCTCCGTATCCCATTAGCCAATCAGTATTCAAAAATATGTCAACAAACGTGCCTCCCAGCAAGATTTAGGCCTATTTTGGACGTATTTACCACTATCCACTATCCAAAATAAATGTGTAAAATGTGCTGAAAGATAATCTAATTATTTTAAGATTGATTCTTCAATAAATTTATGAAAAAATAGCCGTTGTACTTGTACAAAATTTTTCCGCGATCGTTAGTTACGAGGGTTTGAAAATCCTTATAATAATTAGGGGGGAGAGAGCACAGAAAAATTATAGTTTTTAAACCTTAAAAGTTGTTTTATCCACGTAATTAACAAATATTAATTTATCTTTATTTACAAGCCAATGTTAAAGTCTTTTCTTGTTGGCATTGATGCTTGTGTTAATGACGAAAAAATCGCTAAATTTCACTGAGAGAAAATGCAGCCCATCTTTCTCAAAAAAGAACTACAATTGTACAATTTTTTCGCGCTCAGGTACTTAAATATACATTTGAAAGGCTTGAAGATCGACAAGAAGCTCACGTCCACTGATGTTCACTGCTACGGGCTTGTTAAAGCTGACGCTATCGATAGCCTCCCCAGCCCGTCGCCTGTCGATATTAGTTTTACAGAGAGGCGGAAAATTCTAGTTGGGCGGACAAGGCCCCCCGTGTCCTCTCTTGGCTTCATGCCTGCAATGCATCAATCTACATATATTACGTTATCCTTTGAAGTTTGTTATTAATCAATCGTATGTTATTCTAGAAAGATATTTGTAGGTGGTGGTTGAAACTAGACTGAACTAAACGGGCGGCGGGGCTAGGCCACACCCGTGGAGCAGCAACAACAATCGATCTAACAACAACAGCAACATGACGACAGCATGGCCGACAAGAAGGCAAGATGCAGAGAAAGAATGGGTACACTAAAAATAAATAAAAGTTACGCTAAACAGTATAATAAAAGAAAGGAGAAGCAAGAACTTGATCAGCGTAAGTTTTGTAAAATCATTTATCATTCCCATTCTGTGCTATTAGGACTGTATTGGTCCGTAACAAAACTCCAGAACATCCAACACTTGAATAGCTATTATATCTGAACATATTATATGTTTAAAGCCATTGATACACCATCTCCTATCTACTTTTCAATTTTAAAGAACATAATTTAAAACCCACGTCTGAGGATTTTCGATAAAATCCATGATTTATGGTAGTGGAGGTTACAATTTTCTCTGCCGCTGTTACAATTTTATGTTAGGTACTGCAAATCGCATTTAAAACTGTGTTGCCTCAGTGCGTGATGAAGATGCAAGACTTTTCTGTATGGACACTGATCAGGTTTTGGAAAAGTTTGATTCTGGCAGTTTTATCCTCTATCCTTTTTCAAGATAGAAATACTCTTGTCTGTTTTGTTTATACAATGCCTGTTTTGTCGTATTTTGTTGAATTTTGTTTCTAGCATTGCTGACAATGAATATAAATGACATTATGAGCCTAAATGGGCCCCCTTGACTAGCATGGGGTATTGTTGTAGGACCTTTCGGAAACTAGCCATTTTCAACTTCAAATATTATTTACAATGCACGATATTTTAGATATATCATTTTTAAGAAATTTTTGTTTTCATTGTAATAAGTTTATAGTCATTTTAAGTTAATAAGGCTCTGGAGTTTCTGTGCAGAAGGGTTGAGAAGTACCCTCTAAAGACTCTCTTCTGTGGTTGGACATTACTGTGACAAATTGTTCCTAATTTTGTCATGCCAAGAGCTATGAGCTTGATCAAACCCTGTGTTGTAGTCATGCCAATAACACTTGTTACCTATGTTTGGTAATGCCTACCTATAGGAATATGCAATTTAAAACAATTGCTGGATACAGTAGCAATAGATTGCCCTGTGTCACTTGGTGAACGAGAATACAAGGAGTTATTTATCAATGATTGCCACATTGCTGTTGATCCATGAAATTGGAAGTATTTCTGTGGAAGTGAATTGTAAGGAAATGTTTTTTGCCCTGCAGCTAGAACTCATGGGGAGCCTTTCATTTTTCAATGAGAATGACAGTTTTTAATGAGCTGACTTTCAAATAGTCATTTTTGAATTTTGAACCGTGAAAAAGGTAGTCATAATTGTGCAAAGTTTGCTGTATTGAAGCTTTGGTCGCTGTGTAACTCTTCTTCCTCTGCAGTATGCCACCCAATTTTGAGACAAAATTGGAGGGATGGTTTCCAAAAAAAAATAGTATTTATAATTTTATCCAAAGGCAGTTGTTTGACAATAAAATCTCTAGAAGTAAATAGCTGATCCCTTGTTGTTTGTCCTATTTATGATTTGTTTTTTTGTGAGACAAAGTTTTCTGTAGGTGAAAAACTCAAATATTTAAATTTGGTTTCTGGGGACCTTGGCTTCAGTCCTGTAAAAGCAATATTTGTCTTAAATCAGGAGCGCTCTCTGCTGTTAAAATTGTCAATGAGACTATTTAATACTGGTGTCATTAAAAATTGAAAAGAACCCTCTACCAAGATTTAAAGGAATCTGCTGTTTGTTTGACAAAACATTTTTCATTACCAAGTTCTAATTATTGGGTAAGCTTTAAAGCTAAATAAGTTGCTTCAAGAACCTCAAAAATAGCAACTGTTTCTTAGTATAAAATACAAGTCTGTCATTTTGCAGCCCTGGCTATTTTAGGCTTGCAGTGCCATGCACATGCACCTACACAGGCATAACACTCCCCAGGCATGTATTTCATCACACATGCCGTGCCAGGTTTTTGCTGACTATTCTTAGGAGAGTTTGTAATATGTTTTTAAAAGGCTATCTGGTCTTCATAATTATTGTAAGGTCTAATTTATGGATCACCCACCAATGCACACCACCAGTCTGGTGGGAGGTTGTTGCTCATTCTGTCTATTAATGGAAACTTAACAAAGAGCTTTATATCAAAAGTTTTATAAACTTAAATAAATTGCTTTAATGGCCTTTGAATGACCCTTTAAACGACAGAAGCAAGAAGTTTTTGTAAATTTACCTGTCTAAAGAATATATATACATTTACTAGAATTATTCATTTATTGCTTAGCTATTTTATTCAATTTTCTTTTCTAGTGAAGCAAAAGTATGGCAGTGACAATTTTGAAGAAGAATCTAGCACGTCAGAGTCTGAAGATGAAGAAGCTGTGGTATTTAAATTGTTAATTTTGTAATGTTTATTGTTTTTTGCTAATTATCAGTGGCATTGTGATACACCAACCTCTTTCTTTTAATGTATCTATCATTTGCATACTGATTTTACATAACAGGGGCAAGAAACAAAGAAGTCAGTTGCATAGATGATATTTATAACTTTAAATTTTTTTTGGCTACAAACACATCTCGTGCATTTAAAACACATTTCAAATTTTTTATGCCATGTCTTGAAGAACACTTTTTGCTTTTATCTATTTGTGCTTTATATATCGGACAGCACACTTTAGTGTCCACAGCTTGTTGAGACCATTGCTGTTTTCTAGAATTCCGTGAGGTTTCCTTGATTTCAAAGACCAATTGAAATTGAAAAGTAAACTTGAGATCTAACATTTACATGATATAATGTTAAGACCATTAAAGTATTCTAATAATCATGATTCTCATCTCAGACTAAACAACGTTGATTGCAATGATTCTCCTATAGAGAGACAAGAAAATTTCAAGAAGTGAAGTAGTAATTTTGGCCTGATTTGAATTTTTATGAACACTGATTTTTTACTTGAATAAAGTAAGTAAATCCAATGGGAATGTAAATTTAGTTCGACGTATGGAAAGTTCAGGTTATCCTGGTTATGACTGAATGGGATCCAGCAAATTACTATTTATAAATCTTTTTTAAAGTGGTCAATGTCATTAAAGCATTTTTGTTTAAAATATTTACTACAGAAAAAATTAAAAGACCTAACTTTTCGAACTGTTGTTTGAAAATAAAATATAAACCTGATAGTTTTAAATGGTATTTCTAATAACGAACAGCTCCGTGACATTTTCGAGTTGCATTTATGAGAGAGAGGGGTACGTTTAGTTTCCACAAAAGTGTGAAATGGGGGCTATTAGTTAGAGTTAAGCACTTATTTCCTATAAACCATTCAGGGTTACGGTTAACCATTGAATATGCCGCATGTTTATCACTGAGTAAACATCGAGAATTACTTCTGCATTGCCAGTAAGCAAACATATCAAATAGTCTATTGTAAGTACAACCAACGGGAGTTCAAATGGTCATCAAAATTCATCAGGAAATAGTTTTTCAAGGTAGGTCCTTTTTAGATGAAAAACTTGACGTTTCTTGTTTTATGCCTTTTAGGCCATCACACCACAGATTGAGAGGGATTTCATTAAAACGCTTGCTCTCATAAAAAGCCGAGATCCAAAGATTTATGACAAGAGCACAAGCTTTTTTGAAGAGGGAGGTAAAGTTATAACACAAATGTAACTAACCCTGCATGCGTAGGGTCTGAATGTCAGGAAGTGACGCAGTAATTTTTTGCTTCATTCTAAATTTTTGTTAAGGCTGAAGAGTTTCCTTTACCTGTTGAAGGAAATGAGATAGAAATAAGAAAGGTGGACAGAAATGTTCATTTGATATAAAATTCAGTCGAATCCCGTTAGGTTCGACCTTCACGAGGTGTAAGGAAATTGTCAGACTTAGCGAATGCTCGACTTATCCATGGCACGGTTTTTTACTTGAGTAAGGAAGGAAATGCAATGTGAATTTAAACTCAGTCCTACTTAGTAAAAGTTCACGTTCTGGGTACGGCTTAATAAGATTAAACTGTAGCAAATTACTGATTATAAATCTTTATTAGCGCGGTCGATGTCATTTAAACAGAGTTATACATGTTTGGTATATAGAACAGGACGTTTCTCAGTGGCAACTCTGACTTTAAGGTAACAGTTGCTTGATGATTGCATTAAGCTTTAAACTAGTAACTCGCATTAAGTTGCAACTTAGAATTACCCCGTTCTTTATGCCAAAATCTACATTTTTAACAGAAAGCATATAGGAATGGTTCTCATCTGCGCCCTCTGGATGGAGTTTGTGTAATACTCTTTTTCTATATATTTTGGTCTCATGATAAAAAGAAAACTTTTTGCCATTGATTTGGTAAAAGTATCCTTGGCTAAAAGTATATCAGATAAAATGCGACCTAATGCTTGGCAAAAACTTGCCGGGTTTGAAAAAGAGCGCTTTGACATCCTGTACGCGAAAAAAGAACATACGAATGTCACATTTCAATATTGAAATCTGATCCTGGTGTTATGAAACCGACCAAAAATGAATTTCTTGGACGCGTCACTATGTTTTGGCTTTAAATTTTCGTTCCATCTTTCATACTTCTTTGCATGGAAAAGAGTATCGGGATGTAACAGGTTTGTAACAGGGTTGGTATCGAGATGGGTCGCATAAACACCCGATTGCAGGTATATCGCCTTTTGCTTTTGCCATAACATCGAAACAACTCTTGAGGACTTCCTACCTAAATCTAGTCTACCCTCTAAGCTGACTAGATTCGGGCTGCACGAAATTTTTTTTACCAACACCTTTTGCCCTCAATTTCTGCATTTCAAGAATTTATCCAAACTGCCAAACTAAAAATGGTGTCATCAATTTTTAGAAAACAGTGAAACAGCTGAAGCTGACGTTGAAAAGAAAAAACCAGTTTACCTGAAAGACCATGAAAGGAATAGGATTTTAAGCCGCGGCGTGTAAGTATCATCTTGGAATTTCACCTATTATGATTTATATATTTGAAAGGTCAAACTATAGACCAATATCAAGGTCTGTAGGAAGGATGACAGGTCGAACTATAGACCAATATTAAGGTCTGTAGGAAGGATGACAGGTCGAACTATAGACCAATATCAAGGTCTGTAGGAAGGATGACAGGTCGAACTATAGACCAATATCAAGGTCTGAAGGAAGGATGACAGGTCGAACTATAGACCAATATCAAGGTCTGTAGGAAGGATGACAGGTCGAACTATAGACCAATATCAAGGTCTGTAGAAAGGATGACAGGTCGAACTATAGACCAATATCAAGGTCTGTAGGAAGGATGACAGGTCGAACTATAGACCAATATCAAGGTCTGAAGGAAGGATGACAGGTCGAACTATAGACCAATATCAAGGTCTGTAGGAAGGATGACAGGTCGAACTATAGACCAATATCAAGGTCTGAAGGAAGGATGACAGGTCGAACTATAGACCAATATCAAGGTCTGTAGGAAGGATGACAGGTCGAATTATAGACCAATATCAAGGTCTGTAGGAAGGATGACAGGTCGAACTATAGACCAATATCAAGGTCTGTAGGAAGGATGACAGGTCGAATTATAGACCAATATCAAGGTCTGTAGGAAGGATGACAGGTCGAACTATAGACCAATATCAAGGTCTGTAGAAAGGATGACAGGTCGAACTATAGACCAATATCAAGGTCTGTAGGAAGGATGACAGGTCGAACTATAGACCAATATCAAGGTCTGTAGGAAGGATGACAGGTCGAACTATAGACCAATATCAAGGTCTGTAGGAAGGATGACAGGTCAAACTATAGACCAATATCAAGGTCTCTAGGAAGGATGACAGGTCGAACTATAGACCAATATCAGTTCTTCCTTTCGTATCTAGGATATTTGAGAAATTAATTTTCAATCAGTTTTATGAATACCTGGATGCAAATAAATCACTATATGAGCATCAGTCGGGTTTTCGACTTTTACACTCGGTAGCCACAGCCCTTCTGGCTAGCACCAATGACTGGTACCTGAATATAGATAAAGGAAAAAACACTGGTCTAATCTTTATTGTCTTGAAGAAGGCTTTCGACACGGTTGATCATAGAATCCTACTGAAAAACTGAGAATGTACGGAGTGACCGGCCTGGAACATGACTGGTTCACATCATACTTGGATAACTGTAAACAATTCTGCAGGGTAGATGGCACCTTCTCTGATGCGAGGGGAATAAATTGTGGAGTTTCTCAAGGCTCTTGTCTTGGTCCACTCTTGTTCCTGATTTACATCAATGATTTGCCTTTTTTCTTGCAGAAATCTCATGTCAGCATGTATGCTGATGACACGGCCATTTCCCTCTCTTCAAAAAGTATTGATGACCTGCAAAATGATCTAAACTTAAATCTTTTGAAGCTACAGGATTGGTTGCATGCGAACAAACTTTCCCTGAACGTTGTGAAAACGCAATCACTTGTTATAGGCTCTGGTCCAAACATCCGTAAAATCGAAAGCCAGCCTGATGCTCCTTCATCTTTTTCAATAGGTGATCAGGACATTGAAATGATTACCAACACAAGATACTTAGGTGCTCAGATAGACAGTAAGCTCAACTGGGACAAGCATATCGATACTATCAAGACCAAGGCTAATCGAGCCCTTGGACTAATTAAGTATTCTAAGAAATATTTACCATCTAACATACTCAACAAAATGTATAGAGGAATTGTTGAGCCCCATTTGAGCTACTGTTGTTCCGTTTGGGGCTGCTGTAGTGAATCAAAGCTTGACATCTTGCAAAAATTCCAATATAGAGCTGCCAGAATTGTAACTAGCAGCCCATACGATGCGTCTGCTGCTCCGATAATTCAGAATCTTGGCTGGTCAACTATCAGTAATCTTGTAAGACAGGAGACAGCCACGCTAACTTACAAATCTTTGAATTTGCTTGCACCACTTGAGAAAATCATTCGCAAAATATTCGGATGATAGAGAACGGTTTCTGCGTTCATCAGAAACTGATCTTGAGATACCGCTGCTAAAAACGATAAATGGCCAAAAGGCTTTTTCTTATCGCGGTCCAAAACTGTGGAACAGTCTAGACAGAGCTACTAAATTGGCCTTCTCCCTGAAAACCTTCAGAGAACAGCTATAGTCGGGGACAACTTTTATTTCATCTTTACGTTCTCTTTTTATAGCCTTAGTTTTATATAATATTGTAAGTTAGGTTAGTAAATTTCTTTTGTTATTAGTATTAGTGCTTATCTTAATCTTTTAAACAGGTCAGGTTGAAAAACATGTATATGCATGCATTTAGAATCTAAAGTTTATAATGCACAGCCTGAAGTTTTTGCCATCTTTTGCTCTTTGAAGAGCATTCCTAGCCATGATTGAAATGCCTGAGAGAGTTTGCTGGGCACTAAAAAAAAGCCTTTAATCCTATTGGTACTTGCTTTTTTGTCTTGAAAATAGCTTTAAACATTTTTTGGATCTTGTCCTCTCGGCTCTTCAAAATTCCATCGAACCGATTTTGCTCTTTTGACTCCTGGCTATTGCTGTCAACCCATTTGACTCTCGGTTATTTGGCTCTTGAACATACATTTAGTGGGAATCCAAACCGTGTGTATAAATGCTTGTGTTTCTTTCAATTTTAGAAAAGCTTTTGTAAGTGATTCTGAAAGTGAAAGTGATACGAACGAAGATCAAGATAAGGTGAGTCTGCTACAAAATGTCTTTAAAATGACATTGAATAAATGAATTAAATGACAGGTTTCATGTTGTCATATACTTTGTAAAAACTGTTCCCCTTTCAGTAGAAGAATTACGTCTGTTATATGATATTGAAATATAATAGCGGGCTTCGTAGGGGAGCTAGGAGCTAGTATCATACCTAAACATTCAAGCTATAGAATATATCAATGTGGTTCTGGCTCGATCAATAGAATCTGCAAAAAGGCAACATCATCCGAAATAAACCAGTAAGGATCTCTAAATTTTCTTTTGTCTAGATGTCTAGATGTGAAAAGATAGCATTGATAGTTGCAGCATTTGTTTTGTAAAGCCTCAAAATGGGAATTAATCGCTTAATTCGAGTTAATACCTGCGGGGAAAATGCGCAGATTCCCCTTTTCTAAAATCGGATGGTCCCACACGTATATCCTTAGTAGGCTGTGAATATCAAGTTACCTTAGCTATTTGCTAATCACCTTGTGGTGTTTTCTAGGTGGTCTCGCCCTAGCATATTTGTTTAAGCACAGTGATGCAGCTCGAGTCACGCCATATTTTGCAGCACGAGTCATGCTATGTTGTGTGCGTTTCCCCCTCCCATCCCTGTCCCCTTGTACTCGTTTCTCCTTCTGCCTATATCCCGTTACATACTTCATCCTGCCTTCTCCTACCTCACTTCTTCTTACACAATCATTCGATTGTGTGACAGGTGTATCAGCCTGATTTTCGGGGTAAAAAACTAAGACAGTTTTTCCCTGGAATCAAACACCGACCTTAAAGTTGCGTTATTGCTCAGGCAAGACAAGGGCTGATGCACCAAAAGCCCAAAATATTTTTCCTAAGATTAGGGTTTTGTTTATCAAAACTAAGGGGACCCCGCGATTATTGTGTGTGTTTTTTGAAACCGTAGATTATTTCAAAAGAAGACTATTTTCTTTCCAAGGAGGATGACCTGACTTACGTGAAGGAGCAGCAGAAACTCAAAGAAAGGTAGCTATTTCCAAAATGAACAAAAATGCATGGTCGAAAGTGCTTAAACTTTCGTAAAATGTACATCGTATTATGTTTACTTTGAGTAGGGAGTAAACTATTCATTGCAAGATTATTTGATGCCTTTGCCAGTTCTTCTATATTATCTGTTATCTGGAAAAAGCTGGCACTTCTTTCACAATGAAAAGAGAGAAAACACGCCATAGTTTTAGATAAGTGCATTGATTATTTCTAGCCCTTTCCGGGAGCACCAAGAAATCTTTCGTTTTCCGTATTAAACCACTGCGACGGCCAATTAATTTTCCCTTCATATGATTTGGTCATATTCCACTAAAGTTGCTTTTAACTTTCGATTCTCAGCTTTAAAACTGCTCTCGACAACGTTTCTGATAATGAAGAATTTCTCACGGTAAAGAGAAGTGAATCGCCTTCAAAGAAGCAGGTTTGACTTGAGTTACATTTATTATACACTTACACAAGTCACCATGCTGTTCTCTTGATCTTCTCATTCCTTTGCTAACATTTCATTACTATATTAAAACATGTTAGAACGTGCGAGTGAATTCAGTTGGTCGTCAGTGACCCGATTTTGCGGACCATATTCTCTTGATAAACTAATTTTTTCAAGCTGAATTGGTGACTTTGGTGTGGCAGGATTGGCTCAATGGAGTGTTCATGGTTATGGGAAATTTATTTGCATCTATAGAACTAGCTGTTGTAAAAACAACAGTGTAGTAGCTTTCGCCTAAGTTAGGCGAAAAGGTATCGAGTTAAATTAAACTGCTATCTTTCAATACTTTTAAGATTTTGGTCAACATGTTATATAGCAAAACATTATATTTTTTGTTTGCGATCTTTACTTGCCTTGAAGGACCTCTCATTCAATCAAACCGAAAGTTTTCCTGTTGATGACGATGAGAAATTCTTGACAAGCTATCTTTTGAAAAGAGAGTATTGCGAAGACGATGACAGGTATACATATTTTAATTAACATTATAAACTATGGTTTATTTATTTTGAATGCTGTCATTAGTATACAAAGTTTCTCTCTGCTCATATCAGATTCTGTATGATCTTGTGATATATGGATCGTATGTAAAGAAAGGTGAACACTTCATTGTCAGATATGCGATAAGATTGACGTTATTTAAATAAAACGGAGAGCGCAATTAGGAAATGTACAGGCCATTCAATTGAGATCAAAATTCTAAAAAAGGGAAGGTTTTTTTAGTATGCGTGGATGAAGAAAAGGCCACTGTAGCAGGCTGCTCGACGGACTCCAAGAGTCCTTGCGGCGAAAAGTCGATAAAAATGTAGCAAATATGAAACACCGCAATACGCCGCAAATAAACAACAATAAAAACACGTAAATCAGTAAAGGCTAATATTTCGCCCCGGCATACGGGGCTTCATCAGAGCAAAAGTTAACGGGCTAAAAATTTATATATTTAAAAAAGGCGATGGTGGTGTCGGATTGGCTGATGTGGAATGGTGTGAATGCAGCGCAGTGGTAGAGGGGGGAAGGGTGGCGAATGAGAGAGGGTGGGTGGTGATGGTGGAATGAAGACGTAATTATGAAATAATGATAATGTTGCTGTAAGGTTAACGGTCAGTGGTTCTGTTCATGCCGTTCGGTGTGAGAGTGTTTGCCAGGCCAATGAGGTATTGCTCTTTGGCTCGTCGGACACTCTCTCGTTTGTCGTTGAGTTTCAGTAATGGTGTTACAGTAAGGTCATTGATGGTATGTTCTGGACTACAGAAGTGTTCTGCAACACCAGATTTGTCTACTTTTTTGTTGATAATTTCTCGTCTGTGTTTGTTAAATCTGTCTTTCAGTCGTCTGCTTGTTTGTCCGATGTATTGGCAGTTCTTGTGTCCGTTAGTTAAACAGCGTTTGCACTGTAATGCGTAAAGAACGTTAGTAGAGTTGCAGTCCAGTCTTTGTTTTATGTCGTAGTTTTTGTCAGTGTTAGTAAAGTTAAAAGAAGTAGTACTGTCTGTGAATCCGACACCACCATCGCCTTTTTTAAAATATGTAAATTTTTAGCCCGTTAACTTTTGCTCTGATGAAGCCCTGTATGCCGGGGCGAAATATTAGCCTTTACTGATTTACGTGTTTTTATTGTTGTTTATTCGCGGCGTATTGCGGTGTTTCATATTTGCTACATTTTTTAAGTAGACTGAAAATACACGAATCTATTTGGTAAAAATATGCAGCACACTGTAAAAGAAGAAAAACAAACTCGCTGCACTTTTTCCAAGCTATATGAAATCTGAAACAAAATTTTAAAGATTTTAGCTTAAAGCTTAACATATGAAGTACAGTTTCCTATATTCCTATTTTTATGGGTATCTTAAATAAAAAAATTTCAACCGGGATAGTAATATCGACATGACCAGCGATTTCAGGCGAGAATATCATGTTCTTAAATACATTTACGAGACAAGAAAGAATTGTTTTATCGTTCATATCGACAAGAAATATATTATACGCCTTTTTACTGTGTATACTATCCATTGAAATGACAAGAAATATGTCTGATCTTTCTGTTGATTATTCAAATCAGAATTTGATGCGAGAGTTTCGTAATAAATGTTTGTTAAGTAGCTTGGTAAAAAATAGTGAAAGGAAATTTCTGCAGTGTCATCCCAAAAATGTCTCGGCCTTGCAATAAAACAAATAGTTGTTTGAATCAAATTGTTTCATAATTTTAAAAGATGCTAGCTCGAACTCTGTTCAACAATATCGTCGTAATTTTGTGTGCAGCACAATGAATCATCCTACGGTTATAGCCAGCCATAGAAACAAGGTTCTTCCTGGTAGCTTCGAAGGGAAAGGATGTCTACCGTAGCATCAAAACTCGGTCTTTATCAAACAGTGACAGTTTAACCTATCTATTTTCTGTATAGCATAGTGCAGCGTAGAGTTTAAACACGATGATGAGATCTGCAGTCTTGAGACATACTAAGAAACGTTGCTAATCTGTGTATGGCAAACTAACGTCATTTTTATGTATACAGTCCAGAGTTTAAAAACGATATTCAAATCCGCAGTCTAAAATGCATTATAAGAAACTCACTACAATTGTACCATTGTGTTAAAACAATCTTTGAAAATAGACTTAAGCATTTTATACAGTGCATTCTGCACAGTAAATTCACTTAATTGATTCGGTTCTTCTCCTTTTCACCCGACTGTTAGCAAAATCTCAATTTATTTCAGTGCTCCACACTTCAGTGCGCCCATAGAAGAAGAGGTGATAGCTATCTTACTTAAATTTACCTCGTTCTTTTCTTTTCACACTTACAATTAATTCTATTCAATGGGAGAGTTTGCAAGTGCTATTCGCACGCTATATTCCAAACCATGTTATTGACTATTTTAGGATGACAGCGAATTAGATCGTGAGGAAGCATTCGAAAGGAAGTACAATTTTCGTTACGAAGAACCAGATGAAGACTTCGTAAGCTCATTTGTTATCCTTCGTTGTATAAGTATACTGAAATACAATTTGATTTTTAAACATTTTTTATGAAAGTTTTCCTGCATGGCGCACTCTATTGCGTTACCAGAGGATACTGACTTAAAAAGGAGCCTTTGTGAAGTCAGTGTCAGGCCTGTTATTGTCAGGATATTCGAATGTATCTTACAAAAGTAGGCTCAAAACATCTCGCAAGGAAAGGATTTGTAGAACAGAACCGGGTACAAAGTTCGATAAGAAGCTAACAAGGATAAAAAAGAAAGACCAATGGGAACGTTAAAAGTGCTCAGTCAGTTATGTCGTTTTTCTTCGGCCGTCCAAAAGTGCGTTTGATAGTGTTATTCAGGCAAGTTCTTTTAAAGTGGCGTTTAAGCGTTTTCCTTCGCTTCTAAAATAAATTGTTGCAGCTACCATGAAACAGTCTTAATACAGTATCAGATTGTCTATTCGAAGATGTTCTGTGCAATTAGCTAGACTTGGTAAAAATAATTATTGGGTGATAATTCATGCATTTTCTACCATTATGCTTTAAAGGTTGGAATATTGAACGGATTGGAAATGCTATTTTGTTTTTGTTCAAAACACGGCGTTACTTTGCTAAGAACAACTTTTTTATTTTACAGATAAAAATGTATCCTCGGACAATTAAGGAATCTGTCCGCAGAAAAGACGATTCACGTAAGAAGAAGCGCGATGTAAGAAATGAGAGAAAAAAGAAGGTAATAGATTTTGGATCTGACGTCTTGTCGAATCTTATCGTGCAATTTTTATTTCTAAATTTCTCAATCGTTTCAGTTTTTTAGAATGAAGAGTTTCAATATCAAATTTGTAAAAGTTTCAAAATTTCCTTGCAGGAAAAAGAAGTGAGAGAAGAGGAAATCAGGAAACTGAAAAAGCTGAAACGGAAGGAAATTCTTGAAAAGATTGATAAGATAAAAGGTTTTTTGCAATATAAAGTATCACTAAATCCTAAGACTTTTTGAAAAAGTTTAGCAATTTTGTAAGTTGAAATAAACTTCAGTGCACGCATGAACAGGAGGGAAGCCTTAGATATTAGGCGCCGAAGCCTCTTTCTTTGTCGAGTTATTGTGTTGAAATCGTTTAATCATTTCTCTGAGTTTTGAAGACAAATATCATTCAAGATAGGTTTCACAGCGAGGGGAAATTGTATCAAGGAGAAAAACCATGATTGTGGGATTGATTTAATAGATTGCTATTACGCTTCAGAATCAATCTACAGCGAAGAAGGATTGCAATCCCCAGCAGTGTTTGCCTTTCAAATTTTGAGGAAAATGTTCTATGAAAAGTTCGGTCCTTTGACCACTCACCCCCCACCCCCTACTGAACGGGACTGGACATGTCTCAACTTTGTTCAGCGGAATGTTCAATGAAAATTTCAGTCGTTTGCTCAATGCTTAAGTGATGATTACTGCGAATTATTCTATTTATTTAATAACTAATACGCTCTTTCTTTAATCTCTGTACACATGATATATGTTTTCAACCTTCCTGATGCAAAACATTTCCTTCCATATAGAAATAACTGGAAACTCTAAAGTTGGCTTTTTAGAAGATAATCTTGATGGAGACTTTGATCCAAAAGAATACGATATGTTGATGCAGGTATTAACAACTAGCTTTTTTATTTAGATATATGGGCTACTTCAAAGTTCAGGTCTTGCACATGTTTTTGATGTTAAGATATTACATTTTAATATTTTATTTGTCGCATCTTTGTCATTCCAATTGTTCCACGGTTAATAGTTATTGAGCTGCCTTTTTTTAGAATAATGTATTGCACAATTCAACCTTGATGTGTCGCATGTTTTGGTGTCTAAGTTATCAGCGTTTACCGGCTTAAGATCTTTGTTTCCGTTTGTGCTTTGGACATAGTAAAAAATTAAGTGTTAAACGTTATAAGTTTAATCAGACCAAAACAGTCAAGAGTATGTCTATATTATATTATGTTTAGTATCTTTTAATATCATTGATATTTGTTGTTGAAGTTGGATCTATTTATTTACATTGTATTAGATATCGTCATTTTGCGGTTTTCCTACCTGTCATTTTTGATCAAGAGTATACTTCATTTCAGCCTTCATTTTCAGCTAATCTTTTTATAAGGACATAATTGAATTTTCTTCAAACTGTTCTAGAGAATTTATGATACCGAGTTTTATGAAGCAGATGAGAAAGAAAAGCCTACGTTTGAGGATGACTCTAACTATTACGGTAAAGTTTTTCAACGGCACTTCTTGTTGAATATATGTAGAATAAGGAAAGTAAGCTCTTATACCTAAAAACATAATAACCTTATAACAGACTTGAGCAAATGGCTGTGAAAAGTAACTGAATTTTGCAGGTAACTAACATTTTTTCCAATTTTTATGATGAAATATTTCCATTGACGTCAGATGTTTTTTCAAAATGATAGTTGATAAAATGTAACCAAATTTCGGCTAAATGTCAAAATAGGTCTCTACGTTTTTCCTGGCTTTGAAGTACAGAGAATGAGTAGTTGATGAAGACTAAGGACAATTTCGCTCGAACAGACGACTTATAGTCGTCAAGGCAGACTCGCATATTGGGTTGATCCATGGCTGCAGACCCATTTGGGATTTTAAAATGGGTTTTTTTGGTTCCAAACTACCAACCGAAGAACCTGAAGACAAACATTATGTATGTTATTTAGATTAGCAACATGTATAATAAAATGTGGGAAGATTGGGTTTTATAAGTTTCGCGAGAATGGGTTTTCCTTGTAGGTGTTAAAATGTTTTTTGGCTTTTTAAAAACTGTATTGAAAATGAGAAGAAATATTAGGAAAGGATGAAATTTTGATTGAGTTGGTCTTAAACATTGATGTGAATCGACAGACTACCTGTCTTTTCTATTAGACGACGAAAGGAACTTGTTCTTATCATTAAGATTTGTTTTTAAGCTTAAACAGATAACTTGGTTTTTTGCAGAGGACTGGGACGACTGGCAAGGTGAAAATCAAGGTGAGATTGGTGGGTCATTTTCTGTTACCCGCTTTTGCTTGTTGTTTTTAGACAAATGTAGAATAGTATAAAGATTCTGTTTTCGCTGGCAGCTTATAAGCAGAGATCTTTTTAAATGCTAGCTAGGAAAAAAGAAATTACTAAAATACTTTTCGTCCAGCTCTCCTCAGAGTAGAAGCATCGGATAGTAACCAAAGGTAAGCAGACATTGGTGTCCTAGTATGGTTCGAAAGCAACCTGATATAAATTTTCTGCTTGCCTTAAAATCATTACCCGGCGTTGATATCGAGAAGTGCATTTTGACAAAAAATCTGCCATCCTCGGATTTTACGACGCCGAAGGCTTATTAAATGTTTTTCAATCTAACAACTAGATTATTTGCTTCTTAATTCTTTTTTAGAAGAGACTGGTCCGGACGAGCAAGTTAAAGGGGAAGCGTATTACGTAAGCAGTTTACTTTGAATTATGTCTTTGCATTTGATGACGCTTTAAGACAGTGAGTATGAAAATTATTGTAAGACTACAGTAGCTTCATCGTTGCTTGTGTGTCGCTTTATGCATTGTCAGTTAAATGTGAGTCAAAAATGATTTTGCATATAGTTAAATTTTATGGCTGTCTGTTTTTCTACCTACTACAACTTTTACCTACGATTTTTTGCAATAAAAAAATTAAGTGGCCTTAAAAATGACGGGGGGGGGGTTGATATTAAAGTTGCTTGTTTTGAAACTTTTGCACTCTCGTAAATTCTAAAAAAGTCAACGTTGCCGAAGATTTCAATACCATGAATAAAGGAAGAATCAAAGAAGAGAAATGTATGACAGAAGCTGTCATAATAGGCTGGGGTTACAGGAGAAGTATTTTACACTGTTAAGATTTTACTTATGCGAACTGGTTATGTTAAAATGTCGATCCTTTACAGTCTGCTGCCACATCTAGAAGATTATACCTACAATCCTTCACAAAATATATTGAGACCAGTGATAAAATCAGGACAAATTTGTTGATAGTAATCTACTAGAAATGTATTTGACCCCTCCCCCTTCAAGCAATGTTGTTGATGCCTTGTGATTGTATACGGTCTTTGTACACATGATTTGCAACTATTTCACCAAATCTTAACAAACAACATTGCTAGAAGGGGGCGGGAGAGGGAAAGGGACGTTGGAAGGGTTGAGCAACGTCTGTTTGGAGCCTAAGTCAAAATTACGAATGGTTTACAAAATAATTTCGATAGGTTTTCTTTTGGGTAAATACGCCAAACAGACTTTGGCATTATTGCGAGGTGGGAAGGAAAAGCAGTCTTACAATTTTTGTGGACGATTGTAGGACTTACCTTCTCAAATTTTGAATAGTACTTTTCTTGTCTAATTTTGGCCGTTCACTATTAGGAAGACGCAAACAGTGTTACGTCACAAAGCAAGTTTGCCAAAGAATCACAACTTGCTAAGAAACTAACTCAGAAGAAACCAGTCTTTGACCCAGGTAAGAATCGCTGATTTGTCAACTGAGATTAAAAAAGACCTGACTGCAAGGTTTAGGAACACTGTATCGTATTTTTACCATTCTGCTTTTTGCGATAATTCTTATTTCTGGATTTTAGATACATTGTACTTACTAAGATCTATATTTGGAATCTCGGTGTAGTTGAAAACTCTTTGAAATCGTTTGATTATGTCGCAGGTAAATTATTAGCGGTTGATTTTAAAAAGAAAATAATTTTTTCCCTGCAATGAATTGCTATAGATGATTATCTGTTTAATTTGCAAACGTTTTTTAAATTTTCTTTTATCCTTCTCAATCGAAGCTTGTAACCTGAAAAAAATTTAGCATTGTCTGGCTGTATTCTTTATCTATCAGACAGTCAAGAAGGTATTATCCAGAAAAATCAGTTGCAATTGACAGTAGCTTTAACTTGTTTGTTTTAATTAAAAGGGGAAAAAACATTTGAAGAGTATTTCGACGAGTATTACAAACTCGAATATGAAGACATCATTGGCGACCTGCCGGTCCGGTTCAAATACAGAGAAGTTATGCCAAACAACTACGGCCTTAGTACTAACGAGGTTCGTCTGCAAGTTATCAAATGTGAATCATTTTGCAATTTGTTGGAATTTCAAGGTGTTATGTTTTAGAAGGCAAGGTGTTAACTTTCGATTTAAAAACTGTTTGCTTTCATAACACAAGGTAAATCTCAACAATAGCATCATCTAGATAGAAATACGGTTATTAAGGGGGCAACTGCTCTGAGGGGGGGGGGGGGGAATGATGGTAACCAGGCTCTTAAAAAGACTGATTTGAGAGATGGCAACCGTTAACGGATTTCTTGGCAAATGTTGATTTGAAATGCTTTGTAAAGTTGATATGCAAAACGACACGCAAATTTGGTTATGGTTCCGATGTTGAACAGATTGTCAAGAAATCGTGATATAGAGATTGACGTTAAAGCTGGTTTTTCTATATTTGCTATGATGTGTCGCTAGGGCCCGTGTTTTCTGTGCTACTCAGCTTTGGTTTACAACCAAGATTGTAATGATAGGTTGCGACCTTAAGGTGAATTAGGGTTAAGGCGCTTGTGCACGTGGCAAAATTAATAAACCTTTTGTTGTATTTAAGATTTTGAATGCAGAAGATAAAGAGTTGAATCAATGGTGCTCTTTAGGAAGAACAAGTAAATACCTGTAAGTTCCATGTTAATTTATTTTTTATATGAAAACTTCTTGCAAAGCCGTTTGGTTAATGTATTTTCAATGTCTGCTTGTTTTTTTATTGATTCTGAAGTGTCTCTTAGAAATCAGGCTTTGCTCTAATTGCATTATTGGAGGCAGCATGCATTCGTTTGAAAAAGTGAAGGAGAGAAAAGATATTTTACAAATTGATAACAATTTATAATCAACTTTATGTTAACAAATTAATGATGTTAATTTTTAGGTCTACAGAAGAGGAAATAAAAGACCGATATAAATACAAAAGAAAGGCCAGAAGCTCTAAGCGTAAAGCAAGAGTGTTTTCTTCTCTCTTCACCTCAAACAGGTGGGATTTGCTACTGGTTTGATGTGATTCTATTTGATACAAGGAACATGTTTTGTAAGGCAGATTTAAACTGTGAATTGTCATGTTCTGATATTTTGCAGATTTCGCTTTTAATGAAATTCCTCTGTCCAAAAATTTCGCTTTTAATGAAATGTCTCACTTTAAATGATTTTTAATTAATCCATACAACTTTCATTTCAGCGAGGATTTAAATACTGCAAAAAGTGAGGGAAAAGATAAATCAAAGAAACTGAAAATTTCACAATCTTTGAAGGATATTCCGAGTGAAGAAAAGAAAAGTTCTTTAATAAACAGAAAACTAGGAGGGAAAGGAAAAAATCGTATCGGTAAAGGAACACAGAAGGTAGGCAAGAGATTGGAAAAACTGTCTTCAAAACGCTTTGCTGCGTATGGTTTTGGGAAAAGGAAACGAAAGCGATCCTAGAGCCTGCTGGAGAACATATTACTCGCAAACATTTAATTTGTTCTTGAAATAGTAATTTAACTTTGTCATGTTTCTAACACTACTAAATTTGTGATGATATTACCAATGCATATTCCCAGGCAAAACCTTGTATTCCATGTCAGAAGAGCTTTTAGCACAAAATGATCAATGCAAAAAAGATAAATTCATTTATCAAGTGGAGGCCCTCCAAAACAGCAAGGGTCTCTATTGTTATAGAGCATTCCAAAGTCGTATGATTTCCGAGTTGATTTGCTTGCCCTGCCTGTTGCAGATCTACTTAATAATGGTTTAAGCTGATGAATCCGATCAATATTCCAAGCTTTAGGCCGTTAATAAATGCAAAATCTAGTGGAGAGGGAATAAATTTGCGCATCCTATTTAAAAAGACCCCCACAGTCCTTGTCTATAGTGGTAGATAGAGATAGCCTTCTGATAGTAGATAGAGTACAGTCTCATCTTACGTACAAACTTTCCTGTTAACAGCATCAGCGGCAAATGTGCCGATGGGGAAGCATTTGGTCTCTTTTTGATTTTATTTTATTTGCTCTTAGCCGAATACACGGGTCAGTGAATCCTAATCTTCCCAACTCTCCCTTTTTAGAAATAAATATGGCTTAGAGTATGATTTCAAAATAAAACATTCTGTTCGAATTTGTTCTACGGGAATCTTTCGGGATTTTTTAGGTTGCTCTATTCTATAAATAGATCCCTATCGCCCATTCAAATTTTAACTTTATTACGGTTAACTGGAGTTTCAAAACCTGAAAAAGCGCAATTTCTAAAAATTTGAGACACCCTAAAACTGTCATGGCTCCTTTTGCTAAACCGATGATGCGCAAAGGCACTAATATTCTTGTAAATATACTTTGCCTGTTGTCACAGTTAACTAAAATTTCAGATCAACTAAATGAATAATACATTTCAATTGTATAGAAAAATAACTACAAAATCCATAATAAGGTTATAATAAAGATATAGCGTGTTGCAATAAATAGAAATTTAGGTGCAAAAACAGTCCAGATAAATGTATGATATCGACAACAATATATAACGACGCAGAAAACGACGTTCTCAAAGGAGAGAAGAGCATTGTATGTGCTTCGAACTTTCCATGTAAAAGAGTCTTTAGATTGGCTGAAACAAAACAGGATTCATGAGAATAGATATTAGTAAAGCAAATAAAAGAATTTCAAACTGATCACAATGGCCATATTTGCATATTGCAGCAGTACATAAACAACTTTTAATCTTTACGCTGTTAAAAGGTTTCAAGGACGAGAAATCAGAATCCAATGTGTGTGATGGCCAAACATAATATGAAGACATCATTGGCGACCTGCCGGTCCGGTTCAAATACAGAGAAGTTTTGCCAAACAACTACGGCCTGAGTACTAACGAGGTTCGTCTGCAATTTATCAAATGTGAATCAAACAAAACAGGATTTTCATAAGAATAGCTATTAATAAAGCAAATAAAAGAATTTCAAACTGATCACAATGGCCATATTTGCATATTGCAGCAGTACATAAACAACTTTTAATCTTTACGCTGTTTAAAGGTTTCAAGGACGAGAAATCAGAATCCAATGTGTGTGATGGCCAAACATAAAGTGCAACCTTTTTGTAAAAAATGTGGTAAAAACACGCTAAAACAGTCAGATTGGGGCCTAATTAGAATCCTGTGTACTGATTGCCAAAACCGTTGGGAGTAAAAAGACGAAGCGAGATATGTCAGCCAATCACAATTTGACAGCTTGTCTGCGTCACGAAGCCTCGTAGCTTGTAAAAAGTTCTTTCTTTTATTTTTAAAGAAATTTTGTTTCTGTGGTATCTATACTTAAAATCTATCCTCGTTCAATGAGGAGTTTATAATCTTATAAAACTTCATTATTTTAACTGAAACAACAGGTTGAAATTTGGGACAGGAAAGCATTTGTTGCAACGACCATGGGAACATTTGATTTGGTCTGCGACGCAGGTTATAGATAAACTAACAGAACAACAGCTTACCTCGGTGCTATGTGGCAAGCGAGAGCATTAACCCAAAATATGTGAATCCCGTAAGTGGCAATCGAAACGAGAAGACATGCAAATACTGGAGAGTAATGGTTGAAGCCAGTTAGGCCTGTTGATACGTCAATGCTCGAGAGTGCATTGGAGAGTCCCTGTGCATGAAAACAAGCCCTTGCAAACACAAAATTTGTCATTATGAATGGAACGTCATAGTTTGCATCAAACCTAGAAGTAATAAAATTGTGTTACCGAATATTAAAAATGTTACCGAATAATAAAATTGTGTTACCGAGTATTACCGAATAATTGTATATAGTGTTAATATACACTTAGTGAGCAAAAGTATTGCACAGGCTGAAACAGAAATGGCGGCACTGCAGCGAATTTTTTTAGCGAACCAAAATTCAAGTGGCCATAGCAAGTTTCATAAAAGTCATAAGATGACTTTTTAGTTTGAATATATTGGAAAATTTATCAAGGTTTGATGCTGATGATAAGAAATGCAAGAATATTCTTGATTTTTGCGTATTTCTAAACACTATCGACATTTGCAAAATCACAAAAATTGAGCCATGATGATTGAAGTACCTATGAAATATTTGCAATAAAAAAGTTATTCTTTGCACCAATTTGCGAGATCTTATAAAGACTAACTCTGGAATACTTACTTTATGCTTTGGTGTCTAGAACTGCTCATTTTCCTCACTTTTGTTGGAGAATATGCTAAATGTTTTGGTCGGAAATTTTTGGAGCCGCAATGGGCCTAATCGCAGCGGCCGCTTCGTGATATGTTGCAGCAAAATTCAATCAATAAAATATGTCACAAATCGTAAAGTCCATTTTTTCCAACCAATCGCGAAGTTGTAATAGGAATAAATAATGCTGAAAATTGCATGAAACAACATTTCATCCTCTCATTTAATGAAAATACCAAAATTCCCGCGATAAACAGGTTCACTCAAGTGCCTCAGTAGCTGTAAAAGAGTAGGCTTAAAAAATGGCTTAAATATGCCACTTTCCACCAAATACAAGGCCACCTATCATCGACTTGGTTCTCCAACGCCTAAATGTGATCTTTCAAATGTTTTTCTGAACTTATCATGTCTCCATTAACAGAACCTGCTACTAAACTTTTTGATAAAGTTTTAGCAAGTCTCACAAAGGTTTCAAAGCTGAAAGGCTGTCAAATAAAAAGTTAAATTTTTTTATTTTTAAAAAGGTAACTTTTTTCAACTTTTAAATTAAAAGTGCTGTCAATGGTTTGAAGTTTGGTTTTGGTTGGTTATTAACTATAAAAAGACGCCTTACGGCTTCACAAAAGTGGTTTCAATATCGACCGCCTTGCTGTTGACAATGCGGTCGCCATTACTCCTTTATCGAACCTGTGCAATACTTTTGCTCACTAAGTGTATATGTATTGCAAAAACGCGGTATAACTATAGATCAAATATTTGTTAACAAACAATTACGAGCAGGGACATTGGAATAGTTTCAAAGGTACAGGTAGGAAGACGTATTGTATCGAGTCTCACAAAACGGGAGGTTTTTTATGAGACTTTAGAAGATAATTATGTAAACTATTTTCTAATTTTCCTGCAAATTATATGAACTTTCATGCAAATATATTGAAACTTCCGCTATATACAATGGGGTGTGAGGTACGAACAATTCGTAAATTCTTCGAGACTTTTTTGAGAAAAACTTCTGAACTAAGTTGAATTACCCAGAGCTAAACCTTCATTCAGGCTGAAATGGTGAAGAATCATTGAAGGAAATTTTTACCATTGCCAGGCAACAATTCGCACTTTGAATGAAGAGATATACCTAAGAGCAACAGTAATGGCTACACTTTACGCGCGTTGCTAGAGCACGTTTGTACTGGAATGGCATAGCCTCTGGAACGGGAGAGTGAAACAATATTTTCCATTTTGCACCTTTTTTAATCGAATTTGACTTGACACCACTGTGCAAGAGAAAATTTTATGGATATCCAACCAATCGCTATGCTTACCGGTTTTTAACAATTGTAGAAAGTGTTGTTTCAACCGCTGCAACTATGCCCATCCAAACCAGGTTGTGAGGACGCAGAACAAGGAGGTAAATTAGCAACAGTGCATGCAAATGGCCTTGCTCGGCTCTGTAGCACTCTCCTTCTGTCAAGTCTTGCTTACTAGTCAACTTACTTTGTAACCAGGCTCGAAGATCTATCTGCAATCTAAGCCAATCTAAAGAATTCCTTAAAATGTATTTCACTCGCTGATCTAACACTCCTTTTCTCTCTTGTGGACTCTCCACGTATTCTTTCTGACGCCTACCAGCTACTTTCATAAAAGCAAGTTGCGCCATCGGTCTGATGCCAATAAAGAAAGATACTGCAAAAACCAATCTGGCTGCGGTCTTTTCATTCACAAAAAGGTGCTGCCACTGTAAGAGACCAATGCTCTTATTGAAAAGAACAAGAATAAGGCCAACAGCATTAAGTACATTCCCCAGAGTTCTTGCCGAACAAAAATACACATAATAGATTGACATTAAAGAAATAAAAATTATAATCAAAATATTAAGTTTACTTTCATTTGCCCTGAGTAAGTGGGCAATGTCTTTCTGGCCTAGCCATTTGACTCCAGTTTGGTTCCAGCCTCGCATAATTCTCAATAGTAATAAAAAATAAACACACTGGAACCCTTCCCTAACTGTAGTGTGACCTTTGTTAATGTTTGCTGTACCAGAAAAGAGTAGAATTAGCATTGACGTAGTGAGAAGAAAGTACCAAAGCTGATGTTCTTCCTCAATGTAACTTGTTGATGCCATACTCAACGAATGAACAGCTATTGCAAACAACAGCCAGTAATTTAAACCTGATCTGAAGTGTTTTGGAAACGATGAAAGAATTGGAATAAACCATTGCCACCATGAAAGTACGAAGGAAAAGAAAAGCAAGGCAATTCCAAAGAACATTTTTTCAGGGTGGTAGCCAGAAAACTGGGCTTGAAGTAAAGCACTTTGCTCCTGAAGTAACCTATTTAGGTCAACTAGACTTGTGTTCTTTAAGCATTCTGTCCTCCGATTACAACACTGCAGTATTGAACCAGCAGTTGCAGAATTGAAAGTAATATGACCTGTCTGCTCAGCAAGTTGGCATATGTTTTCTTTCACTTTCTGCTTTTGAACTTCAATTGGATGAAATTTGAGAAGATCACCAATCAATGCACCAACGCTACGATAAAATTAGACTTTTTGATTGATTTATCATCACGAAATATCATCCTGGCCTAATAAAAAGGTTCCCGCGATAAATATTAAAAGAAAGAGGCAAAACATGAATGCATCATAAGCAAAGATTACATTTTTTTAGGTCTTGAACTGCTTCATTAAAACAGAACTTTGCAAAAGCTTAGAGGGAGTATTTTTGCTATGTTCTGTGATGAACTTTACCATTTCCCATAAACAGTTCACACACTTTCATATTAATTCCGCCTCAAAATTCTTCAAAATTTGACAAACTTTGGTGACGTCTATAAGAGGATACGGTTTGCCGTTCCCACCATTGTCTCGTTATTGTATATTGCCCCTTCAAAACAAACTTTAATTGTTAAAATGAGCAAAACCAAAATTTAAAAAGCAGGTTGAGAGAGCTATTACTCTCATTTTTGTAACAGAGACATGCAATAAGGTTATTATTTAAATTGACGTTACATCTTCTCATCCAACGAAGATGAGTTACAAAACCTTTCACTGGAATACACGAGATAACAACTACGAATGACTATTAAGAGTTCAACTTGAAGGAAAGTTAGATTAGGCTTACCTTTGAACCGGTATTGCCAGGTCAAAAAACGATGAAATTGTCGCTGCGATATCAATCTGATTCACCATTTTTCTTGTAAAAGGTTTTCCTGCAAGATACGCGAACTCAAAATGATTGAACGAAGCAAATAAGTCAAGAAAACTCAAAAAGCTCTTTACTACTATCCACTGAAATTGGTTTCTCATACAGATTAAAATAAACACAGAGCCAGTGGCAAGAGCCTCATGCAATTCTCGATGATGCAGTAAAGAAGCGGGTCATTTACATTAGATGTTTTGAAAAACAGACATTTTCAACAAACAATCAAAGTTACCAAGTTTGATAGAAAAGAAAAATGCAAGGGAAAAATGGAAAAGTGAACAGTGAACAATAATCTAACCGCATCGTAAACATGAGCAATTTTCATAAGGTGACAAAAGTATTAACAAATAATAAAGAATAGGTATTAAGTGGACACATCTCTTCTCTATTCCGTGGAAATACGATTGTGGCCTAAAGACAAAATGTTTGTTATCATATGCATGAAAAGAACAAACAAATCGATAAAGCAAAACAGGTTTTGAAGACGACATCCATTGATTAGAGCAATGCCAAATATTTCTGATTAGAAAATCTCGTTTCATTTAATATTTTATTGGATGACGTTACAGTTCAAAACAGCTCCCAGTTGCCGCTCAAATAGCTTGAGATAAAATAATTTCCCAAAGAGCTTTTTTGTTCTTAGAGTATTGCAGTTAATCGGTTTTTTTTTCAATAGAAACCCCGTTGATTCCAATAACATTATGACCTTATTTTTGAAGGTGCGGTAGAAAGACCACGATAACCTTCTTATGAAAGACCACGATGCCCTTCTAATTTTTGCTACAATTGTAATATGACCAGTTGCATTTTCCTGTCCGGAGACTCAACATCCAATATTCGGACGTAATATTGACCTCACGCAAAAAGCAAGTACCTTAGATCTTCGAATTGCCTCCCCCTTCGAAAAAGCCCCCCCCCCTCGAATAAGCCCCACTGCTACCGTAAATTCTCGAATTGGACTTCTCAATTTGATGATTTTTGCCATCTGAGGTTGCTTTTGGGTTTTATTGAATTACCACAACAATTCATACTTTTGTCAATAATTAATTTATTGCTCATAAAGAAATTCCTCCTAGAATAAACGAGGTCTTTTAACAATGTCTTATTAATGTCTACAATAATTTTATAAGTCCCCCTTCGTATAAACCTCCCCCGAATAAGCCCCATCCGAAAATATAAAAAAAGGCTCCAGGTCTAATTCGAAGATTTACGGTATACCAACTCCTTTAGTCCCGAGCTGACTCCACAACATAACAGATACCTGATTAGTAAGCGTGGGTTGAAAGCATTTGCTTGTTGAAAAATTTTGCTGCTCGTTTACTCTCTTTGACACACCAGAATAATTTTTCAGTAGAAAGGTAAATTCACGCCACCCTGTATATACGAAGACGGTAGATCATTTTTTGCAGACACATTTGCCTTTACTTCATTAAGTTTTTAGTGACGAATCTGTTAGTAGGCAAGCAACAAAGCATTTTTATGGGTTTTTGTTGGGAAAACACCGCTTCAATTTCTATCATAAATTTGATCCTAGCTACACCAAAGTTGCGTATTTCTGACCTGTCACCATAGTTTCAACTTGCTTGCTTACTTCCTGCTGTCAAAAAGTCAGTTGCTATGATATCTGTAGGGAGGCACTGAAACTGAAAAAAATCAATTTCAATTTGTTATACAATACATCGTTTATCTTGATAATTAAAAAGAATGACAACAGCAAAAAATTAAGTGCTCACCTTGTCCTTTTAACGAGTGAGAACTGGCAAAAACAAGCGGAGTTATCGTCTCAGCCGTTGTAGATCCTCCATGCCCACCTGCATCATTCATTCCATGGTCACTTGTCAAAACAAACAGACTTTTCTCTGAATACCGTCTGTTCCTCTGAGCAAGTGACTCAACTATCTTTTCAATTACCTGGTCCATCTCTAACAATTTTGGGCCTATCAGAGAATGGTACGGACCAAATGTGTGGCCAATATGATCCAGTCCAAGGAAGTGCAATATCATAACATCCCAGTCAAAGCGTGATAGTTCCTCATTCAAATGTCGTGTGACATTATCGTCAACCTGAGAAACAACAAGTCACTCATGAACTTCATCAACGGTCAATCTACTTGACCTACATGCAATTATTGATTGAATACCTTAATGGCTTTGACTTTGCATCAATGGCCATAAAATATACAAGGCCTCGGCCACATCTACCTCTCGGTCATATCTGCTTCTCTGTCACATATAGATTTTCTATTTGATGCACAGGTGATGCACACTGTCACATATAGACCTATTCATTGTGTAACGGTTTTATATTTAAATTTTTATATATAATCGTTCGTATTGTCCTGTTAATTAGCTTCCGTTTATATTATTAGTGTGTGTTGATCACGTTTTAAGTTAGTCTGTCTGTTGATCATTGGAGAAAAATCAAATAAAGAGTATCTTTTGGGTGCTACTTATTCGGGGGCTAGGCCCTTTGGTAAAACCCAAAAAACGTACAGATTGCATTACGCGAAACTTGGTGGCGTTTCATGATACTTGCTAAATTTTCATGTGGTACTGACACGATACTATCTTCCTGAAAGTGACTGCTAGAAGGCTTAGAGCCTCTGGAAGGGTAATAAACATGCTTCGAAATGAAGATAAAGGGCACTGTTACAGACTAACAAATCAAAAACACAGATAATTTTTAACATTTCTGAAGAATTTTTGTGTGTTCTTGCTCTATCTAGACCAAACCTATATCTAGGACTTACCTTTAACCCTGTAACTCAGTTTTGGGGGTTCTCCAAAGTATCTCAATGTATTATGACAAATGCCTTGAAAAGATGCAAGGTGACTAAATTTTTAGAACAGTCATTAGCACAACATCAAGAAGGCATACTTTAATCTCTGATGAAACCCAAGCCACAACATCTGTATAATCTTACGTTTGATGTACTCTGCTGAAATTTATCAAAGGAAAACTGTAATCTGTTCAAATTTTTACAGTTTGATTATCAAGTCACAAGTTAGCATAGACAATGAAATTATTGAACAATGGATCTATGTACATACAAAATAATTTGTACCTCGGTGAAGTCAGAGACCACAAAAGATGTGGTACCTTCTTGACGTAAGAAACACTTTGGGAGCAATTTAATCCATGTGTCATCCCCAAAGAATATAATGTTCTTTCTCTTCTTGTAAAACTTTGCTACAATATTATCTTGCTTGAGCTCGACAGATGCAAAATTCATTACAACATCAATGAACTGTGGGATAGCACCAGTGAGTATTGCCTACAATGAAAAACCTACAATAAATGCTGGGATGTTAAGTAATGAAGAATTATAAAGAAAGACTAAGAAAGATGCTATGCCCTATCAGAATTTGTTGAACTTTGAAGAAAAACTTTGAACAAAACTTATTTCATGAAGCAGAAATACAGTTAAAGCAGATGAAGCAGAAATTGGTAGAGACTGAAATTCACACAAAAATCTTGGAAATTGAAAATAAACATCTTACACACCAATTTTCTCTTTTAAGTTAACATATTTAAAAACAAAATTCTAAAATATCATTTCAATATCATCAGTTGAGGACAACAGTTGAAATGGAGAGGAGGCTTCAAAGCTGTTTTATGGTAAAACATGTTTTCAATTTGCTATTTAAGCAGTAAAAATCAAACTCAGAATGTACAACTTTTATGCCATTCAAGGAAGGAGCAGACAATAAGTCAACTGAGCTCCCACCAAAAAAGGCAGTTACATTATAATCCAATATCATATTTGCAAATAAATAGCTCATGTCAGGGCTCAGGCCATAACTTTACCACTCAACATCTGATACCAGACAGTAGTTGAATGCAAAGGTCGCATATTATGTAAAAAAGAAAGAGGATTGTTCACAGGTTTTTATCTCCTTGCAAGTACACCACAAAATCAGAAAGAGCAAACCCTTTCCCCAAGAGCATCTGCCTAGCCTGCACCTAGCAAAAGAGAAACCAAATGCAAGACCCACCACAAATAGCTTGCCCTTTGGGATTCTCCTAGGACAAGACAAAATAAATATACTTTTTTCCTACATGGAAAAAATGTTTTCTATTCCAGACAAGGTTTCACCAGAGAGTGCTAGAGAGTAACAAAATTGTATCATAGGTTTGAATACCATTATATACTTTTTGTAATGCAAAAGTGTTGCATCTATTACCTAGTAGGCCTAGAAAAGGCCAGTTGGGAGCAGTTTGAACTTAATTTTTGACTGATTCAATTCTTCCTTGTTCTTATACAATCTTTCTTATTTCATCGATTTGAGCAATCATTACCTCAAGGCAGGGAAACTTGCCTTGTGCTGAAAAATCACTATTGATCAAGAACTTTTACAATCATTTTCGGATATCACATGATCAATCAATTATTTGCTTATGACCATGGGACTGTAAAAATACTTAGCCTGTATGCAGACTCTATGGAGGTGAAAAAATTGCCCCCCCCCCCTCTGGATTTTCTCTCCTCTGTAGAGTCTGCACGCAGGCTAAAAAATACTAAAATTCAATTTTGCTAGCTTGTTTTTCACAACATGTATGGGGTATAAAGCAATGTAAATGTATTTTTTGTCAGTACTTTGGTCCCCAATTCATATGGCCAAAGTCTTGTAGCAATTTTCAGGTGTCAAAATTTTGTATTGATGCCTATTTTATCATATAGAGATACAAATCTGGGCTGAATTTTACTTGGATCTGGTAATTATATTTAAAAAAGAATGATGGTTTCTTATTATATACATGTTTTTATCTTTTGACAATAAAATTAACTTCTCTTTGTCTGATATGAAGAAACTTAACATTTAGGTTAACCAACCTTTATCCTTGGCATTGTGACCGTGGGTGGTTTGCTTTTGGCTAAAAAGCTAAATATGAAAATAAAAATGAGCAGATTCTTAATATTATTATTACATGATACCTAAACAAAGTCAATTGATAGGAATGAACAAAATCTTCTGGTGTCTGTTCTTCAACAGCCTATTCTTACTAACCCCTTGTGAGTTTATGTTGAGAAAAAATGTTTATTCAACTAAGACATTATGAACATTATCCTTCGCATCAGGGGAAAACAGGATACTAATCTGGTAAGAAATAATGTATGCAAAATCTCAGAAGGACTGTCCACTGCCTGCAACCTCTTCTAAGCCAGGGGACCTAATTGAAGAATACAAATTGCTTTCTTTTATCATAAAACCCTTAAGTTAAAGGACGTCGTATTGGACATTGGTGGGTTGCCATCTGTCAATAAAATTGAATATGACAACAAAACAATTGAAATTGATTTGCTGAACCGGGGGCTTCTCCAGGCCTGGCCGTTTGTATTTTTATAGGTGAGCTGTGAATCGCTCCCCTCATTTGCTGAGGCGAGCAAAATCAGTAACACATAGAATATACTTTAAAGATAATCAACAAATGACTTAAGCCCCTTTAGTATCTGTTGGTTGCCTTTAATAGCCTCAGTCAGGAGTATGCTGTTTTACTTCTTTCAATCTGTATTTGCTTTAACCATGAATTAGGCACCCCCTTTACTTGAAGTATTTAAAAGAACAGACTCTTTCAGTTTCATGTAAAGCTGGCACAACACAAAAACAACAATTCTCTTGCCAAACAATTATTTTGTTGTGCAGAATTTGAAAATGGCTTTGAAAAACAAATTTTGAAACAAACTTAAGCTATTCGTCTAGCACTCTTCAGAGTATAGAAAGTCAGAAGATAGATGGAAAACTGTATGACAAAATACCCAGTTTTGGATCAAAATAGGCCAATCAGAAAACGCGAGCACATGACTGTTGAGGTTGTCCAATCAGTGCCGCTTTCCTATTGAAAATGTTACCAACGGAGTCCTATGGTGAAAACGAACTCACTTATGTCTACACAAAAGCGGTTGGTCATGTTTATATAGTAGATAGATTCACAAACTGCTAGATGGAACGATGATCAGGCTTTGCCAATAATGCCAAACATGTTGCTGTTATAGTTTTCACCCAATCTGGGTTTTTCAGTAAATGCCGCTGGATAGTGGAATTCCATGTTTTGGTTGTCGTTTTTGATCTGCAAGACAGAGTACCTTGTTCTCTTTGAGGCATAGTTTTGTTTCTATTGCTGGAAGGGACCTGCTGTCTTATTATATCCCCAATCTACAATTCCTACCAATTTCTTCGACTTTCCTTCCAAAAATATTCCTGTTTTCTTAAGATTGAAAGGTTCTAATCGCTACAAATGTACCTTTCGGTTAACTATCTTTTTCCAAATAGATCTAAGTTTATGCTTATCATAACAAAAACCGCCTAACAAGCAAAAAGTTAATTGCAAAAAATGCAATGACGGGAGAAATTGCTGTTACAAAAATAAACCAATTAACCCTTGTAAGTTTTCAGGATTCTCTGAATAGGAAAAGGGCAAATGAATGGAAATTTTAGGGGAGCAATTCTCCCTTCATGTTCTGTTTAGGAGAGCAATTCATAGCTCGCCTCAGGTTGAGAGGGGAGCGTGGAGGCGAGCGCGAGCTATCGCTCGCCTCAAACAGCCAGGCCTGGCTTCACAGCAAGTGGTAGAAAGCAAGAATAGAACAGTTAGTCCATTTTGCAAAATCTGGACCAAGTTTGAGATGAAATTGAACATATCTGGTTTAGAGTTTTGTAATTAAAATCGAGAAAATAGCTAATGATCTTTTAAGAAAATAGAAAATAGCAAAAAATTGAGAAAATATCTGTCATTTTTTTGAAAAAGTGTTGGAACCACTAAAGATGTGTTGTCTTCATCTGTAAATAGAGTCACATCAATGAGACACATCACGTGTCACAGGTTCAGTCAGGGGTTGTTGAGAATCACAACAGGGAACCCGCTGTTCAGTTGAAGAAGCCATTCAGTGAATGAAAGTGCTTCTGATAAAAACCCCAATGAATGAAAATTATGGCAAGCTATTGTTTGGGGTTTGACGAATATTCGTTGTTAGGAGACGAAGAAACACTTGTGGGGTTTGTTTTGTTTAGCAACAGACCGACTGAGGAAATGGCCAAGAAAGTTGAGATGCAGGAAAAAAAGAAGAGTCAAAAGGTTTTCGAAACTTTTTCATTTACATTCCGCCTAACTTTAAAAGATCTTTCTAGCTTTTATGAACAAAAATGAAACAATGATAATTACATAAAAGTACAAGTACGATGTCGTCAGCAAAATAATTTTGTGCGTTTTTAGGAGATAAAAACCAAAACTCCTTCTATTAATATTAATCATTGCACAGTCAAGAATTCACGAAAAAACTTGCGTCGTTCTATAAGGGAAGATAGATGTGAACTCTAGATTCTAAAAAAGTTCAGCTGACACAATAAACAATAAGTTAAAAATAATCTAAATCTTTCAACAAACGCTAAAGTCACCTTGGTGCCAACGTTTGTAAAAAATGCACAAGAACGCTGTGTCATGTTTACTGCCAACCTTTCAATTTTTGTTAACCTACTAAGAAAGCTTCACCCCCCCCCCCCTAGTAATTTCTCTACCATCAATCTGTCCTTGTGTCAATGTAATTGTAAGGCATGTTGAAAATTTTGTATTGTGTAAATTGACATTGATTTTAACTAAAAGAAGTGTCCGTAATTGGTTGATAGAAAGACAGTGACTGAACTGGAAACTGAATTACTTAATTCTAGGGTTGCACAACCTCAAGAGTTTTTTTTTCTTGTTGAATTAATTCTGGTGTGTAGGGCCCTTCTATTTCCTGTAAGAACGAAAATCTTCCCTTAATGCGTCTACAACCATTAATACCAGTTTCGTCGAGCTTGGATTCTCCTCGCCCATAGTCGATAACATCTCTCGTGGGGTTTAATTCCAATCTTTGACGTTGATGGCAGACGACCTACTACCGTCTACCTCGACATCTATGTTCCTTAGGTTCATTGGCATGAGCCGAGAAAGGAACAGGCCTAATCCACAAATTTCGTCCAAGAATAGAGATGTAAGTAAAACCCTTTGCCATTTGCATGTGATTGTGTTTTGATCGTGAAATGTTGTAGGGAAACGAGATTCAGCGTGCTGAATTTTAGCAAACCTCCCTGAGAGTTCTCTTGTCGCCATTCAAAACGTTTCTGCAAATTCTGCTCCAAGCCAAATATCATCAGCCAAATATGATAATGGGGTCCGGAGGTTTTCTTAGAATAAAGAAACCAGTTGTAGCCACAGCTATCGAAAATGACTTGTGCTACTATTTTGAATTGGAAATTTATCTGTTTTTTATTCCTCATGAGCCCCCGTCAATAAACCTCTTTTGTTCAAAATGCATCAAATAAAAGACGAACTCCGTTTCGCGCCAAACTGAGAAGCAGAGCTGTCTAGGCAGGAAAGAGACAGTGGCTGTCTGCAGTATGTGAAAGCACTCAATCAACTTGCAAGTCCCCAGAACTTCAAGTATGTATGAGCCTCAAGATGTTGTTTTCGTGTCAATGAATTTATTTTAGGTACTCATGTCTTTCAATGTAGACAGCTGTACCAGACTTGAATCATTTCTTGATTTTACACGTGCAGTTTGTTGAAGAGCACCGATATCGATTTTGTTTTCATTCAGTTCTTAAAGGTTTGGTCTTCAAAAACGCATGTCGATTAATAATTTTTTTGGTTGCCCGGTATATCTTGTGAAGGTATTCGATGCTCACTTTCCATTCCTCTCTTCGTGTTAACTGCTTGCTGCATTATAGAACCTTTCACTCCGCAGTTGTTTTGTTGCTAGTCTTTAAGTAAAACAAGTAAAATGTTAGGTTTAACTTACTAGGATTATTGCTTCAAGAGCTAAGCAAGGAATCTTTTTTCTATCTTATCTAGTGAATATGGATAGCACCTGTCTCAAAACATATTTTAGTCTAGGTTTTAAAATAAAATCGTTTGACATTCAAATCAAAACACGCTATTTTAAGAAAGAATACAAACTCAAAAACTCAAAATCTTTTATCAGCAAAAACAAATATCAATTGCAATAAACTAAACAGTCAAAATTGAAATACAAAAATTAGCAATTTCAAAAATTTAGTTAATTGAGTACAACAGATAAATTAGTTTTGTTTTGCTGAAGGACACATGAAAAAAATTTGTAAGGAGCTATCAAGTCCTATGTCCTAATGACGTTTTTAGACACAAGATTAACCTTATTTTTTTGCAGAGCCTAGATAGTTTTAGGCAAAAACTGTTTGATTTTGATCCTAGAATTATCACTAAGCCACACAACATAAGTTTTTTACAAATCAAGAAAAAAAATCAAATTTATAATATTTCTCTTCCACAACATCATGAAAACGTTTTGGAAGTAAAACATTCACACACAACTAACTATAAATAGCTAGCTAGCTAACTAACTAACCAACTTACTAACTAACTGGAATCATACAAATGCTTCTACTATGTCATTTCACATGGAATGTTTGAAAATAAACAAGAAATCACACAAATTAATAGGTTAAGCTATTTAAAAGGAATGCTGCTCTACTGATGCAACATTTCTATAATTAGTTCATCTTGAAGCTTATTGTTTTTTATTATAGTGTCTACTCAGCATGCCTACTACCTGAAAAGTTCTGTATTTTAGAGTGACTTTTTGATAAAGTCTTTAAACCAAACTTCTTATTGAAATGCGGTACGACTTTCTCAGAACTGCAGTTCCAGTGTATTAGAAAATGAAATTTAATACATTCCCTGTGCAGGCAGATACTCAGGGATAGGCAACACAAAAGACTAGACGTCACAGAGCTCTCCAAAACAAAGAAATTTTGAGTGGTTGTATTAAAAAGTGAGATCTAATACATTGAGGCCGTTTGGCAGTTTCAGAGGGGCCATACTTGCATTACTTAACAGCAATTTAATACAGCACAATTGATTATTATCAGTTGTATTGTGTTTGAATGCTACGCAATTTTGGTTTTGTTAGGGCCTTATTTAATAATGCACTCAGGCAAGAAAATTGAATTTCTCGATTTCAATGAACTAACAATAAACCAGGTCTGATGTTACTTTATGTACAATTCGAAAAATTTATGTGTAAGACTAATACATTGAATACATTTGTGAGCTGACACTGGTAAACAGCATACTTGTATTGAGGCATCTCCAAGCAAAGTGAGACTCACTCTATCCCAAAACCTTAAATACCCCAAGGTCAACAAAGGGAATGAAAACACTATGAACCACATACCTTACCCTTGTATTACAAATAAAATCCTCAGGAGGCTGAAAGACTCCCCCATATCGCATACAAACAAGTCGAGTGGATACATGGAAAACAAGAGACTGTAACAAATACCAAACAATATGATATTTCTGTCAATTAGTTAAAAGCAGGGGTGGCGCTAGAGACAAACCTTCAAGGTGCCGAAGTTTATATTCTCCGTAACTGCCGACGCTGGATGTGTCAAATTGCCGACAGAAAAAAAATTCGATTTGCCCCATATAGCAGGCAGGGCCGTCGCGAGGCAAGCCTCGTTGGGGGGGGGGGGGGGGGGGTGAAATGCAAATTTACCTGATTAAAAAATTATTGCCTGAAACTTTTTAGCTGGTGCCTCTGCAATACATTTTATCAATCTAACTCTGTATGATAATAACCGACTTTTCTAATAGTCTTGCCAAATCTCTATATCGGGACGGGCAAAATATATAGTTACTACCTGAGGCGGCACCATGGTTGCCGCCGAAGGGGCAGGAAATTTTCGAATTGTGATGCTTCTAGTTCCCTGGAAAATTCACTCTTTTAAGCAGATTTCACTAAAGCAATCCTCCTAATCCTATTGAAAATTATTGTCTTTTTGCAAAAAATTCTTACAGCAGATAAAAACAACAATTTCGCAGTGGTCTTGAAAAATACCAGGTTGTCAGTTCCTATTAAATTTAGATCCCTCTCTCCATCTTAGCATGCCTTATGAATGTTAAGACAAATCTGGAGCTCATAGTGAATTGCAGTTGACGCTTCTACTGAGAAACTTTAGGAGAAATGGACACGAGGCACAATTTTACCTAAGATTGCTTGATCCTTCATTGATTTTATGACAGGAAGGTCTCTGAAATACCTAAAGCGTTTCTTCCACCGAGCGGATTTTACCTGAAATTTCCTATTGAGATACTATTGGGGTGTGTGTGACAACCCCCCAGTCTCGACACCCCCTGAGCAGCACCTCTAATAAAGGGGCACCGATATAGAGCATTTTTCCAAGAGCAAGCAAGCATATAGAGCAAGCAATAGAGCATTTTTCCAAAATCGTTTGTTGTGGGTGCAAAATTCTCCCTTGCCCCCTCCCCGCCCCCACTTTCCAACCTGTGTCGGAGTCCACGAGATTTTCTCGGCAAATTGTGCCTTGTAAGAAACTTAATGCGCAAATATTGCCTATTGTTGAATATTTCTTCCTATCTATGTTGGAAGAAGTTAATCGATGGTTTTCTCTAAACCATTTGTTTGTCGGAAGCTATGCGGTGAACAATGCTATTGAAAAATAGTTGATGAAAAAGGACAAGAAGTGCTTTTTGAAAAATTTATTACTCAAAATGTGCTCATGATCGAAATGTCTTCATTGGCAATAATAATGTCTTGAAACGAAAAGAGAATCCCTTAAGAAGAAAATTCATTAAAGAGTTTATTTATGACAACGTGATTTTGCTGTTGTTAGGGTTAGGGTTTGGGTTAGGGTTAGGGTTAGGGAAGTATTTTTTCTGGTACGTTTCGCATGAATTCGCATGAGCAGCAACAGGGATTTCAACCGAGAGGAGCACGATGGTATTGTGGGTCATGCGAAGGAGCACCATGAAATTAAGTCACAGCTTTCACGGAAGCGACAGGATATAATGCCACTATGATAGTAAAATTGCCGAAGAAAAGCCATTGAGAAAAACATAAACCAGCCAGTGCAGTTTTCTCCTCGATTATTTATGTCATTCAAACAACTTGTAAACCGGGTGACATCCATCAAGTGCCGACGGTATTGAGAGAGCAAAAATTGATTGGCTGCCGACGGGGGGGGGGCTAACAAAAATCTAGGGGGGGCTAAAGCCCCCTTTGGCCCCCCCATGCCGCCACTCCTGGTTAAAAGTCAAAAGCCCCTTGTGAAATGAACTCTTTTATCATTAAAAATTGTTTTTATATTGTTAAATGGCACTGACAAAGACTTAGAAATCCAAATTAGAAGAAACAACTGCTTTGGCTATGTGGAAGATCTCAAGCTTATGGCTTCAAAAGTCCAAATAATTTCATTGGGAAAATAAAACATTTGTAATAAATGAATGTATTGCTCAGGATTTGGAGAGTATGATATCTTCAATCTTTAATTGTGCAACTGAAAACAACTAGAAATCCATCAAGAATGAGAGTTTTTCAGAGTCTTTCATTTGGATGCATCTCTTATAATTCCATTAACTATTTTCCACCTGAGGGAGCTCTTTTTGATTAGCTCAGCAGCAAAGTGATTTCCTCCTCATAAAAATCACCTGTGGACAACAACTATTCTGGTAGCCATTTAATTTTTGTTGTATGGCATTCAAGTTACATTTAGTAAAAATATTTCTATTATGTTTAATTTATCCTCAGTTGAAGCTGAATTTTCCAAATATTAGTTTTAGATGATAGTCTAAATCAGGGAGTGTTGGGTATAGGGTGAATATAGGTTGCCAAGTCACATGCCTTTTGGCAATATTGCCTTTACGCAATAGGGACTTAGTTCCTCATACCTGCATTAGTCAGAGTGAGTCAGGGTATCATGCATAGTCTTCTAAGCCTATTAACATACATGTGTATTTGGGTTTAGCATCCTTCTGCCATATAAGGTCAATTTTACCAGGGTAATATCTAAAGGTGTCTCCTAAAACATTCACCTGCATTTCTACATGAGCTAGAGAGTTCGTAATTCTCACCCTCCACTCAACTACTGCATGTAGATACAGCTACCTATTCCTGCCAATTATTACAATATTGTTCGAAATATCTATTAATTTGTTAATGCTGATTATTGTAGTTTATTGTTGTTTATAGCTTGAAGTATTGTAATTGTTTTGTGTGGAATGAGAATTCACTGTATACCCAACACGATCTTGTTTCTAAGACATATCTGATTTAGGGAAATATTTTATTAGGTAAGAGTAAATTACTGTATGTTTTATTAGTCATGGTCAAGTTAATTTTCATTTTGTTTTATAGTCAAGAAGAAATAGACAAATTAATTTCAGATGGCAAAAAATTATATGCAACAAAAGACATTCAAAGTGCTTGTGACATTTTTGGAGATGTTTGTGCTAAGTTGTAAGTTAATCCTTTTAGATACTTTGATTTCTAATTGTATGACCTTACGTAGTATCAAATCTTGATAAGAACAGGCATTTTTGCAATTCATGTGAGTAAATATATATGATTTAGCATAAATGTTTGACTAGAGATATTTACAAACATCTTTCAAATCAGAACACAATTACTGTTTGATTACACACCTGTCATGCCTAAAAACTAATAACTTGTAGTTTCCAAAGTATTAAATTTACCATCAACATAATAGTAAATTTGTGTGCAGTAAACGAGGCTTAGAATATCCAAATTTCTCTCATAAAGGTTTTGGTAGATATGTGGCTGATTGCGTGTCTCAAAGCAAAATTTTTCATCAAGGCCTGCAATTCATAACTTCCGGTTTAAATTGCATCAAAAGTGGTAATGTCAGTACTATTGATGTTACAGCTTTTCTGCGCCATGATTAGGCCTTGTGGTACCAAGGTATTATAAAGCATTCGTCTTTCAAGTGTTATAGACACCCACATAACATTACCTGTTATGGTTCTTTCATCACACTCAAACAGCCCAGAAAATTGTTTAACATGCATATCATTTCATTTGATTCTCTAAGTGGTGAATGCTGTAATTAAAAGATGATTATTGGAGCAACAAGACATACCTTCTGATCAAAACATTATCTTTGCAAATGGCCAAGGCACGTGATATCATTACTTTTTAAGAAGCACTAACAGGACAAAATGCGCACGTCGTCTCACCCAGGCCAGTGCCATGGCACCTATGTGCAGAAACGAATGGTCACTAGAAAGGCCTGCTTCTTGGTTTTCACTTTAGTTTCATTATTTATGTAGTCTCAGACCACAGAAATTCCAGTATAACGTGTCAATGAATAGCTGCTTTCCCTAATCCTTTTACAGAGCAGAAAAGTATGGACAGACAGCCAATCAATGTGGTGATGCATACCTTTTGTATGGAAAATCTCTGTTAGATTTGGCCAGGTTTGTCACTGTAATATACTTATTGATACCTTGGGTAAATTGCTACCTTTGGTCCTTTCAATTTGTCCCTATTTTGTTATCAAGCAGAAAATAACCAGATTTGACATGTTTGAAATATACATTCATAAAATGAAAATGTATCAATGATTTGCTTTTGATTTAATCTTATTTTTAATATGTTGCAAATAAGCTCTTGCAATCAGCAAAACCAAGGGGAATGCTGTCTCCACTTCCTGCTTTGAATTCTTATATTAACATAGTTTTATTAAGGATTACACAGCTATTGCCTGATTAGGTTTTAGTAGGAAATCTTGATCTTGCAGTTCACACAACTGATTTCTGTTTTTAGCCCTTTTAATTTTGTGATTCATGTTAAGAAGAAAAGTTTCTCTTTAGATATGTCTACTGCAAACACCAATGATTCCTGAGTTCTGAAACATGTTTGGTGATAGGTTAATTGCTTGTGTTCAAGAGAATCTGTGGACTGCTGTTGCCCTTTTCTATTTGTAAATTCCATAGAATTACTTCTAATTTTGTTGGGGGTATGTTACATGGCAATGCATTCAGCCAAATTGGCCAACCTACACAAAAAAGCATTTATTTTCCTTTGCTAGAATTGGAAAAATTCACCTCTTATATAGCATGAGAGCAAATTTTGCTTCAAGTATGACTGAACCAATCTATTCTGCCCTAAGAATTAAAATTTCTTGCATATTATATTTGGACACAATTTTTTCTCAAATATGTTTCTGGTCCTGGATACTTTTTTAGAGGATGTGCTAGCAGAGTTTGTATGGAAAACAGTTGTTTACTTTAAAGCCATGAAGACGGCAGTGCCAACTTCATCCTGAGATTTACCTGTAGATTCATCCTGATAACTATTTTTGAAACTTTCATTATCGTGAATGTTTTAATATCAGATAATTTTAAAATTGTTTCAGGTCAGAGTCTGATGTCCTTGGCAGCTCGATACCAAAAGGTCGGTTTCCAACCTTCTTATTTTTGTGGTTTTCATCATTAAATTTGTCATTCTGATGAACTTACCAATATTTTATGGGCAAAAGTAAACATGTTTGGAAGTGCTGGGTATCACAATGCAGATTTTTTTATACATTTTAGGAGACATAGTTGTTTCAAAATCAGAGCCAACTAAAAATGGTAATGCAGAAAAAGATGAAAAGGATGAGGCATCAACTGCCAGTGACAAGGAAGAAGGTTCCACGGATGATGAACGCCCTGGAATGAACGGAGAGAGCAACAGATCTAATGGAGACGTTACTGCTAAAAATGATGATGGTTTTACTGAAAAGGAAAATAAAAGCCAAGAAGATAATCATGAGCTTGAAGAAGAAGATGGAAATGTTGACATGGCTGCAGGAGATGAAAATGGCAAGGATGAAAAAGAGGGGGATGAAATGGAGGACGATGAAGATGATGATGATCAAAATGAAATTGATGATGAGGAACCTGAAGATAATGAAGATGAAACTGCCACTTCGGTACGATTTTCTATTTACTACTTCTGTTATATGGAATGGGTGAGAAAGATATGGTAATGGGAAACTTCTGTTGCCCATTATCTTGTTGACTTGCTTCATGAACGCTTGGAATTTTGTTATTCCTTAAGACGCCTTTCATTTTTATAGGAAGATGTTTCAACCATGCAGCAGGCCTGGGAGATACTTGAGCTATGTAGAATTGTCTTTGCCAGGTAAAACTTTGATACTCTCCACAAACTCTGTCTTCTTCCTAAGGACATTCTGTTCTTTCCAAAGCGTTTTCACAAAATCAAGCCTGTCATTTTCTTGTCAGATGGAGAATATTGATCTTTGGATGTTTTCTTGAAGTGGTGTTTTGTAAATTTTCTCGCTAGCAAATGATCATTTTAGAACAAAATTGCATACATTGGACCAAATTGCATGCAAGGCAAAATCTCTAGGAAGATGGAACAATTAAGCGGTTGATAGAAAATGCAAGGATAGATTCCGTAACTTTGTACTGAATACCCTGCTCTGCTCCTCACAGAATTTTTGAATCTACCCTTTATAAAGCAGGAAATATTTGTAGTTTTGACTGTTAAAGAAATATTAACAGTATTTGTTTGCTATTTGAAACGTTTCCCCTTTCAGGAATGAGTCAAAGGAGCACAAACTAAAACAAGCTGAAGCTAATCTCTTGCTTGGAGAAATTGGAATGGAATTAGGTGAGCTTTGATCACATTAACCCTCGTAGCAATAAGTTTAAATCTTATTCAGATAAATTTGAAAAACTAAAGAAGTTCATATTTTCCAAACACTTTAGTCCTTTGAAGGCCATCTTTGTTTTCAGAACACTATCCTGAAGCAATCGGAGATTTTATGGAGTGTCTAAGAATTCAAGAACGGTTTTTGGATTCAAACGATAGGCGTCTCGCTGAAACGTATCCTTTTATTAATAAAAATGTATGTTTATATAGAATATGTCATTTCATTCTTGCCTTGACTCATAAACCTATATTTCTGTGATATCTTCCTTGGAAGTCCGATTTAACTGGATGTTAGAAGGAAAGCCCTTTGGAAAACTCTTTGTACAAGTGAATGATTTTTGCATAATTTTATCATCCTTTTTGCATCCTTTTTAGTGTATCCGAGTTTACTTAAACTGCTTTCTATAGAATAGAATAAGCAAAGTGTTATCGTATCGATTGCTTCAAGTGATTTAACTTTGACTTGCAACAGTTTCTACAATCTTGGATTGGCATATTCTTTTGACCGGCACTACGGGAAATCTATAGAGTACTACAACAAGGCGATTTCGGTTATAAACTGTCGAATTCAGCGTTTAAAAGACATGAATGATGGGGAAAATAATGACGAATTAAGAGAGCTTGGAGGATTACTACCCGATTTATTGGCAAAGGTAACGTGGATTCATTTCCTAATGAAAACTTTGATTAATTTAGCATTTTCGTACTTGATGTAGGTAATGTCGTAGCAGTATTGTTGACAGGGAAATCCATTGTGCAGATTTGGACCTGTGGAAAACTCACCTAATGTCATTCAATGGCTGGTAAACTGTGCAACTGTTAAGAATGAACCTTTCAGCGAATATTAGGAACATGAGGGATCATCTCCCTGCGCTGGGCTCTATGTCGGCCAAATAGAGACACCAATTTATGATGTAATAAATATAACTTTAAAACTGATGATCGGGGACTTAAGAATTTGACAAAACTTGACAAAATATCTCTAAATAATGAAATATATCACAAAGTGGCTGAGATGTGGCAGCACGAGCATATGTTAGTTGCTTTTAGAGCAGAAACGCTTTGACAAAAACCTTTTTCCCTGAATTGTTGCAGGTAGAAGATTCAGAGTATATGAAAAAAACTACTGAGGAAATAATAAAATCGGCGGCTTCTATTGCTAAAGGCAGCGTAGAGGACGAAGAAGATGTAGAAGAGGTTTGCAAGCTATTACAAATTGACGTTTTCTGTCGTGAAATTGAAATATGAGATGTAGATTTTTACTGACTGTCATCTAGTTGCTGTTTGACTTTTTGTTTCACGAAGCAAAGACTGGCTTTTGCTGAAGTTGCAAAAATAACTGTGCAGTTAGGCGTTAGTTAATCTGGTTATAATTAATCAATGCAAGTTTGCCAATGACTTACTATCACTTCGATGACTTAATGAGCTCCCTTGCACTTACTCTTGCACTCACTTCAGTCCATCAGAAATAATCATTTGAGGTAAAAATGTATACTTTTTTATAATGACGAGAAAGGCCAAGGCTAGAGTAGCAAGCTATTTTTTTATACTTTTTTCAATTAACCAATGATGGCCTGCTATCTGGCTTTGTTGTTTCTACTAAAGCTGTTATTTGTTATTCTGCGAGCCCAAATTTGTTTTTTTCCACAGTCAACGAGTTTTGAAAAGCCATCAGATTCTGCAGAGGAAGGAAAACCCGTTGCTAAAGTAAGTTCAGCGTTTATTGGGCTCTTGTTATGAATGTGAAGCTGTGACCTTGGCTAAGCAGAATAGGGGTAAATATCATGATCAAAACACTGATGGTAAAAACAAACAAATTTCAAGCTGTCAATTGCATGTTGGCATAATAATAGATTCCCACGACGAATCTATCACAAACGGAGTTGAGCCTAACATGATTTGACATAATTTGTTGATTCAACTCAACACGTTCGAATCATAAGCTTCTCGGTGGTGCATGGTGATCATCTGCACCGGAATATTGATCGTAATCAGTAAGCCAGGTCAGCATTTTGATGGCAGCATTTTGTTGCCACTCTCGTTAAAAACCTTTAAGAATAGTTTTGTTTGATCTTAACTATTTGAAAAATATTTGTTGAATGCATTTCACGTTTCAAAACGTTTTCTCCTTTTAAATTTTTGACTCTTTCGTTTTATTGATTATACCATCATTTTCCACCTTTTTTTAGGTCACAGACATTGGTTATCTTGTTCGAAAGAAGGTAGTAAATTTAGAGTGAACCGAAGTCTTCATTAAGCAGTGGCTACTTCATTAAGCATGTTTTATGTTTGAATTTGGGTCATGTGCGAGCCATCTCTCATTTTGAAGAATGTGCAACAGGAGCCTTTTTCAAAAGAACAAACACATCTGCCTCTTTTAATCATGCGATAGGTTGTCTTTTACAAGGCTTGGTATTGATTGTGCATTTGCATTGATACTTGCTTTCATTTCTTGTGCGTATTTTTGTCATTTTTCAAATGTCCTTTCTGTTTACAAACTAGAGGAAAACGGATGAAGCCAATGAAGTTGCTGCAAAAAAGCCAAAGGAAACCGTCGAAGAAAAGAGTGACTAGACGTTCTTGCAGAGAATAGCATTATTTGCTTTCGTTTCATTTTAACCGACATCCCACGTTGATACAAATCTTAAATATTTATATATTTTCTACGCATGAAATTAACTGCTTTCTTGAATTGATAGATGTTCTAGTGACGATTGCTGCCTTTCGTGATACGGTAAAGATGCCAATGTTAGTAAAGTATGATATGCCAATGTTAGTATAGTGAAGGGGTTTGTGAAAGGGCGGGACCAGTAACACTGGAAAGAGAAGCTTCTATTGTGAAAATAAATGAATAATAAATTGGACGTTGGTGTTTTTCAACAGTGAATTTTCTTACAATTCCCACTCTTTTAAGAGAGGTTTGGGAAATTTGCTTGTTCCAATTAAAACTAAAGCATAAATCCACTCGTCACCTTGGAACTATTTTGGTTGCCACTTCAGAACAAGTTGTTGCCAGGCTCAACCCGGTCTCAAACTAGGATAATATAAATTGTAATTATTGATAAAAGAAACTATTTCAAGTTGGTTAGTTAATACAAAACTGAATTTAAAGCTAATTTATACCAACTATTTACCAATATGCACACCCTCATTATTTTGACACTTTGGTGACAGTTTGATGACACTTTTACTAAACCTTTTATAAAATTAAGCTTACCGGAAATCGCTGTATTTTCTAAGAGTTAACGATTTGGGCAAGCAAGTCAGGTCAGAGAAACTTCAATATCAGCTAACTGATTTGAAGCCGAATTCATTTGGCTTTTTTAAATAGACACGATACGTCCACGATATTTTTTTCTTGGGCACCATGAATTACTGTTAAAACTCTACTAAGGCCTTGAAGGGAAAGGCCTAATTAGTTTTTAAGTTTCAAACCTGCAGCTTGTTAATAAAGCTAGGTGGTTTGTTCAAATAACCTTTAAGTAGATAAACATACTTAAGCCGTTGAAGGAAAAATCTGGGGGAATGGTTACAGCATCTAACAGAAGCTAGATGGCTTTTTGCCTCACCTTTATGTAGATTTACATTATCAATCTCTTGGAAAGTCTGTTTTGGGAAAGTTACAGCATTGTTACTAGAGCTAGGTGGTTGGTTCGAATATTCTTTTCACTTGATCCAAATATAATCCATTGTTTTATTCAGATTTAGATTTTAATCCAGATTAAATCCAAAAAAGTTAAATTTCATGAAAGCTAGATTAAAACTTTTTTCCTTTTCCATTGCATCCACGAATTTCGTGGAAATTTTTTAATTTTAAGATGCAATTATAAATTGTAAATTTGCATTTGAAGTAATTACAGTAAGCAAACTTCAAAAAACAGAGGTCTTTACTAGGGGAGTAAAAAGTTGAAAACATTTTATTTCATTTTTTATATGCTTTCTAACTACCCACTGGCTCGTGTATTTTTGCAGTTAAGACGGAATTCCAAGAACTTCTGACATTACTCAATCCTGTGTGCCAAGCCCCTATTCTGACTAGTTTCTCTACGTAACGTCTACGTCATACCTCTGGTTTCTGCCCCCTTAAGTGATCAAGTGCATATCAAGACATTAGACAATCGGGATCTGCAATACGCAAAGTAGTTCCATGTGATCTGGTAGAACGATTCAATGCCTGCAAAAGCTTTCCTTGTTTTTCTTATTCTTCTTATTCTGAAAAATTCTGTTTATCTGTCTTCCCATTTCAACGAAACTAAAAACATTGACTTACAGCTCTAGTTTTGGCAGTTTGGCTCTTCCTTTACGGTTTGGCGATGAGCTACTTGAATAAAAACTGTCTATAAAAATCGGAGAATCGGTTCTTCTTAAATTTGAAGTTGGTTCTTCATAAAAAGGTTAAAGATAGCCCCTGACAGTAATAATTGCTACAGCATTCCTCTTTTTCTCTAGTTAACTCGTCACTGGCTTCATCATCATCTCTAGCCTTGCTGAATATCAAAATGAGGATTTTCTCATTGAGTGGTTTTAGTGTCTCTAACTGTTCTTTCAATTGAAATTGCAGTTGCCTCAAGCTCTTCGCATCGTCTTTGCTGTCTTCAACTGTTGCTATCAGCCTCGACAAAAAACTTCTGAGGCCTCCTCGGATTCTCTTCAACTTCGGCAGTTCATCCATTGCATGTGTTTACTTCAAAATCTTCGCACGGTGGACCAGTTGTTGGGACTATAAACTCCCCAGTTGCCAATTCCCTAAGATTTTTTGAAGTATCTAAAGGTGAACGCTGAAAAATAACAGGACCAATTTGCCCTGCTATCTAGTTCATTGGTATCAACCATCGTGTTTACATCTTACGATGCATCTGAATACAAAACTAACGCGCTCTCTTTTAAATCTACAAGCCAGGCTCCAAGCAACGCCACAAAAATCTCCAAATTTAACAAACAGTGAGAAGCCAGAATAACATGTGCAGTTCTTTGTTCATAGCAAACAATTTACCAACTACGTGAAGCAATTATGGTTAGAAGAAAAATGCCCGAAAGCAGTGGAAAAGTTCCGACAGCTTCAATTCTCTATATTCTTTCCAATAAGACGACTAAATGGATCTTTTTTAGTAATATGGGTGGTTTGCAGCGTTCCCCCTTTCCATGCATGTGTTTGTGTGTGTATGTTTATTGCTGGCTGAATTAATTGCAACGACTAAGTGACGTATATAGTAAAAACAGACGACGTAATGTCTTTTCGCAATGCATACGGCAGAAATAGATGTATTATTTTTGATGTGGTAGTTGAAATGTTTATTTTGATAAAAACGTATGTAGAGAAAGCCTCCAAATACCCCCCCTCTCTCTCTTCTAAAAAAGCCCCCTGGCGTCCTAATACAAAATTGAAGGTACAAGTTCTAAAGCCACTAAAGCCAATATTATCTGTGTAAATACTCAGCAACCTGTTCATTAAAGCAAATATATGTCATCAGGATGAAACAAGACAGTCTGCAAATGACAACTTTTCTTTCCCTCTGGTCTTGACAAATTATAAACAAAAGTCAATTGTATATGAAGGAGTCAAAATTTGGAATTCCCTGCCATTGCAAATAAAAAGTTACCAAATAAGTCATCTTTCATCAAAAACCTGAAAAATTATTTTTTAAAGTCGAATTGATGTCGAATTTGAACCCGATTATGAACATTATCATTAAACATATATTACCACCATGCATCTCACTATTGTGTTTTTAGTACAACCAATTTACATCTCTTATTATACTAACCCTATATTATCTTGATATTCATCCTTTTTATTTTTCATTCACATTCTTCTCTTGAAATCGATCACCTATGCACGTCAAATCGGGCATATGACCTAGATAGCTCCTTGTGAGTTCTTTTCATATGTCCGACAGCAAACATACTAAACTTTGAACTACCTACTGTATGCAATTTTCCTTTTTTGTAAAAATAATTGTTATTTGTGGTTCAAGTATTAAATATAAAAGGTGTAGTTAATTATTGCTGTGAATGAAATGTTTAGAGTTTTTGAGTTTGAGTTACCCCAATCTTCATTTGTTTTAATCCCCCAATTATTATTTAAAAAATATTTACCCAGCTTCTTTGGTTTTTAGGCCTTCCCCCGTTAGCACTCACTATTCCATTTTTTGTACAGAATAATCGTCGTAGCATGAAACACACAAAAAGACGCATGAAACACAAAGTGCAAAAAATGGTTTGTGAAAAGAATGTACTGATGTTCTATTATTTGTCTTTTGGTGATATTATTATTTTGATATATTGTTAAATCACTACTTTGATCTAACATAAACGCGTGAGTTCTAAATAATAAGTAGAATTAACTTACGACCTTGAGCAGAAGAACTCGAATGAAGACACGTCTCGTCTAAAACAGCAAATGATTTCGACAGCAACTTTATTTATCTACAGCTTTCGGCGAGTCTCCCTAGAAACTACGCTACACGATATATATATGAATAACTAGGGGCAAAGGTTGAAATTAGGAAAATAATATGTCTTTACTAAATATGGTTAACAGAAATGTATTTAATGTTCCTGGCCAATCAGGGAAGCGATAGAAAAATATCTGATGCAATGTACATGAACCCGGCACAAAGTACAACGTGTGATCTTTCACCTGATCTTTCACGTGTGGCATCATGTTCTTTCTCCTTTAAAGTCACCCCCTTTTTCTTACGATTTGGCTCTTTAACTTTCCTTTTCTTTGCATTGCTCCTCGTTTGTTGGTGAATAACAAAATTTGACTGTCATCACAAAATTTAATAGTGGTTTCCTAAAAGGAAAACATCAATAATATTTTAACCAGACGTACACCTGCTACAGGGGTGCACAGCTCTGTACCCTCAAAAGTATAACAAAAACGGGAAACATGATTAGACGAGAAACTTTCACTTTTATTGTTTCGTGATTTGTTATGTTGACTGGTGCTGCTGCCGTGTCGATGAAAAATCAAGCCAAAGCCAACATTATTAATTTAAAACAAGTATCTTCCTAGGCCTAATTATAATGTAAATCAACATTTTCATTAGCATTATCCCTGGTTCATCGAACATACATTATGTTCAATCGACATTCTTGTTAGAAAATGAAATATTGAAGTTTGATAGAAGGGCCTACATCGCCGTGACTTAAATTCTTATTCGCGGAGACAGAGATAATGGCTGCAGCGCCTTTAAAGTACACAAAGAAACGGACTACATTACATCGACAACAAGTTCAAGTAATTCTTCGTCGATTTGGCCATTAAAATAGGTGAAATCCATTCTTGGATGTTGCTTTTTTCGGTGAATGTCCTGGTCGTGAGACTAAAACCGGAAATGACTATACCCTACAACTTTTCCAAAACACGCGATTGGAAGATAAACGTAATCGCCTATTGTTGTCTGCGCAGTTTCCTATCCAGTCACTATTCCAGTATCTTTGATTCCAATAACGCCAACGCACATCTGCGAAGGATAAGTAAAAAGCTAGCCTAGAAGAAGGAAAAGTGGCTCTGGAATAGCCCTCACCCATTCTCGTTGTCTTGCAATTTCTGATTGAAATAAAGGCCGACCTCCACTTGGCCGCGCGTACGGTGCGGCCAAGTCAGCGCATGCCCAGTGACTCGGTATGATGCAATATTCTTGCCCGTCACGTTCAAACTTTGTACGCTTTGAAAGTAGAACCTGG